TTCATAGCTTACCATGATTAACTTCAAAATTGTGTTTCCACTGAAAGAGTGACCAAAAGGCATCAGTTAAATGGCCTGACCAAAGTGCCACCTGGAACCAAATGCTGGGGGCGGTCATACTGTGAGTTTTAAATGCCTGGACCTTAAATCACACGTACTTTGTTCTCATTAGCACCATGGTTCTCAAGCCTGTTTGTACGTTAGAATCACCTGGGAGCTTAATAAAAATGGTGTTACCCAGGCCCCACTCCCACCCTTTCTGTCTCTGATTTAATTGGTCTGGTTGGGCCCTGGATATCAGTTTCTTTTTTTTAACTTTAGTTTTTTTAGAACAGTTTTAGGCTCACAGCAATACTAGCAAGAGGTATAGAGATTTACCATATGCCCCTTGCCCCCCACTCATGCACAGCCTCCCGCGTTATCAACATCCCCCCCAGAGGGGTGCCTTTGTTACAATCACTGAACCTCCCTATTTAGGGTTCACTCTTGGTGGTGTACCTTCTGTGAGTAAGGACAATGGTATGATAACGTGTAGCCACCATTATACTGTCACACGAGTGTTTTCACTGGCTGACATCGGTAATTTTTAAAAAGCTCTTCAAGTGATTCTAATGTGTAGCCGATCTGAAGACCAGAGTCATCCTAGAAAGCTGCAGTGACCTTTCCCCCTTCTGTCCTCATCCCCCAGCCTCATCCTCCAATCCCATTACTGTTTACGGGATTGTTGCTACAACCTGGGTTTAGTCACAGCAAACTTACCATAGCTTTTTAAAAATAAATTTATTTATTTATTTATTTATGGCTGCGCTGGGTCTTTGTTGCTGCGCGTGGGCTTTCTCTAGTTGCGGCGAGCGGGGCCTACTCTTTGTTGCGGTGTGCAGGCTTCTCATTGCAGTGGCTTCTCTTGTTGCTGAGCATGGGCTCTAGGTGCGCGGGCTTCAGTAGTTGTGGCTCGTGGGCTCTAGAGCGCAGGCTCAGTAGTTGTGGTGCACGGGCTTAGTTGCTCCGCGGCATGTGGGATCTTCCCAGACCAGGGATCGAACCTGTGACCCCTGCCTTGGCAGGTGGATTCTTAACCACTGTGCCACCAGAGAAGCCCCCAGCTTTTATTTTTTAGATGTAATTTTTATTTATTCTTAAAAAAAAAAAAAGATTTCTTTAGCACCTTTATTCTGAAGAGACTTAATTGCCATACTTAGAACTTCTAAACAGTGAACATTTGTCAAGCATCAAAATAGCAGAATGAGGGAGTTGGACTCCGGTGATGGGGAGGGGCTGGTGCATCGTCTCCTGCGCATCTCCCTGATTCTGGGCCCCGTTAACAGGTGACCTAGAAAGGCTCTTTTTGGGTGAATAAGCAGTGGGCTTTGTACCCACAGGAGCACACTTTACACCCCTCTGGAGCCTGCCCTCCACCTGTCATCAAGTTTTGAGAGCCCCCTCCTGTCCCATCATCGTGCACCCATGTAATCGTTCTTCTCCGAGGGTGCTGGTTTTGTGCTCAGGCCCAGAGAGCCATGGCCCCTCTTGTCATCCCTGACTTGTGTCAGCGTGGGTGACTTCTGATGACTGAAGGACCGGGACCCGGTCTGTGGATTATCCCTCCCTCCTTGGGTGGTCGGGTCTTCTCTAGCCCACCCACCAGAATAACATCAGGAATAAAGGAAATAGCGAAGGCAACTCAAGGCCGTGCCAAGCAACCCATTTCATCTCACGTTAAAAAAAAAAATGTGTTTGTATGTGTTTTGACTAGATTTAGGTAGAAAATAGGCCAGTGAGAGGAGCAGAACTTGGTTAAAATTTTTAGCCCAAAGTGAGATTTTAAAAAAAGATTTATTTCTGGATTTCAGTCCCCGGTGCCCATTTCTGTGAATGATCAACATCTGTTCTAATGTGAATAATAGCATGGAGCAAATTCAGCCCCCTGAGTTTCACTATTTCTTTCTTTCTCTCTTTTTTTTTTTAGTATTTATTTATTTACTTGGCTGCGTCAGGTCTTAGTTGTGGCATGTGGGCTTAGTCGCCCCGTGGCATGTGGAATCTTAGTTCCCCGACCAGGGATTGAATCTGTGTCCCCTGCATTGGAAGGCGGGTTCTTAACCACTGGCTCACCAGGGAAGTCCCAAGTTTCACTGTTTCAAGCAAGGGTTTTAGGCCTGCGAGGCATGTGCTGCTCACACCATTGCAAAGGTAATGATGATAGAAACCACAATGATAGTAGTGACGGTTGACATTTATTGAACCCTCGTGATGTGCCAGGCACTGTGATAAGGACTTCCCATGAGTTATCTCACTTAATCCTCATAAGCACTCTTGGAAGTAGGTTGAGAATTATCCCCATTTTACAGATGAGGAAATCGAGGCTCACAGAGCGAGTGGCAAGGTCAGATTTTGAACAGAGCTGCATGACTCTGGGTGTTGACTCACTTGGCTGCCCTACAGTATGTGTGTTGGGTGTGTCACTGGGGTACAGCGAGCCAGCACCATCACGCCACCCCCTGTCACTGGGCTGGGAGCTGTGAGGAGAGAGACCTGAGCTGCTGCAGGGAACTGACCTCTTTTAGGCAGGGAAGTAGTCTGGGGCAGTGGAAAGCAGAACTTCCACCTGCTGGTAGGACGCAAGTGCTCTCTGACAACCAGCTCCTGCAGCCCCGTTACTAAGGCAACAAAAATCGGACAATGGGGCAGCAGTGGGCTCTGCCACATGCCCCTCTGTGCAGAAGAACCTTTGTCGGCTATTTCTGTAGCTCTGCCCTTCACCAGTCCCAGTGTTCATGCCCAGGGTGCCAACCACTGAGGGAAGCTGCCCTGTATGAGAACTGTTATCTCCACCCATAATTTTTTTTAAACAGATTAAAACAAACAAAATTATTTATTTATTTATTTTGACTGCGCTGGGTCTTAGTTGTGGCACACGGGATCTTTGTTGCGGCATGCGGGATCTTTAGTTGTGGCATGCGGAGTTCTTAGTTGTAGCATGTGTGCGGGATCTAGTTCCCCGACCAGGGATCAAACCTGGGCCCCCTGCATTGGGAGCATGGAGTCTTACCCACTGGACCACCAGGGAAGTCCCTCCACCCATAATTAACTGCTTTTAGGAATGAGGCAGGGTGTGTGAGTTATGTGTATGTGTGTGGGTAAGTACGTCCTTGTGGAGAGAGCATTCTTCTAGCCCATTCTTAGGAGGTCACGCTACATTATTTTTGTGATACTATCCTGAGCGTTATATCAGGTGCATCGTCAGTCTCTCTACCCCAGTTCTCTATTGGGACCAACAGAAACCATTTATTAACTGGCAGGTTACTTAAGCTCTCTGGGCCTCAGTTTCCTCATCTATAAAATGAGAATAATGTCTCATAGAGTCGTTGTGGGGACTAAAGAGTTAAAACATGCCTCGCTTTAGGACAGAACCGTGCATACAGAATCGGTGGTCAGTAAGTGTATGAGTTTCCTCTGGCTGCTGTAACAAGTGACCACAAATTTAGTGGCTTACAACAACACAGGTTTATTACTTTATATTTCTGGAGGTCAGAAGTCCAAGATGAATTTTACTGGGCTGGAAGTAAGGTGTACAAGGCTGCACCCTCTGGAGCCTCTGGGAAAGAATCAGTTTCTTTGCCTTTTTCAGCTTCTAGAGGCTGCCCAGTTTCCTTGGCTTGTGGCCCCTTCCCCCATTTCCACAGCCAACAGTGTAGCATCTTCCAGCCTCCCTCTGACTGTGACCCTACTTCTGTCGTCACCTCTCCTCTCTTCCTCTGCTTCCATCTTAAGAGGACCCTTGTGGTTACGTTGGACCCCCACCCCACCACCCCATGTAATCCAGGATAGCCTCTCCATCTCAAAATCCTAACGTAATCACATCTGCGAAGTCCACTTTGCCACATGGGGTGACAGATCCACAGGTTCCAGAGATTAGGATGTGGACATCTTGGTGGAGGGACATTATTTAGCCAACATAATTAGTGTTAGCTGTTTCTGTAAAATGAAACAGAACCAAACTGGCTAGCTTGGGGATGGAATAAACAACAATTTGGTCAGTATAGTTAACTGATACCATTGGGCACTTGATGTGTTAGCTCAGTCCTGCGTCAAGACCTTGGCGTTATCCACCCCCTCCTTGGAGCTTGTTTCCTTCCAGAGCTTTGGAGGGTCAGCGCCTTCTCATCCTTCAGGTGTCAGCTCAGATGTCACCACACAGAGAAACAGGCCCCTGATCCGTTTCCTCTGCCGTAGCACATCACCCCATTTCCTTCTTTGGCAACATCTGTAACCTTTTAGCTTGTGCGTCTGCCTGATGCATTCTGCGTGCCCTCTGAGAATGTCAGCTCCAGGAGGGCAGGGACCGTGTCTGTCTTGTCCACTGCTCTTCCAGTGCCCGGAGCAGTGTAGGTGCACAGTACACATCCGTTTAGTGAGTAAGTGAATAAAGCCGTATCAGCACAAATGCCGTGTGCTTAATGCCCACGCTCTCCTGTTGTGGTAGGTCCTTTTATTATCGTTCTACCTCCTAGAAATGGAAACAGAGGCTCAGGGAGGCTGAATCATTGCCTCAGGTCAACGGTGACTAGATTTACACTCAGGCTCTCCTGCTTCCAGAGTTCTTGGTCCTGTCCACCTCTCTGCCTCATGGCCTTGGTGTTATTAGAAGCTGCCTGAGCCAGCTGTGTTGATGGCCAAGGATGCTGGCAGGTCTTGTGGTCTCTGCCGCAGTTTTTCTTTTTTTTTTTTTTTAATTTATTTTATGGAAGTATAGTTGATTTACAATGTTGTGTTAATTTCTGCTGTATGGCAAAGTGACTCAGTTACCCACATATATACATTCCTTTTCATATTCTTTTCCATTATGGTTTATCACAGGGTATTGAATATATTCCCCTGCTCTATACAGCAGGACCTTGTTGTTTATCCATTCTGTACGGAATAGTTTGCATCTGCTAATCCCAAACTCTGCCACAGTTTCTGAATGCAGCTTTTCAGGCCCACCCATTTCTTCCATCCAGGTCTGTTGTGTCAAGTCTGGACTCCCCTGCCAAGACTAGCTCCATGGAAAAGAAACTTCTCATCAAAAGCAAAGAGCTGCAGGACTCCCAGGACAAGTGTCACAAGGTATTTATTTCCGCAGCCGGCCTCCCTCCTTGCTGCAGGAGCCTCCCGTCAATATATGCCAAGGGATCCGCCCGGGGCCGCCGCTGGCGCCGAGCCACCTGATCCTTCCCGCGCTGAAGTCGCGCCTCCGGCAGCTCAGAGGGAGATGAATTCGGGCCTTGACGCTGCCGTAAATCCTTTAAATCTTAACCAGAGGAGGCCCTGGATATAAAGCGGCCAGTTCCTCAGCATGACCCAGCTAGATGTCTGCGTCTTCTGGCAGGTGGCGTGGGTCCTCACCTGTGGCCGAGATGCATCCCATCTGCTTTGAGTGATGCGAAGTCTCTCTTCCTAGTCTTTAAAAACTCCTGCTTATGTAACTGCGGCCACTGTGTTGATTATGCTCAACGTCTCTTAACGCTCACTGTTTCTGCCCAGGGGCAGCTCTCTGGAAGCTCGTAAGAGTCACTTCTTGCCTGGGACTCCTAAGAGTGCAGACGAATCCATATCTCCTTGCCCTGTCCTGGATTTGTCCTCTAGATCTTTGCAAGGAGATGGGGGGGATCAAGATGGATTTGGGGTAAAATTAAACTGACGTCTGCAAAAAAAACCCAAACCAAACCCAAAAAAAAGCAAACAGGTGAAAAAAATGGTGATTGTGGCTTCCTCGCTCACTGGGTTAGAGAAGTGATCGAGTGTGAACCCAGCCTTGCATGAGAGGAGTGACTTAGCATTGGTGACTGCCCTTACGAAGACCTGTGCGCTCCCAGGCGAAGAAACCATGGTATTTCCATCCCAACCTTTTGGCGAGTTAGCGCCAGCCAGGACCACCAGGTGGTCTCGGAGGTGGCTTGAGATGCGATTGCTCCTGACGAACACCCCCCCGCCCCCCGCCCCCCGGGCCTTTTTAACGTGTCGCTGTGTTTATTTCAGATGGAGCAGGAAATGACCCGGTTACATCGGAGAGTGTCAGAGGTGGAGGCTGTGCTTAGTCAGAAGGAGGTGGAGCTGAAGGCCTCTGAGACTCAGAGATCCCTCCTGGAGCAGGACCTTGCTACCTACATCACAGAGTGCAGTGTGAGCCTTCCCCCCAAAGCCCCCTTCCCTCGGAGCGGGCGCTTCCCGTCGTGTGTGTCTCATCCTGTTTCGTGACAGCATCATGAGGCACATCACAGCCAGGGGCAGAGAGGAGAGAGAGGGAGGACGCACGAGCAAGACCTGTGATGTGCAGAGTAGCGGGAGCCGGGCGTGAGGGCCCAGAGGCCTGAGATCAGGCTCAGAAAGTCCAGGTAGGAGCCTGGAGACGGGCATAGACGGCGTTGCAGAGGGTCTCAGCATCTCCCATCCCAACCTCTCTGCTCCACCTCGTGTCCAGCACAGTCAGCCTCAGGAACCAAGCTCCCAAATAAGTGCAAGAAAATGTATTTTGAATCTGTCCCAAATCAATATTCCATTGCCTAGAACCAGCGCAGCAACAAGCAAAACTCAGCCTTTAAAACCCAGACCCTCTGTCATCTTTTACCATGCGACTTTTGTTTTTCTTTCCTTCACAAGAGTGGACTGTCTTCTCCATTGTCTCGTTAAAAATTTTCATTCAGGTGTTTTTTAATGTACAGTCTTAACAAGTTGAATCACACATTTTTCAAGTGTTTTTTTTTTCCCCCACAAGGGAGAGGAAATCTATAGAGCGTGGCTGATTAAGAATAACTGCTATGTTTCCATTCCAGATTTGGCCTCCTTTCAGTGGTGGGTAAAGTTATTCAGCTTTGTATTTCAGATCTATATTTCAGTGTCACTGAAGCATTGAGGGAACCTTTTGGATGAAAGGTGTCCAGGAAACGTAAGCCAGGAGGTGGAAATAGTTTGCTTGGAGTCTTAAATGGCACCTGGGCAGAGAATGAAGTCATTGCTACTTTGAAAGAGGGATATATACTTGACAGTCCTCGAATAACTGCTATTCCAGAAACGACTTTGTAGCTACCCCAATGATGGTTTCACGGCTAAGGGATCTTATTAGTTTTTAGTTCTGAACATACAAGTAAGTATCTGCGAAGGCAGGTAGGAAACAGGTGGATGCAGTTGCAGGCTGGATCCATAAGGTCATAAGGTTTGAGATGATGTTTCTTGAACCAAGGGGTTTTACAGGATGAAACCTGGAATCAGCGACTCACCGGAAGTTGTCGACTTTGGCCCGTCACCTGAAACCATCTTGGTGTCTGCGAAGCAGCCTGCAGCTCCCTTAATGAATCTTTTCAAACAGAGCAGGATCCACAGGACAACCCTATTAAAATTTTGCTTTCCGCAGAGCTTAAAGCGAAGTTTGGAGCAAGCACGGATGGAGGTGTCCCAGGAGGACGACAAAGCACTGCAGCTTCTCCACGATATCAGAGAGCAGAGCCGGAAGCTCCAAGAAATCAAAGAGCAGGTATGGCTCCCTGCCTGGGAGCAGGGCACCAACCGGACCTCTCATTTCAGGAGAGGTGTGTTTGAGGGACAGAGAGAGGGAAGGGGGAGCGGTGAGGAGAGAAAGTTATGTAGGTCATTTGGAACTTTTAGATTCCCCATGATTTATATAAATGGCAGAGTCCTTGTTCTATCTAGCTCCTTGTGAAGTCTGGACCCCATGATGGCTACTTTTTTCAATCGAAGCTGTAGGTTTAGAGCAGGGGTGGGCAAACTGCAGCCTGTGGGTGAGAATCTGGCCAACCACCTGTTTTTCATGACCACAAGCTAAGAATGGTTTTTGCATTTTTAAACGGGGGAAAAAACTCAAAAGAAGAAGAATATTTCATATGGAATTCACATTTCAGTGTTTATAAAGTTTTATTGGAACACAGCACAGCCATTCATTTAGGTACTGCCCATAGCTGTTGATCATGCTACAATGGCAGAGGTGAGTGCTTTTGACAGAGACCACGTGGACTGCAAAACTGAAATGGCTTCCTATCTAGCTTTTTACCAAAAGAGTTTGCCAACCTTTGCTTTAGACCATTAAAAAAAAAATTAATGTTTTCATAGCTTTTCAGATGCACTTTAAGTTTTTGAGAAAAGCCAGGGTACTTCATAGTCTTACTTATCTAAAGACTTATCCTGGAAGAAGAGTTTGAGCAGTTAAGGCCGAGTCAGAATTGACACGGCAAATCTGACTGCAGAAAGCCCTCCCCTGTGTGTTCAGAAAAGAGAATCCAGACCTTTAAAAAGCCTCCTCTCTTTTTTTACCCCCTCTATTTCTAAAAGGAGTTTCTTTCTAGATGGTTCATTTTTATTTCACTTCACTGTTTCCTTTTTAGCATGGATTTTCTTTTTTTTTTTGTCCTTTGAAGAAACTGTGAATAGAAACTTTAATGAAGAGAATGCACTGAGCAGTCGGAGAGCTGAATTATCAGCTGCCAGGCAGCTCTCATTCACTTCAGAAAATCTAGTGGAAACAGTGATGGAAATGAACATTTTCGTCTCTGGGTAACGCACACTTAGCCATCTGGGTGGTGCTGATGCAAGAAACGCCGGCAAATAATTTGATTCCTTAGCTGTTCTTTACAGAAAGAATTCCTGTTTTGGATGTTTTGTTGGCATCGTCTCATTATCACCTTAATACTTTTTAAATCATTGGTTAATATCCTCTTGCTTGATAAAAGTGTTCTGAATAAACGTGCATAGGAAATGGTGCAAATTGGTTGTCAGGTTTCTGAACACCACCACTAACTTAGAGATTTTGAAGGTCACACCTACAGCTTGAAAAAATCTGCTTTGACAGTTGACTCGTTGCCCCTTTTATCAACACAGTTTTTCATCCTAAAAGTTTCAAGAGGTAGGATTCTTTTTCTCCCATTAGTTCAGTGTGGTTGGAAATTTGCTTTTGGTGACATCCTGGGGAAATGAAAGCTATGCTTGGCCACCAGAGGGAGCAGCTGGTGTCTGTGAAATTCCATAGAAACAGAATTATCAGGACACTTTGAAAAGGTGTATGCTGGTGGTTGAGTTCAAAGAAATGTCCTTTGTGATTCATACCACAGTTGGCATCCATGTGGAATTTTAGATTTAATGACTGCTAAACGTTCCATTTTGAGGGGGAGAAAACTTCTTCGTTTCAGATTTTATTTCTCATCGGAAGAAGGATTTATTAAAATGACTCTCGGTAAGTTTGGTGAGAGCAGGATGTTTGCAATCCAGGAAAAAGCATTTAATACTTTCCGCAAACTCCTAGTATTTGGTTTGCAGCCTGTCAATTCCTCCCAGGTTTGCCATTTATTCCGCACTCTTCCTCTCAAAGCCAATTTCTGTACCGCTGTTTATTTAAATATGTTGCTTCTGCTTAGCTACCCCCAATGGAGCACTTGAATTTGGTTTAAAATAAAAACACCTAGGGAATTCCCTGGTGGTTCAGTGGTTAGGACCCTGCGTTCCCACTGCAGGGGGCATGGGTTCTATTCCCGGTCGGGAAACTAAGATCCCACGTGGAGTGGCCAAAAATTAAATAAACAAATAAAAACACCTAAGCGTCTCACATGATGGTTAGATTCATGCTCCATCAGTAGCAATTGCTGATTTCGTCCCACCCCTCCCCTGCCCCCCTCCACCCCCCATCCCTGGAAGGGAGACAGAAGTTCAGGTAACACAGAAGGCATTTGGGTTTCAGGATTTCTGATTGAATAGGACCATGTCTTCCTTCCCACAAAATTCTGAAGCTCCATTCCAAAGAATGACTCAAGGCAGGACCCAAAAGTTGTCCACGGTTCCCCATTCTGATCCTGTTCAACTCTGACCCACAGTTCAGCCCATGCTGAGATACATACAGCTGCCTCTCAGCTGTCCTTGGGAACTGACCTGATTATCTTCTCAGAGTTTTCCTGAAGCAGGGATTTGGTCAGCTGTTGGATGTATAGGATTTCCTTGAAGCATCCAACAGAGTAACAGTGGCTCAATAAATGAGGTGGAATTTTGTTTGATGCTTGTAGCAGGCCGGTGCCCCCAGAGCTCAGATTGCTGACAGAGATGTTGCCTGATTCTTGCCTTCCTCCCCCTGGGCGCTGACGGCTCAGGAAAGAGAGATGTTGGGGGAACAGCGCTCTGTCCTCACTCTTGACAAAACACAGAAATTACGTTCCCTTCTTGCCGACATAAGTTTAAGTCAGACAAGGGAGCTCAAGGATAAAAGATGGACAAGAGTGCCTCCTACCTCTTTGCTTCCTCCACAGCTTGGTATTTGTGTCTGTGGGGACTTTGGATTTTTTAAAACTCTAAAATCAGAAGAAAAAAAAAGAGTTTTAGGTAGAAGAAACGGTTTTCGTAGGTAATGTTTTTGTCTTTATATGTATGCTGCTATTGTAAAATAGAATTATATATATATAATATATATATAATATATATTATATAATATATTTTATATATATATATATATATATTTTTTTTTTAAATGGAGGAAGGGATCCAGGTAGGCACAATACCCAGAGCTATGAAAGTCATAATAAGTCATGACACAGCCCTGGCCGAGGGGTCTAGAGAAACCCCAAGTAGAGGGTGTACTGTTTCACATCACCGGCTCACGCTCCATTCTGTGAGTTGAGATAATTGTTCAGTAGGTTATAAAGACCTTTGCTTATATAACCCAGCACCACTCACTTAGTGGGCATCGTCCAGAAAACCTGGCGCCCCATGACTTGTAGGATTGACCTTCAATAACAATACAGTCGGCCCTCCGTATCCACGGGTTCCATGTCTGCGATTTCAACCACCTGTGGACTGGATTTGGTTCTGGAGCCGTTCCCCTGTGGATACCGAGGGACGACTGTACGCTTTTGGGTGGGAAGGAGTGAAATGAGACCAGGCTCCATCCTGTGCTCAGTTTTTCTGCTTTCCGCTGTGCCAGTAATACAGAGAGATGTGCTTACGTGAAAACTATCCATTTTCGTAAGGTCACCTCCCCTTGAGTGTGCACTGGGGGGACTGCCTGTTACAAAGGATGAAAGGTTTACTTTATATTCTGTTACTAAAAAAAGAAAGAAGAAAAAAGACATTTTATTGGTTAAAAGCATAACCTTGCTCAGTTGATCCCTCTTCAGTTATTTCTTGGGGGAACGGATCTTAGAGATTATCGCTGTACATTGCGAAGGTCAAAGACAGTCTTAATTCTTTATTCTTTTCGTTTTAAATCCGCCACCTTGGATTGGATAAACTGCTCATTCATAATCCTTATATATATAAGCTTTGCTTTTGCTAACAGAGAATATTTTCATACTCTGCCCCAAAGTTTTCGAAACCATTGCCCATTTCTTCTGGTAAATCAGTTTTGGAAAACTTTGATGCAGATGTCCTGTTTTGTTTTGTTTAATTTTTATTAATTTTTTACCAAGCCTTTTTTTTTTTTTTTTTTTTTTTTTTTTTGTTTATTGGCCTCCCCCTTTTTTTGCCTCCCTCGCCGCGGAGCACAGGCCCCGGACGCACAGGCCCAGCGGCCACGGCTCACGGGCCCAGCCGCTCTGTGGCACGTGGGATCCTCCCAGACCGGGGCACGAACCTGCGTCCCCTGCATCGGCAGGCGGACTCCCAACCACTGCGCCACCAGGGAAGCCCCAGATGTCCTGTTTTGATTTTAGAAATTCAATTTGGAAAAGGTTGGGCCATTGGGATTACTTTAAAGGCTTTTGCTCGAGGGAACAAGATAATTCTTTCTTCAGAGTCTTTCTCACAAGTTACTTTGATCAGAGCCAGTGTTTCCTGACTCTTCCAAATTTCAGGGTGACTTGCCTCTCAAGAGCAATGTTTAGTTCATCATGCAGTTTGGGGCCCAGAAAAATTAATGGTGAGAAACTGACATGATGAGTTTCACCTTCCGAGATTCTCTCCACTGAGATTTCCAATTACCCCCTTGTGCCATCTGAAAGGTTAATTTTAAAACTAGTACCATATCTAATTGTGTTAGGAGCACATAACTTCTAAAGGACAAATCTGTATAAATGATTACCCTTGGAGGAAAGCTACGCATAAGCAGATTATCCTGGTTGTTTAAAGTACATCCCTTTCAGCTCTCCTGTGTTACAAAGGTCTTAAGGTTCTGCACTTCTTGTACGATATTATTTGCTCAAAGGATCTTATTGTGTATAGGCACATTTGTTCCAAATGGTGTTACTAGTGATTCATGATCTAGATGAAAACAGTTTAAAGATTTAATATTCTTTTCTCCCTCCTCGTCCATCCACACACCTCGCCCTTATCCCCATCTTTCTACTCACCTTTTCTCTAGGTCCATTCTCTCCGATCTCTCTTCACTGTGTCTTCCCTCTGTGGTCTGTGTTTTTCCATCTTCACCTCCCATCTTTCCTTTCAGGAGTTCCAAAATTCACCTTCCTTCCATTGCCTACTCTTTAGGAGTACCAGGCTCAAGTGGAAGAAATGAGGTTAATGATGAATCAGTTGGAAGAGGACCTGGTTTCGGCCAGAAGACGGAGTGATCTCTATGAATCGGAGCTCAGAGAGTCTCGGCTGGCTGCCGAAGAGTTCAAGCGGAAAGCAACAGAATGTCAGCATAAATTGATGAAGGTAGCCAGCTCCCTGCCGGGGAGGGTGTTTTGGGGGTAGAATCATGGATGATCTTAGCAATAATAAAGGGAATCCTAGCTTCACGAGTGTACATTTGGGAAATAATGGGGTGTCCTGCAAAGCCTCCTGGTCTTGGTTAGAGAAGATACTTAATTTTTTTTTATCATCATCCTCATTATTTTGACCACAGAGACCAAGAAAGCCTGTAGTGTTGTCTTATAAAACTTTTAGGTTCTTGAGATTTTCCAATATGTTGTATCTTTTAAATTACAGGCTAAAGATCAAGGGAAGCCTGAAGTGGGAGAATATGCCAAACTGGAGAAGGTATTTTCCATTATTGGTATCGTGATTTTGGGTAGACAGCCTCTTAAATGTTGTTCTCCGTGGCCTGTCACTGGTTAAGAATACACTTGGGATGAATAGAGAACTGTCTTCTGGGTTTATTTTGATGGTCAGTCTCTGGATGACCATGTTTAGCTTCAGCTATGTTTCTAAAAGGGATAGAAGACACCTCATTTTTTTTGGTCAGGCCCGCTCACAGTAACACACAAATCCAGACACTCAGTAAGACACGTGGGAAAATTCTTACTGTTTTAGGGTACCGGCGACTTTGTTTCTCTTTTTTTGCCATCTGTATGTGTGTTGCTGGTTCTAGAGAAATAGTCCACATGGACGTTTGCACTGAGACATTCAGAGGTTTCTCTGATAGGCTACTGTTCTTCCTCTCCATCAGTAGGTATTGGAAAACAAAACAAAGAGACCCCAACAGAAACCTCAAGAAAATAGGACTGCAGTAAATGTAGAAAGACCTTAATGCCAATTTGCCTTTTTTGCTTTATTTCCTGGGATTTTAATCACAGATCAATGCTGAGCAGCAGCTCAAAATTCAGGAGCTCCAAGAGAAGCTGGAAAAGGTAAGCCTGAGGTGATGTTTTGGGGAACTTACCCCCATTTCCACATACTTCTTGCTTTGTCCTGGAGCACAGGCGATCAAAGAAGGAGAATTAGTCACCCAGCACCAAGGAAAATGAAGGGAGAGTGAGTTATTACCTGAAAATACAAGAGTTCTGAATATACTTTCTCTTTTTGAGACATGTCAAGCAGTGTTTGTTTAAAAAACAAACAAAAAACCCACAAAGCTCTGTGAGACTCTCAAGTCAAAGCTCTAATTGTACTACAGCAGAACCCAAGAGGCTGTCTCGTCTCCCTTCAGGGGACCGGGTCCCCATCTTGCATGGGAGAAGCCTATGTTGTTCACGACCCAGACAGCTTTCAATCAGAGACTGTCGGCAGTCTTCCTGTGCATTGGGAACCTGGAGGGACCAGTAGTCCTCAGGTGATTGGGGATGGATGTGGGTTTGGTTTACCGCATTGGGCACAGTGTGTGCAAAGGGCCCTTCCTTTAGGTGAACACGGGAAATGCTAAAGAAAGGGCCAGGATGAATGTGGCCTTTCATGTCAAGAACGTTTGTGAATGTGTTTAAAAGAGTTCCTTTTATTTTTTTTTTAAGATGTTGGGGGTAGGAGTTTAGTAATTTATTTATTTATTTTTGCTGTGTTGGGTCTTCGTTTCCTTGCGAGGGCTTTCTCTAGTTGCGGCGAGCGGGGGCCACTCTTCATCACGGTGCGCGGGCCTCTCACTATCGCGGCCTCTCTTGTTGCGGAGCACAGGCTCCAGACGCGCAGGCTCAGTACTTGTGGCTCACGGGCCTAGTTGCTCCGCGGCATGTGGGATCCTCCCAGACCAGGGCTCGAACCCGTGTCCCCTGCATTAGCAGGCAGATTCCCAAGCACTGCGCCACCAGGGAAGCCTCAGAGTTCCTTCTTTTTGTGTTATTAAAAACATATAACATTAAATTGTGTTATTAAAAACATACTACATTTACTGTCTTGTTTTGAGTGTCCAGTTCCTTAGTGTCAGATATATTCACATTGTGAGATAGATCTTGAGAACTTTGTCATCTCACAAAACTTAAGCTCTCTACCTGCCAAATGCTAATCTCCCCACCCCCACCCTTTGTAACCACCTTTCTTCTTCCTTCCCTCCCTCCCTCCCTCCCTCCCTCCTTCCTTCCTTCCCTCCCTCCCTCCCTCCCTCCCTCCTTCCCTCCTTCCTCTCTCTCTCTCCCTCTTCCCCTCCCCCCTTCCTTCCTTTTCATTCTATTTATTTTATTGAAGTGTAGTTGACTTACAGTGCATGTTACTTTCTGCTGTACAGCAAAGTGACTCAGTTATACATATATATACATTCTTTTCCATATTCTTTTCCATTATGTTTTATCACAGGATATTGAATATAGTTCCCTGTGTTATACAGTAGGACCTTGTTTATCCATCCTATATATCACAGTTTGCATCTGCCAATCTACTTTGCTTGTATGATTTTGACTGCTTTAGGTGCTTCCTGTGGATGGAATCATACAGTATTTGTCCTTTGTGGCTGGCTCATTTTGCTCAGCACAATGTCTTTGAGGTTCATCCATGTTACAGCATGTGACAGGATCTCCTTTTCAGAGGCTGAATAGTATTCCATGGCCTGGATATTCTACATTTTCTGCATCCATTCATCTGTCCCCTTCCTACTTATTCTTGAGCTCACTACTGAAAGCCTTTCAGCTAGAAATTTGTGTGAGGATTCATATCTCCTAGAACTCTGCTCTCCAGTAGAAGTGGGAAGCAACCCACACATGTCAGCCTCAGATGTAATTTTAAGTTTTCTAGTAGCCACATTAAAAAAGGGAAAATCCTCTGAATGATATAGTTTCCTTAATCCATTATATACAAAATATTGCAGCATGTAGTGATATTAAAACATGTACACTGGGCTTCCCTGGTGGTGCAGTGGTTGAGAGTCCGCCTGCCGATGCAGGGGACGCAGGTTCGTGCCCCAGTCCGGGAAAATCCCGCATGCTGCGGAGCAGCTGGGCCCGTGAGCCATGGCCGCTGAGCCTGCGCGTCCGGAGCCTGTGCTCCGCAACGGGAGAGGCCACAACAGTGAGAGGCCCGCATACCGCAACAACAACAACAAAAAAAGTACACTGCTTCAGTTTTTAAATGAATTAAACTTAAGTAAAATTAAAAATTAATTTCCCAGTCACAGCAACCACGTTTCAGGTGCTCACCGGGCACATGTGGGGAGCAGCTCCCACGTTGGACAGTGCTGGTCTCGAAGTTGGAGTTCCCTTGCCATTTTCACGTTTTAAAACTATAAAGCAAATGAGTGTGAAGTTGTTGGTTTCTTACACTCAGATCTTTACTGTGATGCTGGAAGAGCTGCAGTATAGTTAAGACCCAAATAAAAATTAACTTCAAAAGGGTTCGCTATTTTTTCTTTAAACATGAATTTGCGAGTCACCACGAACAGTGTGGTGGTTATGCCCTTTGATAGGTATTTATTTGAGAAAAAAAAGTTTATAGTTTTTATCTTGTTTTCTTGTAAAAGTAGTACAGATTCCCCTTAGGAAAATCAGCAAATGAGATGATTAAATAGGGAGACAATTAACAGTCCGGGGTAAATACATTAATACCTGGGCAGATGAACCCGAGACCTTTTTGTTTGCATTTATTATGTTACATTGAATCTAAGATGCTAATGATTGTCCGATACCCCATTATCTTCTGTACCCCAAGAAAGAAAAAAACACCATCAATTTTAAGCGTAGATGCATTCCAAATTCAGCGATGTTAAAAAAATATATATAAGTGCACCTTAGGACAGGCGAAACACAGAATAAAATGAAACGTTTATATGTTTTGAAAAATGGATAAAAATATCCATTCAGTGTGACCCGATTTTTTTTCCTGTTTAGGAGATGGTCCCCATCTTTTTCCGTGGATAAATTGGGCCATCTCTCCCCTGTTCCTTCTCCTTTCAGGCCGTGAAAGCCAGCACGGAGGCCACTGAGCTTCTGCAGAACATCCGCCAGGCGAAGGAGCGGGCTGAGCGCGAGCTGGAGAAGCTGCACAACCGCGAGGACTCTTCCGAAGGCATCAAGAAGAAGCTGGTGGAAGCCGAGGTGAGCAGGGGACCTCCAGCTCCCGGCTCCCGAGGTGCCTGGCCTCTGGCTGTGCAGGGGAAGAAACCTCGGGACCACCCTCTGTTCATCCAAACCACTGTCCCGTCCGCCAGTCCCTTTGAAACCCGAGAGGTTTGGGACCATTTTCCCCAAAGGGGAGAAGGATTTGTCACAGCAGCTCTGAGTAGAAAGATGTTTTGATAAAACCTTTCCTTCCTATTTGTTTTCCTCTGACCCGTTCGCCCGTGTGGGAGGATTCACGTTTATGTAGATGAACTGTGATGCCGTCCCTGAGGGTTCCTTTTTCTTCCCTCTGTACCCTTGCTTTTCCTCACCTTCTCCCCAACGGTGTTAATAATACATTAATTTTCGAGGCTTCAGCTGTGACCTGTGTGTGTTGATAACTCCCAGATCTACATTTTTGGGCCTCTTCTCTCTGTCCAATTCTTTGTTGTTGTTGTTGTTGAAACCAATTATATAATTATACAGGAAACACACGAGTGTTTTCTCATTGTGAAAAACATAGAACTGAAGAATATAGAATAAAAAGGGACGTTTCCCCTTTGCCGCCCTCCACCTCCCCTGACGCCTGGTTGATGGGTCCATGGAACGGATGTGTCATAGTTGATTTAACCACCCCCCTGTCCTGGGCCTTCTGCTTCTCTGTCACAGTGCTGGCGTTGAACCTACTTGCCTACGTCTCTTTGGGGCCAGCCTCACCCACGATCCAGGAAGTATTTCCCACTGCTCCCCTGATATCTTGACTGGGTGTCTGAACAGTGCCTCTGATCTAGAATGAACTCAGTATCTTCCCCGACAAGCTGGGTTGCCTTCTCAGTCTTCCTCGCACCGGTCAGGGCCCCCATTCATCCATCTGGTCACCCCAGGCTTGACACCTTGACATCATCTGCTGCTTCTCCCTGGATCCTGCCATTCCGAGAGTCCCTCAGCCCTGTAAATACACCCACACTGTCTCCACCGTCCACCCTCTGCTGGCCATTTCTGAAGGCCTCCCCACAGTGTAGGCCCTCTTCCTCTTCGCTGGGTGAATGTAGTAATTTCTCGGCTTTCTGCTTCCAGGCTCACCTTCCTCCCATCTAGCTCAAACAGGGTCAGACTCGTGGACCTCAGACTCCAGGCTCATCAGCACCCCTTGCCCCATCCCAAACCTTTCAGGGCTTCCCTACATCTTAAGTGCATGAGACTCTCAGCCCTTTGCCCCACACATGCTCCCCTTTCCCGTTTTCTCCAGCTCCTCCGCTATTACACCTTTTGCAGTAGCCCCTCTACACTCCACCTGGGGCCTACGCTGGCTCTCGGCCACCTCCGCACTGCTGCTGCTGCACCTTTTTTTTCGGTACACGGGCCTCTCACCGCCGTGGCCTCTCCCGTCGCAGAGCACAGGCTCCCGATGTGCAGGCTCAGCGGCCATGGCTCATGGGCCCAGCCGCCCCGCGGCACGTGGGATCCTCCTGGACCGGGGCACGAACCCGCGCCCCCTGCATCGGCAGGCGGACTCTCAACCACTGCGCCACCGGGGAAGCCCTGCTGCGCCTTTTTTTGAAAGGCCTTCCCCACTCCCCTCTGGCCCTCTCCCCTCCAGCCTCCCACATCCCGACCCTCTCCACAGCGTCCACATCCCCTCACCTGCTCAGTTCAAAGCCCTCCCTCCGGCCTGCACCCTCCCACAGCCCTCTGTACCTGTTTGCTTCATGGCCCTGGCCCTCTTAACCCATATCGTGTTTATTTGTGTTTATCTTACCTCTTCCAAGGGCAGGCATTCTGTCAGCTTCCTCTCGGTATTTTCCACGATGCCTAGCGTGGTACTTTGCAGATAGTAGGTGCTTGGTAAATATTTGAATGAATGAATGCACTCTTGTAACCTGCACAAGCAAGTACTCCTCGGATCACAGAACTGTGTTTTCCTCACCGTGGCTTCGGGTGCCTGAGACTTCTCTTCCCGCATCGAGCGTACGCTTCCCGAGGGCCCCCTCCCTCGGCGCAGGCGTCGTGCCCGTAGCGGTTACCCCATTAAAACTCTCTGATTGATTCACGATCTACAGGAACGCCGCCACTCTCTGGAGAACAAGGTAAAGAGGCTAGAGACCATGGAGCGTAGAGAAAACAGACTGAAGGATGACATCCAGACAAAGTCCCAACAGATCCAGCAGATGGCTGATAAAATTCTGGTGAGCAGGAACCAAAGTTGACAAGTTCAAAGATAACAGGTTAGAGGTTGTAGAGGGAAGGGGGTCAACAGAAGAATCAACCACCGTCACAGGGGAGGTTATCGCCAGGCAGGTGAATTAAGAGGAAGTGGTTTTAGCGGACGCCACGTCAGAGACTAGCACGAGTAACCACAGGCTGGACATTTCAGCAATGGTAACAGATCCATCAGTATGATTTTTTTTTGCTCTGTTTGCTACTGCCTGACTTTTGAAAACGTGAACGTGCACACGCTGTCATTTCCGATACATTTTTACAGGAGCATTTACGTACTTCTATCAGCAGAGTTTTGTATGGCCGTTAAAGTTGCAAATGCCCGTTTGAAAAAGGTGTAGGGATTCAGGGCTTTAAGACCGACACCCAGATTCTTGGTTTTGCAGAGGAAAGAAATTAGTCACGCAGATTTTTTCGGAGTAGCATTTGTCATAGATCCGTGTTCACCCACTCACTTTCTCTGCTCCAGTTGGTGCGTAATATTATTATTATTTTCACTTTCCTTAGAGGTAGCATATCGTTTTTTAGGTTTGTAACCACGATGATTTTGTTTTCGGCTCTGACGACCAAATTAACTTAATCAAGGAAGGCTTGGGTGGTGCTTGCCGACGTGTCAAAGTTTTGCTCTTGCCAGGGTGAAAGGCAGGTGAACCTTTAAAGGACTCTCCTTGGATTTCAGTCCCCAAACCAAGAATTTGATGCCACTTTGGGGAGCCTGTTTGTAGCCCTTTCCTCCCTGCCCCGAGGACTGACTCTGGAGTAGTCGGGCATTCTTCTGCACCAGAAAGAGACAAGGTGGTGAGCGGGGTGCTTTCCACCTCCCTCTCTCTGTCTCTCCCTCTGCGTCACTTCTGGGAAACGAGTCACCAGCAACTATATGAACTCAAGAATGACCGACTTATAGGCCTATATACTTAATACCAAAAAAAAAAAAAAAAAAAGAAAACCCAACCCTTCAAAACGTTACATTTCTGTTTGTCTATATTCGTGAGTCGTGTGGGCACTCTTGAACGCACAGGTGAAAAGAGAAACCGGTTAAATTGTTTTGCTCTGACACACAGTCTTTATAGATAATGTCTACACACAAAGGCAAATGTGATTGTCAGTCTATCCTTTCTGTTCTCTTGTTCCATCATCCAAGTATCTCTTGGCGATTGTCAAATGTGTGAATTTTACTGTGAGTCAAATGAATTCCCACTGAGATTCCACCACTGCTACCCCCTTGCTTGGTGCAAACGACGTGGTTAAGTCTTGTGGTTGCAAAGTGTTTCTCTGTTTAATGGTGATGTGTTCATTCATTCATTCAACAAATATTTAATGAGCTTCTACTATGTGCCAGGCACTGTTCTAGGAGCTGGGAATAGAGCAGCAAACAGTACTGTTTGCGTAACAGGACTGAAGAATCTGATCCAACACATGTAGAGAAGAAGATAACGTTTTAAAAAATGACAACAACAACAAAAAATGCCAAACTGTCAAGAAGTCAGGTTTTAGAATGTCTGCTTTTCCAAGGTTCACTTGCCAATTAAAATGTGGGAGTGTAGAGTTCTGCATTCCTGGATTATATGTTGTAAACTCCCATGCATAAGTAGACCGGAAATTTGGTCTTAAGGTTGTCAGTCTCAGGTATCTGAGTTTTTGACCTGTTTTCAGATTGATTTCCATTCCTGTGCTATCTTAGGAGGACTGAAACTAAGACAAGACGATTATCAAGTGATTTCTAAAATAAAGAAAAAGTAGGCAGATTTCTTTTTCCAAGTGTATCTTGCCACCTGTCCGAGTACCTTTGTGGCTGTGACTTCATTTATCGGAAGGTGCCTTTTGCTCAAGAACCTGGTGCTTAGGTTGTGAAGTATCTGGGATGTGGGCAAAGAGGGATCCTTAGTACTGTTACATAATGATGATGCTTGGAAACACATCCCAAATATCATTTGCATTAAAATATTTGCTATTCTGATAAGAACTTTCAAAACAGCTAATTGGGGTTCTCATTCTAGCAGAGTCTTTTGCTTTAATAAAAGACCTCATTGTCAGGGACCCTTTAATATACATAAAGCCCTGAAAGTATGTTTTTATTACTAAAAATCCTGTTTACATTCAACTTTTCAAGATAACATCTGTTAGCTTGCAGTAGATCTTGTGCACCTGGTCTTAACATTGAATACTTTACTGGCCCCCAAAGCAAAGTCAAATGCTTGCAGACTTTAGAATTTCAAAAGCTTAATCAGTAACATTTCATGTGTGTGTGAATCTAAAATTATTCTTTTCTCCATTTTATGGGCATATCCTGTATAATTTCCTCGTTCTTCAAAATTCTCATAATTATTTCCATTTCAAAGGAAAATTTCAAGATAGTATGAAGAGATGAAAACTTGGAGTAATGACTTTTGATATTAGTAATTAACTAATGGGTCCAGATTCATAAGAATTAATGTAAACGCAGATAGCTTCATTTAGAGAATGTTTTGGTGAGTTGAATGCTGCCTTTTATACGATCAGTTTATAATACGTTGGCAAATGAATTGGTATAATTTCCAAATGAACTACAATTTTGTTTGAAAGCAGAAATCTTGATAAAAGAATGAAAAGGACATTACATTTGAGCTATTTATTATTACTCCACGTTCTCTTCCTATCTTCAATGTATGTGTACACGTTTATGTCATTTTTAGTGAATTTTATGTTCTGCCTTGTTCCCATTAGCATTATATCATGTAAACTTCATATAAACATGATATCATATGAACACCTCCAGATATTCACATGCTCCATATTACCAGTCAGTTAAAATAATCATTCAAAACTGAAAGTGTTTGAATTGTTATATTAGTTTTCCTTCTTCACTAGGGTTCCTGAGCAATCATTTTGTTAATGAGGAAAATACAAAAATTTTTTTTATCCTCATAATAAATTAACTTAAAACTTAAATTGACATTACTTTCCTCATTTAAGGCCGTCAAGACAGTGGTCAGGGGCTTTGTGCGGTACTGAATTTTCAAGTTGTGTTGCCTCGTCACTCTCACTTCTCTAGGCAGAGATGAAGAGCTGCCTTTGTTTGACCTGTCGCACTGACAGATTTCTGGTCCCAGCCCACCAGCCATGTGCTTATGTGTGTGAATACTCGGAGCTGGAAAACCCAGGGCCAGGGCGTGGTGGTGGTTTCCTCTCCCAAGAGCCTTAAGGGCTAGTCACGAAGAAACAGGTGCCTGTTGCCTTTGGTGCCTGTGCCAAAGTGGTGTCTCCTGTGAACGTCTAACATGCATCGGCTCCGTCCTTCCCTCGCACACCTGACCGTCTGTTCTTTTGTGTCCAGGAACTGGAGGAGAAGCACCGAGAAGCCCAGGTCTCAGCCCAGCACCTGGAGGTGCACCTGAAACAGAAAGAACAGCACTACGAGGAAAAAATTAAAGTAAAGACACTTTACAGTCTTCCCTGCCCTTCCTCCTATAGCACCATGTAGTTCCTTTCTCTTCCCAGGCACTTCGGGCCACTTCTTGCTAGAACAGAGGACTCTCCGTGGTAAATGCTGTCCTCAGGCCATGGTGGGAGGTCTTGGGGTGTTATCCTTGGGGCGGATTGGATATCAGAAGTTCAAAAATAGTTTATTATTTAAGAAAATTTGATCATCATGTGTCTCAATTCCATCTTTAAAATGTTTTTTGATCCACTGTCACTGAGTCCATGATAATTTAGATTTAGAGAGATTCACCATCTCCTTGCTTTTAATTTCCTTCTTGCATCTTAGACCTGGAATTCTTTTCCTTTTTTTATAAAGTATATCCTTGAGGACTTTCTTTAGTGAAGGTCTGCTGGTGCCAGGCTCTCTGTTTTGTGTGTCTGAAAATGTCTCTATTTCATCCTTGTTCTTGAAAGATGTTTTGACTGGGGATAGAATTCTAGGTTGGCAGTTATTGCTTTTAATACTTTTTGAAGATATCATTCCATTGACGTTTGGCTTTTATTATTGCAGTTGACGGTCAGCTGTCAGTCTAACAGTTGCTTTCTTTAAAAGCAGTCTTTTTTCTTTTAAAACTTTGTTTTATCTTTAATTTTCTGAAGTTCTACTGTGATGTGTCTAGATGTGGAGTTATTTTTGTTTATCCTCCTTGAGATATACTGGACTTTGGAACATATGTATATATTTTAAAAAATCAATTCTGTAAAGTTATTGGTTGTTATATCTCAAGTATTGTCTCTTCCCCTTCTCTCTTTAATTCCCTTGTGAGAATTTGATTAGACGTGTTAGATTACCACCAATCTATCTTTTTTTTTTTTTTGTATTTTCCATTTCCTTGTCTTTTGGTGCTACATTCTGGTTAAGCTCTAACTGATTTTCCAGTGTACTAATCCTTACCTGTCTAATTTGCTGTTAAACCCATCCATTGAGGTATTTTAAAATTAATTAATTAATTTTTGGCTGTGTTGGGTCTTTGTTGCTGTGCATGGGCTTCTCTCAAGTTGTGGCGAGCGGGCTTCTCATTGCAGTGGCTTCTCTTGTTGTGGAGCACAGGCTCTAGGCACATGGGCTTCAGTAGTTGTGGCTTGCAGGCTCTAGAGTACAGGCTCAGTAGTTGTGGTGCACGGGCTTAGTTGCTCCGTGACATGTGAGATCTTGCCAGACCAGGGCCCAAACCCGTGTCTCCTGCATTGGCAGGTGGATTCTTAACCACTGTGCCACCAGGGAAGTCCCCATCCATTGAGTTTTAAATTTCAGTTATTGTTTCTATTTGTTTCTTGACATTCTGTTTGGTTCTTCCCCAAGTTTACTAGATTATTTAAGTCAATAACTTTCTATTTGCTGCATTGATTTGAAGCTTATCTTCTGCTTCTTTAAACGCATCAGCATAGTTGTTTTATGATCTGTATCTGATGATTCCAATATCTGAAGGTCTGTTTCTACTCTGTTGTTTCTCTTGGCTCTTTTCCATGGTGTCTCTCTTTTTCGTGTGCCTGGTCAGCTGCTCGTTTTCCTTGGAAAATTAATAATGAGAATTCTTTGAGGCCTTGAATGAAAATGTGTGCCCACCTTGTGGGTGGCTCTGGGCTTTGACTTCTTTGTCTTCTTACCCTTTGAGGCAATTAAAAATGAAGCTCAAGTTTATCTGGTTCAGCAAATGCCTCAAGTTCAAAATAGCTGGGTTTTTGCTTTCACTTAGATTTTAGTCTGTAATTTCTTACTCTCTTGCCAACATTTAGGTGCTTTTGGAAAATGTTTTCCATATTCTATCTAGCATTTTAAATCATTGTTCCTAGAAGAACTGGCCTAAATAGTCCAGCCTATCATATAAAATAATAAATTCAATTATTATTTTACTTACTGAAATTATTATTTCAATTCAGTTATTATTAATAAGTTCAGTGATCAGAAATGACTGCCAGCCTATCTATTTCCTTTTGAAATCACATCACATTTTCATTATGATTTTGGACTGAGCCTTTAACTAATTCTTACGTTCTTGAGAATCAGACATTGTTCATTACCATCTCAAATATTGTCTCTTTCCCTTCCAAGTCAGACAGTGAAGGAGGCTTTTAATTTTTGTGATGATCATGTTATTGATTTGGTTGGTATTCTCAAAGAGTTGGCTGTTCCTTTTCTGGAGAACCACACATGTACGTGCTCACACAGCATCTTCACCATCACTACCCTGACACTTTCTTTCTTTTACCCCTCGTGCTACTTTTGGTTATTTTTCATTGAAAGAAATACCAGGAAAATAACCCAGAAGGGACCACACTGTGTTTTAGTGTGGCCCTCTACTTTAGTGCATTTATCTACCAATCCTTTTTGGTGTCCAGACTTTTATCCTTGAGATAAACTGACTTTCAGAAATTTATGAGAATGTATACAGTAGTCCACTGGTATCTTTGCATGATGAAAATAACCTTTGCAAGTTCATTCTGTAATTTGGGTCAGTATGTTGACTTTTCTGTCAAAAAGCCATGTTCTATCGATACCTTCAATTGATATAAATGTCTACAGTGGAATCTCTCATTTCAAACAAATTCCTTGCTTCCCTCCCATGCATCTTCTTGTTCATCCTCCTGTCAGTTTAACCCACTCAAAGCCGGGATGTGTACATCCTTGAGAAAGGCTTGTTCCTTGTGGCTCACACTTACCTATGTTGGTATCCACCACTGCCAAAGTGGAGGTCTTAGTTTGAGCAGAGTCATCCTGAAAATGTGCTTCATTGCTTTAGCACTGCATAAAAAAAGGGCATTCCTGGTCTAGACATTAAGTGGTCTCTGCTACCTTCTAGATGGCGAGCACTTGGCTTTATAGATCCTAGAGAACGTTAGGGAGAGATCTGTTTTCTTCTGTCTTCCCTCCTGGCATCTTTATGAAGCCATTTCTTTTTAGTCTGCCCTGCTTTGTGTTCCTGTTCCGTCCCCTGTGAGGCCATTTTGGTAATAATTGTGATCATACCCCAGATTCTGTCCTTTTCTTGTTCATAATTTTAGAATCGTGCCCTGACGTCCAGGAGAGCAGGCCACTTACCCTCTTGAGGTTCGTCCCTTCTCCCATGACCCCGTCCTCCACCTCTTATTCTTCTCCGCCAACTCTCACTCTCTTTTTTTCATCAATCAGTTCTAGTTTAAAGCCCTCTTTGAAATCTGTTCTTTCCTTTCTTTATCATGTGGACCCCTTCCCTGTTCATTGGCTCTTTTCAGGGACTGTGTCCCCATGAGCTACGAAGGACCCATCACAATAGATAATGTGGGAAAGGCAGATTTCAGTCCCCATCTGTGACCCCAATTCTTTGGGCTTTCTTCCCAGTATCAGATGCAGTCGCCATCATTCAGAGAACCACAGTGATGAGAAACACAGGGTCGTGGTCAAAGGCTTGGCAAGTTATGACGTTGCCTTCCTTTTCTCCTCTCTTTTTCACCAGTTGTTCTGGCAGCTGGTGGGGCTATGTGTGTCCCTCGCAGAACATTAGATCAAGCTGGTGGATGGTGACACCATTACTGTTTTATTTTTTCCTCTTGGGAACAGTAGGTGCTTACAGTGGCATTCTCAGCACTGAGAACACATGATTTCTCTTCCCCTGGGAAAGATTTCTCTTTCCAGTGACTTTTTATTTTCACCCCCAGCTGGATCAGAGGAAAGAACGGAGGAAAGAGGCTTTTTTTTTTTTCCCCCTTTCCTTTATGCTGTCTCTTCAGTCTATTGACTCCCCACCTACTTTATCGGTGGGCAGAATCCACTCGTCCCTGGCTGTTTCTGAACGTCAGCCTTGGTCACACAGACTTCCTCGGTCTTCAGCTTTCCATCCCTCCACACACAGCCTGGAGATAACGAGATTAATTTTGTACAAATTAAGAGCAAGCAGTGTTCTGAAAACTACTGGCGCATTGACTACGATAACAGTGCCCCTAGGTAATAGCTGCAAATCGTAAGATCTCTAGAGAGATCTTTTTTTTTCCCTCTCATTCTGGAGTCCACCTCCCCTTTGGCTATACCTCTCAGGTCATTTTGGCTGCTGATTTAAAAATAAGTTCTTAGTTCACGTTCTCTGGTTACTTGCCATTTGATGGTCATACTTCTGCATCTCATCCTGGCTGATAGACAGACCCCCGCTCCCTCGCTCTGCCCCGGAGTTGGGGCAGCGTGGCTTCTCCACTGCTTTTCCCCTCCTTCCCTGTGTTTCTCCAGTGCCTCTGGTTAGTCTGCCAGACACTAACTTCTCCTTTTGTTTTTCCTCAGGTGTTGGACAATCAGATAAAGAAAGACCTAGCCGACAAGGAGACTTTGGAGAATCTGATGCAGAGACACGAAGAGGAGGCCCACGAGAAAGGCAAGATTCTCAGCGAGCAGAAGGCGGTAGGTAGACAGAATCACAAAGCCGGTTTCCAAGGGAGGGTGTGTGAACCACGCCAGGAGTCCCCCACCAGAGAAGAGTCCATTTGGTCTGTTTTATCCCGTGGAGTCTGCTGCTAACAGAAAGTTCTCTCTGCAACCCCTTCTCGTAAAAGCAGCGGCAGTGGTGGCTCGGGGTGGCCAGTTTTGCCCTTCACGCCCTTCTTTAAGAATTCACGCTGACCTGCGTCAACTAGAACCCTGTCTTTCAACACACCAACCCCCCGCCACCTCCCCGACGAAGTGCCCGGTGGCCTGTGGCCTCCCTTAGGCATCTCGTTTCCTTTCAAATCTGTGTAGGCAGATGTTTCAGAAACTTGCAGCTTAAGAGTTTCCCCTGTTGTGCTTGTTAATCTACTTATTATCTCAGACCCTACCGAGACTTTTCACAACAGAATCTCTAAAGGAGGGTCCTGGGAAGTAATATTTTTAACCCCCACCCCCCCGCCCCTTTCCTGCCCTGGCCAATTCTTATGATTCATTAAGTTGGGGAAGCTTTGATGCAGAGAATCTAGGACAGTAGGGGCTGGGTGAGAAGGAATCACCCAGAGAATGACAAGCTCGTGGGTGATGAGAAATAGGAACTTGCAGATGCAAGTTTAGAGGCTGTGGCAGGCTCAGGGCGCATGTGGACGACACGGGGATTTCACGAGGCCTGTCAACTCACGGAATGCCAGGTTCCTCAAGAGGTCCTCCCGCGTGTGCTTACTGCAGGCCCCTTAGCTAGTGAGGGGATATGCAGTCTCCGTTTGATAAAACAAATGAGTGCCATCGTTGGAGCAGTGAGATCTACGCTTCTCAGGGTACAGGCTAGTTGAGTCTCTGGTCCGATGGCCTGCCTTTCACATGACACTTTTCCTCACTTACGTGGCCCACTTCCCTCTCATTCCGGTGTTACCGTCTGTGTGTGAGGTTCCAAAGATCCCCCGTGTTTCAGATGATCAACGCCATGGATTCCAAGATCAGATCCCTGGAACAGAGGATAGTGGAATTGTCGGAAGCCAATAAACTTGCGGCAAACAGCAGTCTCTTTACCCAGAGGAACATGTAAGTGTTCAGATTCTAACTGTGTGCTTGATTCCGCTTTGGTCTTCTCTCCTGGGCACAAACTCTGTTCTTCTGTCGGCGGAGCAGGAGTGGATTTAACGACTCCTGTGGCGGGGCCCAGCCGCCGTATACTTACGTCATTTTGCCCTCTCTGAAGTGGTCTCACTCTACTGGCCCTCTCTTTTGAGCTGCGTTTTCTTACATGCTTCAAGTTACCATCCCATCACAGAGTGTTTTGCTCTCTCTAATGAGGTAATTTACAGTTTGCTTCTGGAGACCTCGTTCCCCAGACTCGCCTCCTGCAATTAGCCAGAGATGATCTCGGGTGTGCCCAACTGGGCCATCCGTTTCGCTGTTGTGAAGTTGGGCCCTTGGGGGTGAGTTTTGGGGTTTGGCAAGGACTCTCCTGTGTTCCCGGAGCACTTTGATCTTAATCTTTTCCCCCAAAGAATTACAATCTCCTTAAGAGATCTTAAACATTCCCATCTTAGTTTAAACCAGCTTGGTAGGCCGCTGTCCGATCTTTGAGTCATTCTAGCTTCTGAGCGGCCTGGTGAAGAGGTGAGCAAGATCAACAGAGAAGTAGAAGGAGTAGCATTCTTTCTCCTCACCGCCCTCTCTTCCCCAGGGCCTGTCTTAGTGAGTCGTCAGGGTGCTCCTGTACTCTCAGGAGGCCCTTTCTGCTCTCCTCTACAGACTGGAAAAATAAAAAGGTCTACCAAAAGAGTGAAATGATAGTATCTCTTGCATCCCCCTTGACCATACTGAATCCCATTGACGAGGGACTCTGAGCGGTGGGGACTAAACAGGCCCCAGGTCCCCATGCTGGGGCCACGTACACGAGGCCGGGTCAGGGTGGCGCTAACCTGGGAACGAGTGTGGTCCACTTGCTCAGATGCACCTCTCGCTCCGCTTCTGCCCGTCCTTCTGCGGGGACATGCTCACCTCTAACGAGACTGTGATTTTGCTTGGCTCCTCCCACCACCCCCACCAGGAAGGCCCAGGAAGAAATGATTTCAGAACTCAGGCAGCAGAAGTTTTACCTGGAGACACAGGCTGGGAAACTGGAGGCCCAGAACCGGAAGCTGGAGGAGCAGCTGGAAAAAATCAGCCACCAAGACCACAGCGACAAGAATCGTCTGCTGGAGCTGGAGACCAGGCTGAGGGAGGTGAGAGTGAGGGGTGATCTCCCGAGGCTATTTGTTGGAGGACCCAGGGGCCCCCAGTCATCCAAGTGTCAAGCACAAATCGGTACTTACATGAGAGCCATTGTGTGTGGTGGTGAAGAGTACAGACAGGGCCATGGGGGTCTGCGTTAGAATTCCACTTCCCCTTTTTAGGAGTTTGGTAACCTCGGGTCGGGCAGGCTACCCTACCGCCTCTGTGCTTGAGTTTCCTCATCTGTAAAACGGCCATGAAAACATATCTCCATCATGGGGTCACGTGAGGATGACGTAAATTGGTGCATCTTCAAATGGGGGCAAAGTGATTCCTCCTGTATCCTGATTCATCGAGGGTCACATGACTGTGTCCATGCACGGAGTTTAGCACATAGTACGGCTTAATGACAGTGACAGAGCGCCCCCCCCCCGCCCCGCCCCATGACAGTGGGAGACTAAAAGAGAAATCTAAACTCTAGGTTTGTCTGATGGAAGGTGATTTGCTTCAGAGGTATTGGGTTGGCCAAAAAGTTCGTCTGGGTTTTTACGTAAGATGGAAAAACCCGAATGAACTTTTTGGCCAACCCAATATAAGGACGCTGGGAAGAACAGCCGGGTTTGGGGAGGGAAATACCACACATTTGGTTGTGAACCTTTTGAGGTTGACTGAAGCTGTGACTTGACATGGCTCACTCTGTATTTATCAAATGACTGCTGTGTGCTAATTAGTAGCCAGATAGACAGTGGTGACAAGACAGACTCATCCCTGATCTCGGGGGCTGTCAGCCTAGCAGGTGGGTTTAGCTGGCAGAGGCAGGACCGGAGTTCAGGAGGGTGGTCCTTGGAAGTGGGACATCCCGGCTGGGCGTAGAGACACTGGGCTCAAATATTTGTGATGGAATTCTTCAAAGCGGAGATGATCTCTCTTAAGGCAAAGACCATTAAGCAGACAGTCTTTAGTTAAGGACCAAACCTTGAATTCTGACGCTTAGGAATGTCTTCATTTGTACTGGAGTATTAAAATGAGGCCATTTCTCCCAAGGGCAGGAGTTGTCAAGGTGTGGACCCCTCTCTGTTAGGACCACATGGCCTGTGTGTTGAAATGCAGATTCCTGGGCGGCTTCCTCCCTCAGCTTTTTGAATGGAATCGGGGTGGGGTGGGGGTGAGGAGCAGGGATTTGCATTTTTAACCAGTGCCCTGGTGATGCTTATGCTTCCGGAGTTTGAGGGCCATTGTTCTAGGTTATCCAGAAGCCTTAGGCGGCGGTTTTACTTTTCTAATCCAGGCGATATTTTTACTCTTCAGTAAGTTTAACCACACTTCCCCGTAGTGTCAGCCTTAGGAGTGTGAGTGTAAATAACTCGGATAGATTCCTCTGAGCGTGGGAACGCTGGCTGGCTGTCTTTTGCTTTCCCTTCCCACAAATGTCTCTCTTGTGTGTCTGCCCTGCGGCTGTAGCTCCTCTGGGCATTAACCTGCCCCAGGGAAGGTTCAGGGAAGGCGTGGTGCTTTGTTCTCCAGTCAGTCTAGCCAGCCCCACAGGGGCGGTGGGAGAAATTTAGGATGCTTCCCGAGGGGCTCAGGGCTGTATATGCTCCAGGGGAGTCTGGAGTTTAGCTTTATTTATTTATTTATTTTAAAATTTTTATGGGAGTATAGTTGATTTACAATGCTGTGTTAGTTTCTGCTGTACAGCAAAGTGAACGAGTTATACATACATGTATAGCTACTCTTTTTTTAGATTCTTTTCCCATACAGGTCATTACAGAGTATTGAGTAGAGTTCCCTGTGCTCTATAGTAGGTCCTTATTAGTTATCTATTTTATGTATAGTAGTGTGTATATGTCAGTCCCAAATCTCCCAATTTATCCCTCTCCCCCTTTCCCCCTCCCTGGTAACCATAAGTTTGTTTTCTACATCTGTGAGTCTATTTCTGTTTTGTAAATAAGTTCATTTGTACCATTCTTTTTAGATTCCACATATAAGTGATATCATATGATATTTGTCTTTCTCTGACTTACTTCACTAGTATGACAATCTCTAGGTCTATCCATGTTGCTGAAAATGACATTATTTTGTTCTTTTTTGTGGCTGAGTAATATTCCATTGTATATATGTACCACATCTTCTTTATCCAATCCTCTGTCGATGGGCATTTAGGTTGCTTCCATGTCCTGGCTATTGTAAATAGTGCCGCAATGAATATTGGGGTGCATGTGTCTTTCCGAATTATGGTTTTCTCCAGGTATATGCCCAGGAGTGGGATTGCTGGATCACATGGTAGCTCTATTTTTAGGTTTTTTTTTTTTTTTTTTTTTTTTTTGTGGTACACAGGCCTCTCACTGTTGTGACCTCTCCCATTGCAGAGCACAGGCTCCGGATGCGCAGGCTCAGCGGCCACGGCTCACGGGCCCAGCTGCTCCGCGGCATGTGGGATCTTCCCGGACCGGGGCAGGAACCCGTGTCCCCTGCATCGGCAGGCGGACTCTCAACCACTGCGCCACCCGGGAAGCCCTATTTTTAGTTTTTTAAGGAACCTCCATACTGTTCTCCATAGTGGCTGCACCAATTTACATTCCCACCAGCAGTGCAGGAGGGTTCACTTTTCTCCACACCCTCCCCAGCAGTTATTGTTTGTAGATTTTTTGATGGTGGCCATTCTCACCCGTATGAGGTGATACCTCACTGTAGTTTTTTTGTTTTGTTTTGTTTTTGTTTTTTTGCGGTACGTGGGCCTCTCACTGCTGTGGCCTCTCCCGTTGTGGAGCACAGGCTCCAGACGTGCAGGCCCAGCGGCCATGGCTCATGGGCCCAGCCCCTCCACGGCACGTGGGATCCTCCCGGACCGGGGCACGAACCTGTGTCCCCTGCGTCGGCAGGCGGACTCCCAACCACTGCGCCACCAGGGAAGCCCCTCACTGTAGTTTTGATTTGCATTTCTCTAATAATTAGCCATGTTGAGCATCTTTTCATGTGCTTTTTGGCCATCTTTGAAGAAATGTCTGTTTAGATCATCTGCCCATTGTTTGATTGGGTTGATTGTTTTTTTGACGTTGAGCTGCATGAGCTGTTTGTATATTTTGGAGATTAGTCCCTTGTCAGTCACTTTGTTTGCACATATTTTCTCCTGGAGTTTAGCTTTAAATCTAGCCAGGCGGTCAGCCTTCTCTTTGCCACCTGCTGCCATTGAGATTGAGGGTAGAGGCCTCAGCCTCGCGTTTGACCCACCTGCAAGGGTCCTGGGCGTCCTTCCCCCCAGCCTGTGGGTGCAGTGTTAGCAGTTTTCCAGCAGCGTGTGTGGCGCAGGGCCCCTTGGTTCTTCCTGCATCGGACAGCATTCTGCTCCCCAACTTCCTCCTGAAGTGTGACAGTGATGTCACCGGCCTCTCATGGTTTTGCCAAGTGGCCTTGGGAGTTTTCAGGCATGCTAGCAGAGTCGCAGCCTCCTCCGACTGCTGGCCTTTTAATAAGACCAACAGTAAGTAGTTAACCCTGCCACTTTTTAGCTGTGTGACGTCTTCTCAGTTCCTGAATCTCTCGGGGCCGCAGTTTGCTTGTCTGTAAAATAGAGATCATAGTCATACCATCCTTGTTGGGTTGTTAGGAAGATGAAATGGGTGAAGACAGTGCCTGGCACGCTGTACATGGGTACTGCACCTGCTGCTGTCACATCATCGTTGTCGCCACCGCCGCAGCCATTGTCCTCCTCGTCATCCTCACTAGAGAGAGATCATAGCCTTGGCTTCGGCTGCCGTGGACTTGTTAAGGCTCCCAGATCCAGCCGACCCGCCCAGACCTGTCTCTTGAGTTTCTGACCTGTTGTCCCAGTAGACACTGGACACCTCCACTCAGATGTCTCCCTTGCAGCTCACGTTCAACGTGTCAAGAGTGAATTTCTTACCCTTCTCCTCAGATTGGCCCTTCCTCTCCTGTCCCCTGTCGTGGCCAGTGGTCTGTCTGTGTAATTCAGATGCCCAGCAACGTAGGTGTCACATTTGCCTCCTCTCTGTCCTTTGTTCTCTGTCCCACTCTGAGTTAACCACTACATCCTGTCAGTTCTCTAGGCTGAATCTTTTAAAGTCTTTCTCCTCTTCATGCCTGTGGCCTTTGGGACTTGGGTGTCACCTTTTCCAGGGAGCCTTCTCCATCCCCTTGGAGCTGGATGGGATGTCCTTTGGGTCCCCGTGGCCTTTCATGTTTAGCTTGTACCCTTTCGCTTTCAGTGGGCTCTCCAAGGGCAGCAAGCATCTCTTATTTGCCTGGCATCCCCATGTCTGACGCAGGGTCTGGTCCCTAGGACAGCTTGTCAGTGTTGGTGACGTCAGCAGATGTGCCGAGGTCTCCCACATCTCCATGCCTTGGACGTCTTGCTTCCTCTGCTTGGAATTTTCTTTCCCTTCTTAGCTGCTTGTTTGGCTCCTGGATTCTTCAACACAGAGATCCCCAGTCACCTCCTCTCCCCCTCTGCTGTGTTTCCATCACATCCCTGCATCTCCTGACCATTGCACTCGACCACAATGTATGGCAATGGTTGGTTTTTATTTTTCTCCCCAACTTGAAGGCAGAGACTATTTTTCATCTCCGTATTTCCTTTTACACAGAATTTGCCAAGTAAATTTTATTTTTCTTTTTTTTATGTTAATAGTGAGTACCTTTAATACTTATTTATTTATTCATTATTTATTTATTTATTTATTTTGGCTGTGCCGGGTCTTAGTTGCAGCATGCGGGATCTTCACTTGCAGCATTCGGACTTCTTAGTTGCGGCATATGGATTCTTAGTTGCGGCGTGCATGTGAGATCTAGTTCCCCGACCAGGGATTCAAACCCGGGCCCCCTGTATTGGGAGCGTGGAGTCTTACCCACTGGACCACCAGGAAAGTCCCAAGTAAATTTTTCTTGAATGGACGAAAGGTTGAGTAGATAGATGGATAGATGGGCAGATGGAGGGAAGAATGATTAGTACACAATATGACCTTCATTTGGGTTACCTAATCAGAACAAATCAGAGCAGAAATATTTAAAATAAGTAGAATTCAGTCTGTTGTTCCACTTGTACTCCCATTCTAAAGGTGTCCTTGTTACTAATACAATGTTATTTATATCTGTTTACTTTTAAACGTTTTTCTAATAAGAACAACCATCATCATTTTCATAGGGGATTCTTGCTGCGTGGTTTTTTTTTTAGAAGCTTTCCCAAGCATTCGAATATATGAAAGGAAGGGATGGTTTGTACTGATAATATATGTTGTATATACTCTTATGTGTTCTCACTCCTGTTGATTTTTGAGACTTATCGAAGTCAGAGCTGTTTTATTGCATTTTTTTTCCTTCTCGGTTGAGTGCTGAGAATTTGATTCCATGACCAAATTTAAGATGCAGATTGCATGGCAGGTTGCGTCTTGGCTTTCTCTTCAGTTAAGGTCAACGAGCATCTCTCTCTCTGTCTCAGGTCAGTCTAGAGCATGAAGAGCAGAAACTGGAGCTCAAGCGTCAGCTCACGGAGCTGCAGCTCTCTCTGCAGGAGCGCGAGTCTCAGCTGACAGCCCTGCAGGCAGCCCGGGCAGCTCTGGAGAGCCAGCTCCGCCAGGCAAAGACAGAGCTGGAAGAGACAACAGCAGAAGCAGAAGAAGAGATCCAGGCGCTCACGGTAGGATGAATGTAGAGCTGAGAATATTTGCTCACCCTCAGAAATGCCAAGAGAGAAAAAATAAACCAGAGGGATGCTTAATGGGAAGAAAATTGGCTTATGTAGGCTGCTTCCTCTTTGGAATTAGTAAACTAGATCAACTGGGCAATATCTGAGCTTTCCTAAGGATCTTGAAAAGTCCCTCCTTTATTTATGCATTTCCCTCTTTTTAAAATAATCATCACTATATTTTAAACTTTAGCTTAACCAAAGTCTGTTTACTTGGGTCTTCTACTTTAGTTTTCAATAAACATTAAAAAAATAATAATCTTATATCTTACAGTAGTCTTTCTACCATATTTTTGTTTTTGTTTTGGTTAACCTCATTTGTGTTCCTTTTTTTTTTTCAAGCTGTAGATTCTGTTTCGAGTCTTTATAGTATGCATTTGGTAGGTTCTGGATGGAAATGATTCTAATGAATGAGAGATTGTTTCTCTAAAAGGGACCTGGCTTCCCTGCTCTTTCTGAGAGACTGGTTTGCTCACATGAAGAGTGTTCTCAGGAGGTATATTGTTGGTGGGCGGCCCCTGGATTTAGACCTTAGTTCTTTCTGCAAGTCTCAAAATGTGACTTCGTTGGCCAGTCTCCCACAGTTGATCCTTCTCACACGGACTGACCCAGGCTAACAAAACTGACAGAATTTTACATGTAAAAATGCCAATTTACCAGGTTTACAGAGGGAAATACAACCGCCAAGTTGACCAGGATAATCTTCACATTCTTCCCCTTCAGAGAAATCTACTTATAAATCCCATTTCTCTTGGAAGGCTGCTTGGTGGACCTGGACTCTGGGCACAGAGAGCTGAATGAGTTTAATGGCTGGTATCAACCAAGTGCATACATTTCTAATGGTAACATACTGTACTTGCCAAGTGGACGGGCACACTCATGCCTGCTGGTCAGGGTACCCCCTTCTGTGGGCAGGGCACAATGCAGCTGATGTTCAGAGTCTTTTTCAATAAGGTACCAAATGGGTATCTTATTCATTCTGACTCATTTTGGATCCTGTCCCCATCTCCATCAGCAAACACCTCTAAACATCTCTTAGAGTGGGGTTACTTCTGCAGATGATCATGCACTTTTGTTGCTTATGATTTACCCTGTTTAAAACTAATACGTGTGTGTATGTATATATACATATATATATAAAAATATATATTTTTTTAACTAATTTCCTTCTTAGAAGTTATCTACCACTGTTGGGTGTTTGGGGACCAAATTGGGAACATGATCTGAGAGTGCCAGGGTCTTTATGGACCAGTCCAGGATACAGGGCCTTCCAGGATTCTGGGGATACAAAGTAACTCCTTTATAGAAGATGCTTGTGCATCCTGGATTATCCAGGACTTATGCCAAGTTCAGATATTGGTTGCAACCTTAGTTTCCAATGTTTTCTCTATGAAAACACTCATTAAATGATGCCATGTGCCCCCAGTATTTGGTTTGGAGAAAATAGTTAGTGTCTCTTTGTTTATATTCTGCCCTGTTTCAAAAATGGATTGGAAACAGTTTGGAAAGATACGAAACAGTATAACAGGATCGAATAAGAAAGAAAAGTCTAAGAGAAAAGAAGTCATAGAAGAAAAAAATGGAGGTAAGAATGAAATGAATATATACGCCAAGAAGGCGTATACACTTTCTGGAGTGGGGTGGATGTGGAGAGAGACAGCCAGATGGCATTTCTTAGCTGCTAAAAGAGACACCTAAAATCCAACCACTATTATATTTAATGCCTTGTATATTAATATTTCCCCCCACATGAACCACCCCAGCTCTGAAAGAAGGAGACGTCAGTCATTTAATCTGTACTTAATGAGTCCTCACTGTGCGCCTAGTGCTGTGTCTTTAGCTTTTTCTTCCCAGGGGACTGGCCTGTAATCCCTCAAATCCTTTTACCATGGAGTGGAGGAGAAGGAAACATTTACCTCTCTACTCTGTTGGAATTGGGAGGGAGGCGGTGGTCATGCGTCTTACCCTGCCCGTTTGGAAGGAGGAGGGTATACAGTAGAGCTTGTGTCGCTGCTGTTTATCTGTGGGGAAATTAGTTTTTCAGTCCTGTCTTGCTGCTGGTTGGAATGTGCTGTGTCTAATGGCTGCTGGACGCCTGCACAGCAGCAAGTCACGACTTAATTTAGTCAGATGAGATCACTGCCTCAGAGCATCTTAAAAAAAAAAAAGAAAGAAAGAAACAAACCTCCCTAGGTCTGGAAACTAGGGCTCTACGACTCTCACAGATGAGGATCCCTTGGAAAATAGGGCTTGTTCACAATGATGACAGGAAAGTGCCTTTGGTCAAACAGCTGTTCGTAAGCCCATCATGCAGGAATCCAAACCTCACATCAATTTGCCTCAGTTCAGTTTGAAGGCTGTGGGTTTTTCCTCTCCCCTCCTCTTGATTATGTCCCATAAATCTGGTCATGGACCACAGGTGGCTGTTGCCTGAATGGCTTTGTTGAATTTGTTCTGAAGAATGTATTTTCTGAGAGAGAGAGAGAGAGAAAATGGTCACAGATGCAGTACCCTGACTCTCCCTCTCTCATTGTTCTGGCCCAAGTTCAGAGCCAACGTAAGCATCAATCAAATTCAACCAGCTGGATCTAAAATGATCTCCTAGGAGGCTTGTTTGCTTCATAGTAGGCTGTTTTATCAAGAAAAGGAAATAGTCAAATGGGCTATTATTGCTTTAATTCTAAGAGGTGGCCACCTCCTCACCTGGGAGGGGAGCAGTTACCCTGTTTGGCTTCTGCCCCTGGGCCAAAAATTGATGGAGCACAGTTAATGGAAGCTCTCCATTGAAGAAGTGTGGCAGAGGCCACCAGTTGCCATTGTTGGTCTTCCTCAGGCTTTCTTTTTTCCCATTCTCCCTTTACCCACCCTGTCAATTGCATTTGCATTGAAATTCACTGGCCATTAAAAGCTGAGATTGAGTCAAGGTGGACAGCAGCAAGAGAGTCAGATTTAAACAAAAAGTCATGCTTTTAAGATGCTTCAGTGCTTATTGGTGGAAGAGAGAATTTTCCACCTGGAATTGAAATTTATAACTCCATGTAGAGACTTCCCTGGCGGTCCAGTGGTTAAGACTTCGCCTTCCAGCGCAGGGGGTGTGGGTTCAGTCTCTGGTTGGGGAGCTAAGATCCTGCATGCCTTGGGGCCAAAAAACCAAAACATAAAACAGAAGCAATATTGTAACAAATTCAATAAAGACTTTAAAAATGGTCCACATCAAAAAATCTTTAAAAAAAAAAAAAAGACTCCGTGTAGTGCCTTCTTCTGTGGAAGAGAATTTGAGCTTGCACACTTCATTGCATGCAGATGTGCGACGTGATGGGAGCGTTGCTCTGAATGGGGCCGCGGGGTAGAGGAACCGTGTGGGCTTCGTGCCCACCAGCATGGCCCCACAAACACGTTTCATGTCCCTGTCCTCACGTTCTTTTACTGATTTTGTTAAATGACTAATGCTGAATGATCAAGTCAAAAGCTAGAGACACTCCAGAAAGGGATTCTCCCAGCAGAGCGTGATGGTGGGATCCCAGAGTCATCCTCTTTGATTTGTTAAAATCATTAGTCAGTGCACGCTCTCTTTTTCTCTTTTACATAACTATCAATTGTTGTATTGAATTAGTAACCCATCGGCACGATAGGCGAGATGTGAAATTGGGTCACTTAAGGTGACAGTGTTGCTTGGTGCCTGCCTTCCCAGGGAAAGGGGTGGATGTGTGGAAGCCTGTGTTCTAGGATCCTGACGGTGGATCCCAGAAGGCGGTCAGACACCTAAACACATGTTTCCTTTTCACAGTTCTACAGGTATTTTCTCTCATCAAGGTTGCATAATAGTTCTCTTTTCTTCATTCCTCTTGTAACTTTCCTTAAAATTAAAGAAGACATAAATACTCCCCAAAGTGAGTGCCTCTCTGATTTCCAGGATGCAGCCTGTCCCTTCTGCCTCTTGCCACCCAACCCCTAGGTCAGTGGTTCTCAAGTTGTGGGGGGTGTCTGTGGCTCCATGGGGGGTCCCCAAGTTCAGGTTATTTTCATAATAATACTAAGCTGTCATGTGGTGTTTTTCATTGTGTTAACATTTGCACCGATGGTGCAAAAGCAATACTTTTATTTAAAAAAATAATAAATGTTTGAAAAAATCTGCTTTAACTTCTAATGTGGTTAATAGAGATAGACATAACTCACATAAACAAAAGCCCTTTGGGGTCCTCAGTAATTTTTAAGAGGGTAAATATTTATTCCCTGTAGCTTCTAACACCTAATTAACACTCAGATATTTCATTGAGAGAATCCAAAGCTTGTGTTACATATTTTATTACCTTTATATATAATGTGACTTTTTGTGCATTTGTTTTACAACTTATTTCAAAGGAACATAAAACATGTTTCTTGCCATTTTAAAGCTCAGATCAGTTCAGTGATTGTTACAGTACTTCCAGCAGTCACAACAGTCACAACTACATTTTGTGTTTATATTTCAGTCAATAATAAATCAAAAGCCATAGTAGTTCCTTACATTATACCCTCAAAGAGGAGTGTCATTTGATGTGTCAGAGTGATCCAAAGGCCTCATGATGGTAAATTATAATAGAAATATTAGTGACTGAAATTTCAGGCTACTGTGGGGCAGTTAGGCAAGTTTCTACTGGTGTGGTGTTACTTGGAAACTTTGCTATTAGTCAAAGTGGAACAGGTCTTCTATCCCTCAGTCTAGGCCAGAAAGCTTTTTTATAATCATTGCTTAGGCTTTGAAGAAGTTAACTCCACCTTCAGCTTCCTGTTTCTGTCTGAGTAATTTCACACCAAATAGTCATTTAGAGTAGAGGTTGGCAAGCTATAGCCAGTGGGCCAAATTTAGTCTGCTTCCTGTAAATAAAGTTTTATTGACACACAATCACACCCATTTGTGTACATATTGTCTGTGGGTGGTTTTGTGCTGTGAGGGCAGAGTTGAGTAGTTGTGACAGAGACTGAGTGGTCTTCAAAGCCAAAAATATTTACTATCTGATCCTTACAAGAAAAAAGGTGTTCATTCCTGCTCTAGAGTTTACTAACCTAAGGATTCTTCCTTTAGGATACTCACAAATGAGATTCATCAGTGATACAAATAGCCACGTTCCTAATTTGGATAAATTGTATTCTTGCCCCATTAAATTAATAAATCTCTCATATCATTATTAGGCAAAACACAGTTTTGGGGAAAAAAATCATAATCTATTAAATTAGTTCATGAAAATAGGGGCTAATTATTTGAGTTGATTCTAAGTGATAACTCTTAATTTATGAATCTGTAAGTCCGTCTGTGCAATTACTGATTTTTGTTTTGTTTTACATTTTTCCAGTCCTCTTCATTCTTTTGTGTAGATTTAAATCTCTGGTTGTCATCTTCTGCCTGAAAGACTTCCTTTAACATTTCTTATAGTACAGGTGTGTGGGTGGCAAATTCTTTCAGCTTTTGTGTGTCTGGAAAGGTCTTTATTTCGCCTTCATGTTTGAAAGACATTTTTGCTGGGTATAGAATTCTAGGTTGACAGATTTTTGTTTTTGTTTTCCTTTCAGTACTTTAAAGATGTTGCTCCACTGTCTTCTAGCTTACTCCCCTCCAAAACCCCTCCAACCTCACTGGGAGAAATCTTTCTTCTCTTTGTTTCTCTATAAGTAACTTGTCTTTTTTCTCTAGCTGGTTTTAAGCTTTTTCTTTTTTCTTTTTTTTTTTTTCTGGTATGCGGGCCTCTCACTGTTGTGGCCTCTCCCGTTGCGGAGCACAGGCTCCGGACGCGCAGGCCCAGCGGCCATGGCTCACGGGCCCAGCCGCTCCGCGGCATGTGGGATCTTCCAGGGCATGAACCCATATCCTCTGCATCTGCAGGTGGACTCTCAACCACTGCGCCACCAGGGAAGCCCAAGCTTTTTCTCTCTGTGTTACTGGTTTTAAGCAGTTTGATTATGATGTGATTTAGCTTAATTTCCTTCATGTTTCCTGTGCTTAGGGCTCATTTAACTTTTTGCATCTATGGATTTATTTTTTCATTGACTTTGGAAAATTTGTGGCCATTATTTCTTCAAATTTTTTTTCTGTCTCACTCCTACACTCCTTCAGGGACTTTGATTACATGTATATCAGGCTCCTTGGAGTTGTCTCACAGCTCATTGATGCTCTGTTCATTTTTTACGTCTTTTTTTTTTTCTTTGTGTATTTCATCTTGGATAGTTTCTGTTGCTATGTCTTCAAGTTCACTAATCTTTTTTTCTGCGGTGGCTAATCTGCTGTTATAAACTTAAAATATAAATCTATGGCAAAATAGACATATTTAGAGAATACATCACAGCTAAATTAGGTGCTGAATTTTTCTTTTAAATTTATTTATTTATGTATGTATGTATTTATTTTTGGCAGCGTTGGGTCTTCATTGCTGCACATGGACTTTCTCTAGTTGTGGCGAGTGGGGGCTACTCCTCGTTGCGGTGCACGGGCTTCTCACTGCATGGCTTCTTGTTGCAGAGCATGAGCTCTAGGCACGCAGCTTCAGCAGTTGTGGCACTCGGGCTCAGTAGTTGTGGCTCGTGGGCTCTAGAGCGCAGTCTCAATAGTTGTGGCACACAGGCTTAGCTGCTCTGCGGCATGTGAGATCTTCCCAGACCAGGGCTTAAACCCGTGTCCCCTGCATTGACAGGCTAGGTGCTGAATTTTTTGACTTACTTCTCTTGTAGACCTTTTTCTTTTTTTAAAAAAATTGAAGTATAGTTGATTTACAGTATTGTGTTTCTGGTGTACAGCAAATTGATTCAGCTACATTTTTTTAAATATTCTTTTCCATTTTGATTTATTAGAAGATATTGAATATAGTCCCCTGTGCTATACAGTAGGACCTTGTTGTTTATCTATTTTGTATGTAGTAGTTTATATCTGCTAATCCCAAACTCCTAATTTATCCCTGCCCTTTCCCCTTTGGTAACCATAAGTTTGTTTTCTATGTCTGTGAGTCTGTTTCTGTTTTCTAAATAAGTTCATTTGTATCATACTTTAGATTCCACATATAAGTGATATCATATGATATTTGTCTTTCCCTGTCTGACTTACTTCAGTTAGTATGATAATCTCTAGGTCCATCCATGCTGCTGCAAAAGGCATTATTTCATTCTTCTTTTATGCCTGAGTAGTATTCATTGTGTATAGACCACATCTTCTTTATCCATTCATCTGCTGATGGACATTTAGGCTGTTTCCATGTCTTGGCTATTGTACATAGTGCTGCTATGAACACTGGGGTGCATGTATCTTTTTGAATTAAGAGTTTTCTCTGGATATATGCCCAGGAGTGGGATTGCTAGATCATATGGTAGCTCTATTTTTATTTTTTTAAGGAACCTCCATACTGTTCTCCATAGTGGCTGCATCAATTTACATTCCCACCAACAGTGTAGGAGGGTTCCCTTTTTTCCACACCCTCTCCAGCCTTTATTACTTATTAATCTCCGATAGAGATGATTATTTTTTATTTTTTTTTAAAGCGAAGGACCACATTTTCCTCGGCCTCAAACTGGATTCTTCTTTGGGCTTTCATAGCTAAGCAGATGGTGCCGTAATCTACCTTGTCTTCCAAATCAAAAGTCCGTTAAGGAACCCTTGGCCCCCATGTCCATCAACAAGTCTTATTACCTGTGCTTCCAAAAGAGATCTCACCTCCATCCACTTCTCTGCATCTTCTGTCACGTCCAGCTCCAAGCCACCATCCTCTCTTCCTTTAATGACAGCAGCGACCTCCTCAGTAGTTTTTGAACTTCCTTCTACATTTGTCTTGTTTTGCTCTGTTCTTCCTGCAGCATCCACAAAACGACAACCAGGCCATGTCACTCTGCATTTTAAAACCTCTGTTGGCCTCCAATTAATTGCATTTTGAATGAAATCCAAACTCTTTTCTTGGCCTTCAAGATCCTTGGTCTGGGCCTGCCTCTCTACCATCAGCTTGGGCCACATTTTCCCTCTTTTGTTCTTTGGCCACAGTCCACAGAAGAATACATCTTATCTTGCAGTCTCATACAAGGGATCCTATATACTGAGTTTCAATGAGTTTTAAGGTGGATAATCAGGATGCATCTTATAGCCTGTATATGATTCTGTAGTCATAAGGACATAAACATGTCATAGTTTCATTGGCAGTACTTCTTTTTCTTAATGTTACATAAAATTGTGGTAAATCTTACAATTGATAGCAACTTAAACTTGATGACTTATGGTATCTGAAACAAGTTTCCAACAATGGTGCTTACCTTTACTCTCCAAGGTACATTCTGATGTTTTCTAATGTATCCTGTTTATTCCATTTCATTGGATAAAACAAACCAAAAAAATTTGACTTGACATCTTCACTCTTGAGTCACAGCTTGAAGTGTAAAAAACTGCTCTAGCCACTCAGGTCCTTTTTTGTTCCCCAAATGCACCAAACCCTTTCTTGCCTCAGGGTTTTTGCAGATGCTGTTCCGTCTGCTCTTTTCTGTTCTTTGCATGGCTGGCTCCTCATCACCCTGCAGGTTTCAGTTTAAATGTCAGCTCTTCAGAGAAGCCCTCCTTGACTGCCCCATCTAAGTGAGTTCTTTTTCTCCCCCCTTATTCTTTTTCCCTAGGCCCTTCATAACACTTGTCACTGTTCCTTCATAACACTTGTCACTGTTTGTAATCCTGCCCTTGTTTATTTTCTACCTGTCCGCACCAGAATGAATGTGAGGCCAGATATGCTGTATCTTGCCATAGTGTCTGCCATGTAGTATGTACTCAAAATATTCTTGTCAGCTGAATGAATGCTACTGGTTTAGAGCGCCTCTGCCTTGGTGAAAATCTTTATATTTACTTCAGGGTCTACGTAGGGTTTCTGAATCTCAGCAGCTTTGGATTTAATTTTTCAAAAGTCCCTACTTTGTCCTGGCTATTGTCCTGTATATGTGTGTTTGTGTCTTTCTTGGGAGAAGCCTTGGGGGCGGGGGTGGGGCAGTGGTGGGCAGCCAATTGGAGGGAAGAGGAAAAGATTAAGAATGGGGAGGAAGGGCTTCCCTGGTGGCGCAGTGGTTGAGAGTCCGCCTGCCGATGCAGGGGACATGGGTTTGTGCCCCGGTCCGGGAAGATCCCACATGCCATGGAGCGGCTGGGCCTGTGAGCCATGGCCACTGAGCCTGCGCGTCCGGAGCCTGTGCTCCGCAACGGGAGAGGCCACAACAGTGAGAGGCCCGCGTACCGCAAAAAAAAAAAAAAAAAAAAGAATGGGGAGGAAGACAAATAAAAGAGAGTAAAACTTCATCCTATGTTTTTTTCCTTTCTTCCACTAGTGCCTAGTTTTAATCTGAATGTTAAATATATATTTGTACAGGGTGTGATGTGTGGTCTAAATAGTTAATGTTATTAATAGGCATTGTGTATTCCTGTAACTTTGCTTCTCCTGTTGGGTATGACTTGATTAATTCTTTGAAAAAAAGGTGCTGGGGCAGCTGCAACAGCGTTCTTGGCTTTTTTAGACAAATTGTGATTTTCTTTATTTGACCCATAGCATGTAGAATTGTATTCCACCCTATGAAAAATTTATAATCAACTTCTTACCTTTTAGGCACATAGAGATGAAATCCAGCGCAAATTTGATGCCCTTCGTAACAGCTGTACTGTGAGTATTAACCAAAGATGATGAAAATAACATGAAACTAAAACTGAGAAGGAAAGGGGGACATCTCATTCTAATATCAGTGACTGATTTTTGATATAAACTTTCAAATTGAAGCAGTTAATGCGGTCAAACTGATTTGGAAGTTTCTGAGCCTCAGATAACTTCAGTGTCTTGTGTTCCTGCCAGTTTAAAAAAAATTAAACCATTCTTTGTGTTTGGGGAAGGCTTGTTGGAATGGTCAAAATAATTCTCACTGCAGAACCACTAATAGATCTCAGTAGCTGCAACAAAAGTCCCATTGGAGCTCCCCTTCCTTCTCCAATCTAGAAGGTTCTGTCTGAGACTGGCCCCAGATGGTAAGGGGCAGTTAGACATGTCAGGCTTCTCCACCCTACTGCCTCTACAGAGAGGGAAGACCAACAAGTTCTTCTCCTGGGGAATCTACAAGTGTTAACTTCCTAACAGGCAAAATCTGGCTTCCTAACATGCAAATTCAGAATCTAGGACTCTTTGGGAGTCGTTATTTCTATTGAGAGAAGTCAATTCCAGGAGCAGATAAGCATCATTCATAGGTTATGTAATAGGGTAGGATCAGTGGAAACTCAGAGTCTATTTTTGATCAGAGAGAGGGATTAAAATAGGCCCCTTTCAGAAGGGAGGGATGTTGTCCTTATTCATGGTTCTACTTCCTTTCTTTGGTCCTTTCATTGCTCTGTTACCTCCTTAGGCAGTTCTCAGTCAGCTTGTCTCCATTTGTATTGTTTGCATCTGTAAATTTCCAGAAACACCCCTCCACCTCCTATAGGCATATTTTCTTTTCTTGTAATGAACTCCTTCTTTCCTCCTTACCTACTATAAATGGGGCATTAAGTCCTGGTATATGCTCCCCCCCTCTTTCCCCCCGCTTCATTTAGATATAAAATGCACACAACAAAGTACATGAAGTGCAACTAATATTAAGCATGTAGCTGGATAGATTTGTATGTGTATAGACAACTTGTGTAACCACAACAAAGATCAAGATACATAACTTTTCAGCTCCCAGAAGGTTCCCTCCTCTCCTCTTCCCATCAGCGTCCTTTGCCCTAAGGGTAACCAGTATTCTGACCTCTGATACCACACCTTAGTTTTTCCTGTTCTTGAACTTCATATAAATGGAATCATAGAAGATGTGGTCTTTTGGGTTTAGCTTTTTTTGTTCCTTAAATTGTCTCTGAGGTTCATCCATGTTGTTGCATCCATCGAGATTTTGTTATATTTTAATTACGGTGTCGTGTTTCCAGTGTGCGTATAGAACTGAAGTTCGTTTATCCATTCGCCTGTTGATGGATGTTTGGGTTGTTTCTGGTAGGAATAAAGCTATTAGGAACATTCTTGTACAGGTCCTTTGACGGCTATAAGGCCTTGTTTCTGATGAGCATATACCCAAGAGTGGAATAGCTAGGTCATGGGACGTGCCTCTGTTTCACTCTAGTAGGTACCTGGCAGATGGAGTTTAGGTCTATTTCCTGTTGCCAGTGGCTGGATCTAGGGTGAGCTTGCCTTAACATTATCTGTTGATTTCTTCCCTTCCTTGAGGAATTGATGCATTCTGTTCCTCTACTCTTTTGCCTTACTTTTTTAGTTTCTTATTATCTTGGTTTCTTATTTTACACAAGAGTTATGTGCTTATATTACATACATGCTCATAAATGATCACTGAATAAAATATAGATCATTTTAGGACTGTGACTTTTTTTTTTAACATTACTATTTTTTCCTAAAATAAACTTGGATGCATTTTAAATGTGTACGTCAGTAATCCTGTTCCATTCATCTGGAGTTTTCTTTTCTCCTTTTTTCATCTTTTTTTTTTTTAAACATCTTTTTTTTTTTTTTTTTTACAGCTTAAGGAATAATCAGAGTACAATAACCTGATGAGTTTTGAAATGTGTGTATATTTGTGAAACCAGCAAAACAATCAAAATAACAAACATAGTCATCACCCTCAAGAGTTTCCTTGTGTGCCTTTGTAATCCTCCCTCCCCCCCCATTTTTAAAATTGCAAGTGTAGTTTTAATGGAATATACCAATATGTAGAACAAATTTGGTTACTTTCTTATGTAACTTTTGTACTCTCTTTATCCCTCCAATTTGCTTTTTCTGGCACAGTGACTTCTAATCCTTCCTTTACTTACCCCTGGCATTCTGTGAAGAAGCCTTTGGGGGCCTCTCCCAGTGGGAGGGGGATCCCAAGAAAGTGATCCCCACCCACATTTCAGCTACGGCAGCTGGGTAGCTTGGGGGTCCAAAACACACGCTCTGGAGTCAGGTAGACTGGTTCAGATTCTAAATTGGTCTCTTGGTAACCTATGTGATGTTACACTCCTGAGGCTCCATTTCTTTGTCCATGAAATGAGATGACATTGTATGTCCTCAATTCCAATACACCATTGATTGTAAGATGCATAATTCATTTAATTACTGCTCTTTGCGGGGCTGGGTGAGGGAAGAGAGACAGCTGCTTAGCTGCAATATACATTCAGATTTCGGAAACAGTAAAACCTAGGAAACACTGAGTCATAGAATCCGAAACTTGGTAATAATACCTGGGGTTCCTGTAAGAATTAGATGGTGCATTGGTGTTTGTACAGGGCCTGGCCCACAGAATGCACTAATCAGTGTTGGTTGCTATTATCATTTTATTATATTGGATTTACCACAGAATCTTGTGTAGAAAACGGTCCTGCTCCTTAAAAAAGTTTGAAAACCACCACTTTAGAACAACACTTGGCAGCAGTGGTAGATCTCAGTTATACTTTCGCAAGTTCAAAGGCTGCTTTATAGACACTTTAGAAGAGCGCGATAGATGTTCCTTTCTCAGATGTTCCTTTCTCGTTGGTGCTGTCCAGGATTGTCGCCGCTGGCAAATGTCATCTTTGTTACCGGTGGGAACTCCTATAATAGCTCAATCAATTGGAGCTCCCAGTTAGCAGCTTTTTTTAATAAGCTCATGAGCAGTAAGATTTTCGAGCTCAGGCCATTTCTATATTTTGAAGAGATTTAAAAAAAGGACTTGATTCAATCTGGCACCTAAAACCCTACCTAAGTCTGTTTTGGAGAGGAGTTGGTGGGCCAGCATATGACACGGTTTTAATTATGAATCAATCTGTCAGCTATAAGATTAAAAATAAATAATATGCAAATAGCTGCCTTCAAGAAGGAATGAGGCATTAAAATAGGATGTCAGCCCTGTGTCTTTTCAGCCCGATACTCATTGTCTGGCTGGTGTCTTCACCCCCGACATTTACCTGGACATTTACCAGGTAACGTTCCCTCTGCTGGTTGCCCAGTCAGGTGTGAGAGGTAACACATGTATCTCAGAACCACGAGGTGTGCTTAAAAAGCAACTGATAGAGATCTTTAAAAAAAGTTTTTTTTGGACACTGAGAGTAGATAATTTTTTTATATCCCTGTTTTCTGTTAGAATTGTACCAAGATCTCTTATCTGTAAAAACAGCATAGAAGAAAGCTCTGCTGGCCCTTGCATTATGAAGCTATCTCCCTCATCTTTTTTTTACCACTAAGATGGAATCAGCCTTGCAGTTTATCTTTCCTGCCTTCTATCCTTGGGGTTGAAAGCTTAAGAGACTCATAATACAGGAAACAGATCATTTGCCCTCGGTGTGGAGGGAATATACCCACAAAGTAGACCTAAGAATTCTCTTTGCTTATAACCTCGTTCAAAATCACAGATAGCCCATTATTCTTTTTTTTTTTTTTTAAACCATGGAGATCATTAATTTACTCAGGTCCGCCCAATATCTGTGTGTGTCTAACACTCTGGCAACTCCCACAGAGCCACAAGCTCAACGTGTTACGGCTTTTGGGCAGGAAGGACATACGAAACGTCCAAATGCGCTAACATGCTTTCACGAGGCCTCGACTGCTTTCGTGCAAGCACCTAATCCTCCTCTTGTCAAACAGGCAACATAGAGATGATGACAGAATACAGAGCCAGTCATCACAAAGTGTGAACAGAAGTCAGAGACCCCTTGAAAACAGGGTGACGACAGGAAATAGAAGGACTCTTCCTACTCCAGTGGCCAGTCGAAATGAGAGTAGTAATCTTGGCACCTCCCTGACTTTTTCCGAGTGTTTCTTCTTTAGCACTTTATAATCTAATTTGGGGAGGAGGAGAAGAAGTGACAGAAATGGGCTTATTATAAATTGCATTTTTTTTTCATGAGTCAAAGAAAAGGGAGTAGGTACCCAAAGGCTTAAATATGTCTTTGAATGACAAGTAAATTATTTTGGCAGCATATATATTCTTATGTGGGTATATTTTCTGTAGTCTGTTTGCTCCCCATGGGGCACCATTGGTGCCTCAACATCTTGGTCACTAATTTTTATCCCATGTATTTCACATGATGCGTTAAAGTAGAATAGCACGCAAGAAAAAGCCAAAACATTAAAACCAGAGCAACAGAGGAGGTAGCCAATAAAGTATTTACCTCCGTGTCAGGTGGAGAAACCAACCCAGCCAAGTTCAAGGTGGCTTATTTGGGGCTTCCAGAATCCATTTTATAGCGCAGCTTCCAGGCCAGTTTGCCGCATCAGTCTTGTTGTTTTCCTTTGGGGGCAGAGGTAGAAGGAAGCACGGTGGAGACATTTGCAGTCTAGGAGGAAAACCATCTTAAGGATGGGTTTACTGCATTGTTTACTCATTGTTTCTGCTTTCGGGAGATTTAACCACGTCACACAAAGGGTGATACAGGGTTCCCTGTGAGGCAGAAGTGCCTGCTAGGAGTGACAGACTTGCAGTTTTTTTCCTTTTTTTTTTTTTTTTTTTTTTTAACCCTGATGAAGGAGGTTTAGCCAAGAACCTGACCAGATAACCTTTATTCCCCCTCTTGTAGCTGATAGCGTTACACAAACCGTAGGAATTAACATGGCTTTTGATATTAAAATACAAATTACTAGACCACTTACTGCATTAAAAGCTCATCAGCACAGTTAACAAAATGAAAAGCTGTGGCCACATTGAACAGATCTACTTAATTGACGTTCTTTAATTCTATGTGCCTGGGAAGATTTTTTTTTTAATTGATAGTCAAAGTAGGTTAAAATAGGGAGTTAGTCATGGAAACAGTGGCAACATTTCAGAAACTAAGTCTACTCTGGGTTTGAAAATGGGAAATAATTAACCATAGACTCAGAGGCATTTCCTTTTAATTTACTCCTTTTAGTTATGTAAAATTTAATTTACCGCCAGTGCGCCTCATTCCAACTATTATTAGAAAATTGCCCTTAAACTTCTGAAGTATTATATATAAAAGCCCTTTGCAAGTGCTGGTACTAAACCTCAGCAAAGAGAACAGGACAGCTAAATGCGCTGAAATTGAAATCATTCTGCCATTGAGCAGGGAAACCATTTAGTAAAACCAGATTAAATCTCTCTCAGTAAAATGGCAATTTCATATACATGCCTTCCCACTTTCTGATAGCCATCTGCATAATAAGAACCATTTAAAGTGATGCTGTCATACAGTATTACTTTTCAGGATTATTCTGAGAGTCCCTTAAATTTTTTTTTCCTTTTGTTGCATGAACTTAAATTTATTACCTAAAATATTATTAAAATAACTCTTAGTGTCCTTCACTCAGTCTTCCATGATAAGAACTTTCTTTTGCTTTCTAAGACTGTTTCCCAGGATAATGTCCTGTAGATGGTGTCCTGGGCGTTTTAGCTTAATTAGCAGATTGTGATACCAGTCTCTCTACTATTCCTCTTTCCTCAGTTTGCATTTTCCACATTCTATTATCGTCCATGAACTTGATCTCATTTAAAGTTGCCCCTTCCATATGGCAGGCACTTTTGATTGATTTGTTTTTACCATATTTTCCCGATGAATCCTGAGTCAGAGAAGAATCCGAGACATTTCTTGTTCTCCCACAGCATATGTGTGTTTGGGCGCTAAGGGGGCGGGTGTGGGAGATTGAGTTTGGCTCACAGGGGTTGGATGGGCAAACGTGAGCTGCACACTGATCGTCATTATCATGTAGGTTCAAGTGCTGATGGCTCTAGAAGCAATTTCTCATTTCAGATCAACTTGCTTGTCTGCGTAACCGGATTCCTTTCCTCTTAGGTAATCACAGACCTGGAGGAGCAGCTAAACCAGCTGACGGAGGACAATGCTGAGCTCAACAACCAAAATTTCTACTTGTCCAAACAACTTGATGAGGCCTCTGGCGCCAGTGATGAGATCGTACAGCTGCGAAGTGAAGTAGACCATCTCCGCCGCGAGATCACGGAGAGGGAGATGCAGCTCACCAGCCAGAAGCAAGTAAGGATTGTAAACAATGTCAGAGACTTCCCCAGGAAACTTGGAACCCCTTTAGATTTTAGAGGAGGTGCCAGTTGCATCTCTCCCAAGGGTTCTCAGACTGAGCCTGTCCAGTAAAAAGGCTCTTTTTTATAATCATGTCTGTGTTTGTTTGTTTTTTTTTGCTGTACGCGGGCCTCTCACTGCTGTGGCCTCTCCCGTTGCGGGGCACAGGCTCCAGACACGCAGGCTCAGCGGCCACGGCTTACAGGCCCAGCCGCTCCATGGCATGTGGGATCCTCACGGACCAGGGCACGAACCCGTGCCCCCTGCATCGGCAGGTGGATTCTCAACCACTGTGCCACCAGGGAAGCCCATGTCTGTGTTTTGAAGGCTTGTGGGTTTTAAAAATGGCTTTTAGAAGTGTCTAGTTGGTTTGGTTTTTGTTTTTTGTTTTTTGGCCGCTCCGCACAGCATGCAAGATCTTAGTTCCCCACCATCCCTATGGAACCCGTGCCCCCTGCAGTGGAAGTGCAGAGTCTTAACCACTGGACTGCCAGGGAAGTCCTTTGTGTGGTTGTTTTTGATTTTGATTTAAAACCATTAAAAATAGAATAGAATGCTTCTGTGAGCCACTTTATTTTTACGTATTTATTTAAAAAAAATTTTTTTTGGCTGTGTCACATGGCCTATGAGATCTTATTTCCCCTACCAGGGATTGAACCCTGGCCCTTAGCAGTGAGAGCTCAGAGTCCTAACCACTGGACCGCCAGGGAATTCCCGAGCCACTTTATTGTTAAGTGTGGTCTCTTTTCCCTGGTCTTCCTCCTGGTTCTTTCTATAAGATGACGGCAGAAATGGCCCTTCATCCATTCTTGTCTGGTCCCCTCATTCTGTAGGAGAAAAAGATAGTGTCTTTCAGACCATAGTTAGAAACTCCTGCTTTTCTGAAACTGATCTGACAAAAGTAACATCTGGGAAATCCTCATTTGACACAAAGCACAACTCAGTGATACTGATTTGCAGACGATGGAGGCTCTGAAGACTACCTGCACAATGCTGGAGGAGCAGGTCATGGACCTGGAAGCCCTGAACGACGAGCTGCTGGAAAAAGAGCGGCAGTGGGAGGCCTGGAGGAGCGTCCTTGGTGACGAGAAGTCCCAGTTTGAGTGTCGGGTTCGAGAATTACAGAGGATGCTGGACACTGAGAAGCAGAGCAGGTGGGACTTCCTGTTGGTAGAAAGCCAATGGCAGGTGACAGCAGCAGGATCCAGCTCAGAGCTACCAGCAGGGTAACCAGTTGTCCCAGCTTGGCCAGCACTGAGCAGTGTCCTGGGACATAAGACTTTCAGTGTTAAAACTGGGAGACTCTTGTGCAAACCAGAATGGGTCTGTCATCCTCATTGTAAATACAGACAGTGCCATTTGGCAGTAGATGGTGACCACTTACCCCATGCAGGGCCCTGGGAGTCAGCAGGGAGAATATCTCAGTGCTTTCTTTGTAGAAACTCTTTTCTCGGGTTTCTAATCATTGTGACCATGTAGCAAGACCATCACTGTTTCGATCCTGGTCATTTGTGACGCAAGTCTGCCTTCTACACCAACCTTGGCGTTATTGACAGTTCGGGCCGGATGATCCTTTGTTGCGGGCACTCTTCTGTGCGCTGTAGGATGCCGAGCTGCATCCCTGGGCTTGCCCCACTAAACCCGAGTAGTGGCTCCTTCCTCCTGTTGTGACAACCCCACACATCTCCACACATTGCCCAGTATCCCCTGGGGGGCAAAATCACCCCCAGTTTGAGAACAACTGCTCTATAAGAAGTTTTTTTTTTTCCATTTCTTGGTAGGAAATAATTTCAGGTAGTATCTTTTCTCTGTGTTCCCGCAGTCCTCCCAGCATAGAATTCCCTTCCTGCCGGGGTCACAGGTGTGAGGGTTGTGTACTGCATGCTGCTGGGGATGCTGTTTGCACTGAAGACGTCATAGATATGAAGATTTATTATGACAGTTTAACAGCTCACAGCAGCAGTTTTTGCACTAACAAAATCAGTATATTATGACAGTTTACCAACAGATGGGAGTAAACAGTCTTAAAGAACACGTGCCTTTCTTAGTTTGTGCAGAGACACCTACGGGCTGGTATTCGCCCCGTGGCTTCATGTCTGCCCAGCTGAATCCTATCCCTCCCCCCATAACCTCGCTAATATCACCTTCCTCTGAAACTTGCCTTCCTGCGGTACTCTCAACTCCTTTTTTTTGGCTGTGTTGTGTCTTCATTGCTGCACGCGGGCTTTCTCTAGTTGCGGCGAGTGGGGGCTACTCTTAGTTGTGGTGCACGGGCTTCTCATTGCGGTGGCTTCTCTTGTTGCGGAGCACGGGCTCTAGGCGCGTGGGCTTCAGTAGTTGCGGCGTGCGAGCTTCAGTAGTTGCAGTGCATGGGCTCAGTAGTTGTGGCGCACAGGCTCTAGGGCGCGCGGGCTTCAGTAGTCGTGGCTCTTGGGCTCTAGAGCGCAGGCTCAGTAGTTGCGGCGCACGGGCTTAGTTGCTCCGTGACATGTGGGATCTTCCCGGACCAGGGCTTCAACCCATGTCCCCTGCATTGGCAGGCAGATTCCCAACCACTGCGTCACCAGGGAAGTCCACTCTGAACTCTGTAAACAAGATAAACTATACCTGGAAATATTTATCATTTATTAGGACTCTATCAGATTCATTTTAGTATTTCCCACATTTGCTTGATCATAAAGTAGACTCATCACTGTCTTGGATGTATAATCTGTGCTAAATCAAACTAGAAAAGACTGGAAGCAAAGAGGACCTATAAGTTTCAAGAGAAACTGGTAAAAATCTTCCCCTTTTAGACATCTTCCCATTCAGGGTACTTGCTGATGTAAGGGGACTACTGGTTTAAGACCAGCAACCTTCTGTTGCTGTTTCCCTCCAAACTCTTGGGCTCCCCCATCCTCACCATACATTCTGGCTGCCCTCACACAGACACCCTCCCTCCCACCTGCAAGTCCAGCTCTTATGCCAGCTGTTTCTAGAATCCTTCAGAGACAGTTTTGGGGACGGAATCTGACCATAGCATCAAGAAATTCACAATCACACGTGGAAGGTGTAATCATGGGCTGTGCTTGGGAAGACATTTCATGTATACTTTCAGGGGCAATTGTGAAAGGTCTTGGCTACCCACCCCCGTTTCTTTCCTCCCTCTATTTTGGTATTATGTGGGACCTGAGATGAGTAAAATATAATTCTTAATTCTTGTCTTCAAGAGGCTAAGAGTCTACTGGAGGAGGTAAACTACGCCTAAAATAGAGAGTGGGCTGTGCCAGGCGAGAAATACCTTTATGCTTAGGGGACAACAAGGAGAGGTTGCTTCTGAGAGGGAAACTGGGAAAGGTTCTATGGTGGACGTGGTCTTTGAGTTTACCCTTGAAGTCTGAGTAAGATTTGGATTTGTCGGGTGGGGTAGGAGAGCTGCCAGTGGAGGAGCCTGTACAAGCCCAGGCGTGGAAGCGGCAAAGCATAAGACCTAAAGGGGGGAGGGGCAGTGATTTTTCTAGTTTGCTTCCAGTTTTTCTATTCTTTCACCTTATTTACAGATATTGATACATCCGTCAGGTTCAAGTTTCAGTTTCTTGAGGAGCACCCAGAACACTTCACCTCTTGCATGTACTTTAAGGAGAGGAAGTGTTTGCTCACATGGGACTTCGCGTGGCCCTCTGCACCCTGTGTTCCTTCAGCAGGCCCTCATTCCCTTCCTGCTCCCGTAGGAGGGTGTGACAGTCTTGTGACGTCTTCTCCAACCCAGTTGCATTTGGAAAGATGCCTTATCGCCTTCAGCCTTTCCAAGTGCATATATATTCACAGGAACTTTACCTGTGAAGAGTATTTTTACCCAGGGCCTAAAGTGGGTCACATCTTCTCTCTGAACGTGGTCAGAAAACAAGACATAATTCAGAGCAAGGGGTCGGGTTGGGCATCTCGCCAGCCCACAGTCTGTTTGGTTGCTTAGCAGGGCCCGAGCTGGACCAGCTCCCTTCCTGCAGGGCGGCGATGGTGGAGCTTCTGAACGTGCCCATGTTTCCCCGCAGGGCGAGGGCGGATCAGCGGATCACCGAGTCGCGCCAGGTGGTCGAGCTAGCAGTGAAGGAGCACAAGGCTGAGATTCTGGCCCTGCAGCAGGCTCTCAAGGAACAGAAGCTGAAGGCCGAGAGTCTCTCCGACAAGGTCAGCCCCTGTCCCTCCTGCCCTTTAGATACACGTGTGCACCTCCTTTTAGCAGGTATGCTTGACACACAGTCACATGCGATCAATGGTCAGCATGTTTCATAAACAGAGTCGCGCGATTATGCTTCCCCGTGGGCCGCCCTCTGTTGCCAGTAGCGTGGGTGAGGGGGGCAGGTATTAGGGTGTCAGAGTCGGTCAGTGACTTCCTCACATCTGCCTGTCAGGGCCCCTGAGGTAGAGATTTTGATCTGGGTGCACAACACTCTTGCTTTCTGGCATTTGATTTCTAGACGCCCTCATGGGTCTAATGTCGAACATCCTTGGGGAACGGGGAGTGTTGAGGACTCATGCTCATCCCATTGCTGCAATGACAGGAAGCCTCAGCCTCTCTGGGTTCTAAGTCCAGGGACACGGTAGGATCTGAGGATGGTGCAGGTTCTCAGTATTTCACGTTGGAAATACACGTGTTCTGTCCACCTAGCACTCTGTATTCTGTATTTACAAAGTGACATACCAGTGTTTGGAGATTTTTATCTAATCTTAAAAGAGATTTCGAATAGGTGCTTCAATATTATAGATAACAAAAGGTCCGAGGAATTTCATGTATACGCATAGCCTCATACATACACACTCTTTTGCACACACACACGTGCACACACACACATAATATAAAGTAGAAATCTAACCTCTGAATTTTGTGTAACTTTGTAATTTCATGATTATAAAAGTGATTATTTGGGGTCATTGTGGAAGATATAGAAACCACAGAAAAGTCAAGAAAAAAATGACTGGTAAGCTGTCATCACTGTTATCTTGGTGAATTTGTATATACATATAAATATTTATTTATAAATTTAGGTTCTTACAATATAAACAGCTTTACATATTTTTTTAAACATCACATAACTAGGGTCTTTTCCTGAATTAGTGAATCTTTTTTGAACATGTAGTTCTAGAAACATCAATTACACAGAGGCACCTATTTTTTATTTTTATTTTTTTTGGCGGTATGCGGGCCTCTCACCGTTGCGGCCTCTCCGCTGTGGAGCACAGGCTCCGGACGCGCAGGCTCAGCGGCCATGGCTCACGGGCCTAGCTGCTCCACGGCATGTGGGATCTTCCCGGACTGGGGCACGAACCTGTGTCCCCTGCATCGGCAGGCGGACTCCCAACCACTGCGCCACCCGAGGGAAGCCCGAGGGAAGCCCGAGGCACCTATTTTAATGATTCCACTTGTGTTGAAAATTTGTGTTTCTTCCATTTTTTTTTGTTTTTGCCATCATAAATAACACTGTGATGAACATAAATCTTTATGGACATCCGTGATTATTTTCTTACCAGAATTTCATAGAAATAATATGATCAGATTCAAGGCTAGAGCTTGTTACTCAGGAACCCTCCTGGTATTGGCTTACTATTTTTTTTAACCATAAGGAAAGTAAATATATTATTTGACCATGAGGAAAGTAAATGTATTATTTAGAGATAAATGAACGCTTTTGTGTTTAGCTTGAAGGATATTTTTTTTTACCTGACTGTTCTTAAAGTATTCTATAGCAAAGTCCTACCCATCCTTTAAGACTCTAGACATTCTGACCCCATCTTCTCTTGACGACTAGTCTCTCAGGATGAATTTCTCTTCTCCGTACCTCTTATCGAAATCGTCACCTGACAAAGCAGTCACTGTTTGTGTACGTGTCTAGTTATGGTGCCACCCTCTGCCTTTGTGACCTGATGTAAGATCCTGGAGAGAGCTTGTCTGTCCTTTCATCCAAAGCTCCTGATATTATCCTATGCGAGTAGTAAGCATTCAGAATGTGATGATTTAATTCAGCCGAAGCATGTCAGATAAACAAATTCTTGAGAAGTCATCCTCCTACATATGACCCATCCCTTAGAAATAATATTCTCTCCCCACAGAATAACGCACATAAGGCTTATCTATGACAGGGACATTTGTGATATACTTTTAAAAAAACCAGTATTTATGTTCCGACCTTTAGAACTTGATTATTCTTTACCTGAGAAGGTTTGTGGATATTTGCAGAAGTTGTTAGCGTCTGACATTACTAAATGTGGTGTCACGGCCAATTTTTTCCAAATGTCCAGCTCAATGACCTGGAGAAGAAACACGCCATGCTTGAAATGAATGCCCGAAGTTTACAACAGAAGCTGGAGACAGAACGAGAGCTCAAACAAAGGCTTCTGGAAGAGGTGAGTGTAAAACGCCGGGCAAATAGAGCCGGGTGGACTCTCAAGTGCATATCTGTTGTCTTCAGGTGGGCAGATCCAAATTAAGGCGTTCAGATTTCAAAGTGGAAATTTTCAAGGAAGAGTAAGGTGGTCACCGGATACTTCCTTTTTTTTTAAATTTTATTTCATTATATCTTTTTATTTTATTATTTATTTATTTATTCATTTATGGTTGCGTTGGGTCTTCGTTGCTGCGCGTGGGCTTTCTCTAGTTGCGGCGAGCAGGGGCTACTCCTCGTTGTGGTGTGCGGGCTTCTCGTTGCGGTGGCTTCTCTTGTAGCGGAGCATGGGCTCTAGGTGCGCTGGCTTCAGTAGTTGTGGCTCGTGGGCTCTAGAGCACAGGCTCAGTAGTTGTGGTGCATGGGCTTAGTTGCTCCGCGGCATGTGGGATCTTGCCAGACCAGGGCTGGAACCCGTGTCCCCTGCCTTGGCAGGCAGATTCTTAACCACTGCGCCACCAGGGAAGTCCCGGATACTTTCTTAAAGGTGTTTAACACGTTAAAAGAATGTGTCACGAAGGCCGGGGTCCTCTTTGTCCTTGTGTCCTCCCAAGTGGTGCTTAATGGTGTGTGTAGTACACAGCGAGTCTGTGCCAAGTGGAAGTTTATTAAATATGCAGGCACATGGATATTGAGTTAAATTCTTCTTTAGAGTTTATGTCCAAAGTACATGAAGTTTGCAGGCTGATAGGACAACCATGTAATTAGCTTTGTGCACGGGGCAGAGACCTGATCAGATTACACTGAGTGCCAAATCTCATGAAGGCTTTTGAACACCCAGTTAATTCAGTTTAAAAAAAATGATGCCCTGCTTTTGAGACACAAAACGAAAAGCTCAAATTGGTCTCCTAAACCAATCCATTCCTTATGTTATTTCCTGTACCTTTTAACAGAATTCTGAAAATCTCTGTTTAAACTGATGACAACTTCCCACTCCCAACCAAAGCCCTGGTTTGGTTGAATCACTGATAATTCGGCTTTGTTCATTAGAATTGACCTATCGGGACAAATGCACTTTATAAAGATATTTCACGAGAAGTTGGACTCCAAGAGTGTTCTGTTTAAGCCATAGTGAGCCTGACGGTTGAATTAGCCAGATTATCTATTCTGGTGAACTGAGGTTTTATTGTGTGCTACCCGTAGCCCCTGAGGGGCTCTGCTGGTAGAAATATTATGACTATGTTATTAAGTTCGAAAAGTGTGGTGAAAATTTTGCAGGTGAATGTAAAATGTTTTCTAGAATGAGGGTTTAAAAACTATGGGTGGGAGTTTTGGAAAGTTCTGGAGATGGATGATGGTGACGTACAACCATGTGAATATACTTACTGCCACAGAACTGTGCAATTAAAAATGATTAAAGTGGTAAATTTTATGTATATTTTACCACAACAAAAAATTTTTTAAATCAATTACACACACACACACACACACACACACACAAACATACACACACGTGGGTGGGAAATTCACCAAAGGTGACACTAAGAACATTATAATAGAAATTGACAAATCACCCCGGTGGTCAGATAGAGAATGGTGGTCTTTTATCTGGAATGAATAGGCAACACCCCCACTTGAGGCACCTGTTGGAAACAGGAGGAACAGAAATAATCAGTGTTCTCGCCTGTCCTCTTTTCCTTTCAAGGAAGGAGCGCTGGCCCCAACAGCTCAGTGCTTTGGTCCGAGGTTACATGGTGAGTCAGTGGCAGGGCTAGGAAGAGCAGGCTGGAATCCTGATTCAGTTCCCTTGTTCTCACTTCTAAAACTACCTGGGAACGTTTCCAGTTCTCCATTCTGCACCTCACAGAGGGCTTTTTGAGCAGATGTCTGTCTGGCTGCCATTGAATGGGAGGCAGATCTCACTGACAGCCGAAACCATTAGGGAACTAAGAACAAGCTTTATTGTCCGGAACGCAGCTGGCATGCTGGCTTGTGGTGGGCCTTCTGTAAGCAGGAGACCGGGGGCTCAGCCTGGCTCTCCCCTCCATCAGGTGCAGATTCTTGTAAATGGGGTCAGAATCAGTGCCTCAGAGTTGGAAAGAATTTTTGTGTGTCATTTATTGCAAATTCCCAGCACTTGCACCGCTGTTCCCTTTATTATTCCTGTCCTGGGCACTAACGGATCTTTCTCCCAGATCTTTTCTCTCGGGCCAGAAATGGCCTCAGAAGCTTTTCTGACACTGCCCTTTACAGGCATGATTAGTCTCTTGGACGTGACGCCAGAGCTCAGAGTCCACTTGCTAATCCTGTCGAGTTAATCCCCCTGCGAGGTAGAGAGTCCCTTCCCCAACCCTCCGCATAGGTGGGCCTCGGTGAACCTTGGCCTCAGTATCAAAATTTAGAGTGACTTTAGACATCCCAGCTCATTTTTCTGGCACCTGTAACTCTTGGAAAGTCCTTTCTTATTGTAAACTAAAGCCTGTAACTTCCAACCATTGTTTCTGTTACATCGAAACATATGAAAACAGGGTGTAGTCTCATATTTCCAACCAAAGTAGGAGGTTAATACTGATTAATGATCAAATCACTTGACTAGTAATCAAAATAACTAATGTTTAATTAGCACGTACTATGTGCCAGGTGCCTTTCTGAGTACTTTCCATGAATTAACTCCTATAGTCCTTGTGACACTTCTGTGAGAGAACTACTACTTTTTATTGTATCATCTCTGTGACGGCTGATTCGATATCTCTGTAGCTTTCCCACTCCATATTGCCTTCTCTTTTCTAAATGGAACACTTGAAGTCCTTCCATGTTTGGGATGTTCTTTTCTGATAGATTTTTCTTTCCGAAGAGAGTTTCTAGAAGCCCCTGTGGTTTGAACAGCACAGCATAGTGGGCTATCTCCACTTCCATTCTGGGCTCCGAATATCTCTGCCAGTGACCCAAGCTCTTTGTGTGGCTTTGGCACACTGCTGACACCCATCGATCTGTTAAATCACCACCAGCCCTTCTACAAGTTTTTTTTTTTTTTTAAACATCTTTCTTTATTCAGTTGATGTGTTTAAAAACTACCATCCTATTAAACCTTCTCTTGTTGGTTTTGATCCATCTTCCCAGCCACCAGAGTTGTTTCATGCTCTGGTTCTGTCATCTAGTTCCTTTCTGCTTCCTCCCAGTTTCCTGTCACCCTCATAAAATTGGGGGACAGATCTAAGCACGTGGCTAGAGCCCTCTTTTCACTCTAACACTGTCTGGGAACAGCCTCCATTTACCTCTCTCTGGGAAGCAGGTTAATGGTTTTGTAAAACATTTCATTGAGCACAAATGTCACTCTTGTTTTCTATTGTAGTAAATAAGTAGCCTATTTCCTGGAAAGCTAATGGACAGTTGATGTGTTGATTCTAGAGAAATATTTTGGGCCTGGCTGTCACCAAACAGATTCTTGTCCCTAGCACTTGTTTCTCTGCTTCCTGCCTAGTAATTAGTGTTGTCCTAAAATAGTGGAGAGAAACTAAAGTGGATAATTTGCAAGAAGTAATCATTTGTGCTACAGGGGACAGATAGCTCCCTGGAGGAGGTTATCTTAGCTGTTTTCTCTCTTTCTTTCCCTGTATTTTAGGGGGTTCTGTGGTTTGATTCAGAAATTCCAGGTCACGCACACAGGGCAGGTGGTCATAAGTTAGTATCCTGCTTTACGGAGGACTAATGGGGAGAGGCTGTCGGAGTAGGTTTCGGGCAGGAAAGGAAGATGGAAAGGTGAGGGGGGGCGCACCTGAACGGGATGGAGGGAAGAAAGACGAAGGAGGCAGCGCTAAGATTCATCGAGCATGTGCTGTATGCTGGGCACTGTGCTTGGTGTGTTAGCCAGTGAAGGGAGTTATTACCCCCACTTACAGACGAAGAGACTGAGGGTCTGAGAGGCAGTGAGCTGCCCCTGGTCACAGGACTAATAAGAGTTAAAGTCAGGATTTGAACCAGGGTCTGGAACGTTCTAAAGCCCAGGTTCTTTTCCATGACACCATGATGCCTCAGGGAATCAGCTGCCTCTCAAGAGGAAGGGCAGGTGAGGAGTAGAAATGGAAAGACAAGCATCGGTGGAGGGAAGAGAAATAAGGTAGCGAGGTTTCAGCAGATTCCGAGGTCATCAGTAGTAGCCTTTGGCTGGCTGGGGCGTGGGCCACCGAGGTTTGCCCTCGCCTGCTGGGAAACTCCCATGCTGATGGTTATAGCTCTTTACCAGCCCTCTGTCCTTAAGGCCGCAGAGGCTCTAGGCCACCAGGGAAGGGAGTATTTGGGCCACTGGTGGTGTGGTTAGATTGGACCCAAGGGGTTGGGTGAAATCAAGCAGCATCTTGTCAGGATAGCTGCTCTTTCCTGCTTTTTAGAAACAGAAGCATTTTAGGAAAGAGAGTCATAAACCCAGTATCTTTATAGCCTGCTCTGTTTTCTGGTTGACTTCCATTGTAAAAAAAATTGGAGAGAGATTTCCAGCACAAAGCGATTTCCAATGTCCTAAATAGAATTTTGTTTTCCTTGGGTTTTACCGACACTTGTACTGAACCTGGGATCTTCCTTCCTCCCCACATGGTAGAAATATCTCCTGCGACTGTGGCTATTGGGGTGCTTGTTGGTCCCACACCCTGACGAGGTGCTGTTTGAGTTAGAGGTGCTATGACCCTTTTTTTTTTTAAAAATCAATTTATTTATTTATTTGTTTTTATTTTTGGCTGCGTTGGGTCTTCGTTGCTGTGCGTGGGCTTTCTCTAGTTGTGGCGAGCGGGGGCTACTGTGTTGCCATGCGCGGGCTTCTCATTGTGGTGGCTTCTCTTGTTGCGGAGTACGGGCTCTAGGCACGTGGGCTCAGTAGTTGTGGCGCACGGCCTTTGTTGCTCCGCGGCATGTGGGATGTTCCCAGACCAGGGATCGAACCCATGTCCCCTGCATTGGAAGGCGGATTCTTATCCACCGTGCCACCAGGGAAGCCCTGACTCCCCTTTGTATATTCCACATGGAGAATCACAAAGTGAGTTCTCTTAACAGCAATTGAGATCTTAAAAAAAAAAAAAATAAGGACAAATCAGAACGTGGCTGTCATGGCATTAAGTCATACTGCCTTAGATGTCAACTCAGATGGCCCGTAGTATGAAGTACCAAAATATCCTTAACTGCAACTCTGATTGGGAAGGCAGACCCACCAGTCTGGACTTCTTGTTGTGGTGGGCACCTTGTGAGTGGCTGGCCATCAGAGATTTCTGTGCAAGTTCTTTTTAACTGCACATGCATCCTTTTGGAATAGCAGACAGTTGGTCATTCCGGAATGAGCCGAGCTTTTGGTGCCATGTCTGAAATTAGTTTGTAATAGGGACAGTGAGGGAGCACGTTGCTTTGTGTGTGGTATGAAGCCTCTCCTGCCTCTCTTCCCACCAGCAAGCCAAGTTACAGCAGCAGATGGACATGCAAAAGAGTCATATTTTCCGTCTGACTCAAGGGCTACAGGAAGCTCTAGATCGGGCTGATCTGCTGAAGACAGAAAGGAGTGATCTGGAATATCAGCTAGAGAACATTCAGGTGAGAACTGGCAAAGGGAACTTAAAGTGTCTGCAGGAGCAAAGCATGATGGCTAAAAGCCATCTGTCTGGTCAAATGGGCAGTATCTTCATGTTGTGTGTTTTCCCCAGTATTTTATTATGAGGATTTTCTAACGTTCAGAGAAGCTGGGAAATTTCTATCATGACCACCCTCTAGATTCTCCTACTTGCCATTTGCTATTTTTTGCTTTTTCACATATCTGTCCGTACTTCAGTCCATCTTTTTTGGGGGGATGGTGGGCAGTAAGATCAGAACTAAGTAAATAAAGATTGGCCCAGTGCGTCTTGGGTTGAATTTTTCGTATGTTAATATTGTAACAGCTTTATTTTTTATTTTCTTAAAGTACCGAGTTTAAAAGTATACTTCTTTCGGTGTCTGAGGTGCTTTTCGTTTTCACAAATTTTAGGTTCTCTATTCTCATGAAAAGGTGAAAATGGAAGGCACTATTTCTCAACAAACCAAACTCATCGATTTTCTGCAAGCCAAAATGGACCAACCTGCTAAAAAGAAAAAGGTGGGTCAGAGGGTTTGAAAAGCGGGGAGCTGACAGTTTTGCTCAATCGTGGTGATTCTGTAAAGCCCACTGGGATAGATAATCCTAGGAACATCAGAGAAAACAAAATGCATCTTGTTTTGTTTGGGGTTGAAAAAGAGGCTTTGGGATCATCAGAATAGCTCTTCAAGAGAAGCGATCACTCTGGAGTCTGTAATACACCATTTTGTGTTCATGGCCTTTGAAGTTGTCATGCCTTCCTCTGTGAAGGCAGTGATAGTTTTTTCCCAGGCAGCTGGGGTGGGGGAGGTAGCAGAGAGGAAGCTTTATACTCAGGTCAGCGTCCTGGACTCCAGAGGGGTTCCCTGCTCACATGTACAGGACTCTGGAGAGATTACAGGTCACTTGTATGGGATTCTAGACAGAGAGGGGTTCTTAGGTCATGGGGATAGGATTCCAGAGGTTTTAATATGTCATCTGTATGGGGCTGTAGAAGGATTCTCAGGTCATGTGTACGGGACTCCAGAAAAACTAGCCATCATCTGCTCAGTCCTTCTGATTGGCTCAAGAAGAGACTGGGACCCAGAGAGCTGACGTAACCTGCCCCAAATGTCTGACTGGATAGCTGTCCCTTCCACGGGTGCGGCTCCATCTCTTTAAAATTGTAACATATAAATTGAAAACAATGACCAAAAGAAACAGATGGACAGGGTGATATATAGGCACACATGGGAAGATTTTTAATAAGCCCAAAGCATGCTTCCCTGAACCACTGAAGGTTTGGTCATGTGTTCTCAGTTCCAGAAGGTCTCTAAGGAGCCTGAAGCTTCTTCCCAAGGCACCCAGATGCCAGAGTAGCACTGGCGGTGGTACAGGGAAGGCCTCCGATGACAGGATACTGGGGAGTGGGCTGAAGGAGGCGGCCGGCCTCTTGGTCCCTTTGTTCTCTTTACGGGAAGGCACCAGAGCAGCAGTGGTGGTTGTGGAGGCGGGTTTCCTTGTGTGCTGTGCGAGCGTGCCTGTTGGTGCTGATGATACTGAATCTGGTTTATTTTATCAGTGGACTGTTATCTGAGTTTGTCACTTGATGTAGTCAGGGTGCTTCCGTGTATTTTTTTGGTTCGTTTTCACTCCCATTACCCTACGTTATACTTTTCTTTCCCATGTACAATACATGTTCCATTTGCATGTTTTTTGCATAAGCCCCTTGTGGTGACATTATTTTAGTATTCCATTTTTAAATTTTTTTTGCTTCCTTTAAAAAAAAAATACTCATCTCTGTGTCTTGTAACGAAGCATCATGAGACAAATTCAAGGCGAGAGTGATTTCTGAACCATGTCTCCTTTCCATCCTCCACTTCCATTTTTTGAGGGTAAAGGCTCAGGAAATGGCTCTCCTTCTTGGGAATGCTAAAGGAAGAGGTGGTGGCAATTCAAGCATCTCTGACCCTCTCGGTGAAAACTTCCACGCCCCTATTTTTTTTCCAGCCGTCTGGGAGGGGCTGTGGCTCGGTCCCCCCCTCCCCCTTCACATGCCATTTTTACAAAACCCGCTTGCAGTGAGTATGTGCCCGACTCCCGTGGTCTGCTCCTCCCGAGGCAGAGTTCCTTTCACTAGTTCCCAGTGCCAATTTCCAGGAGTTAGGAGATATCTCTGTTTCCATTGCTAGGGTTTATTTAGTCGACGGAAAGAGGACCCTGCTTTGCCCACACAGGTTCCTCTGCAGTACAATGAGCTGAAGGTGGCTCTGGAGAAGGAGAAAGCTCGCTGCGCGGAGCTCGAGGAAGCCCTGCAGAAGACCCGCATCGAGCTCCGCTCCGCCCGGGAGGAAGGTACGGGTGCCCTCGAAGCCAAGTGCGGTGGACGAGGCAGAGGACCGATCTCAAGGAGATTGGCCGAGACTAGTTCAGCCTCGTGGTGACAGCCCAGACATCCCACGTCTGAACGATTCACGGCATCCTCGGCATTGCCGATCGGGCACCCTGTGTGTCCTTTTGGTCTCGGGCCTTTGATAGCCAGCCCCCGGGGCGGTCCACTTGGTTGGGGCCTCTCGGGGGCCCTGCTAACCGAAAGGCGTTGGACCCGTCTCTCCCCAGCAGCCCACCGGAAAGCCGCAGACCACCCGCACCCGTCCACGCCGGCCACCGCCAGGCAGCAGATCGCCATGTCCGCCATCGTGCGGTCGCCCGAGCACCAGCCCAGCGCCCTGAGCCTGCTCGCCCCGCCGTCCAGCCGCAGGAAGGAGTCTTCGACTCCAGAGGGTATGTCCTCAAAAGGGGCCACTGGACATGCATCGACATTTTTTTAAATGGACTGAGAAATGCAGACCTAAGGTGAAAATGACAAGTAATAACACTAAAGGATAAAGAGTAAGAAGTAAGCCTTCTCCCCACCCCGGTTCCCTTACCCAGAGTCAACCATTGTGCTCTTCCAGCCATCGTTCATGCACGTAACTGCATGTCTGTGTTATGCAGGTGTCTTATATAATCATCTTTAAGAGTCAGGAGAAAATAACATATTTTTCTCAGTCCTTTTGTCTTTCATAAATATCATAGCCCACTGTGCTCTACACCAGGAGTCTCCAACCCCCCGGCTGTGGACCGGTACCGGTCCGTGGCCTGTTAGGAACTGGGCGCACAGCAGGAGGTGAGCGGCGGGCGAGCGAGCGAAGCGTCATCCCCGCTCCCCATTGCTCGTGTTACCACCCGAACCATCCCCCACCCCCTGCCCCCCGCACCGGTCCCTGGAAAAATCGTCTTCAACGAAACCGGTCCCTGGTGCCAAAAAGGTTGGGGGCCGCTGCTATACACTGCAGAACATCTTTCTTCTTTTAGTTAAAATGCTATCTTAGCCAGTTTCGTATTAACACATATGATCGACCCCGTCCTTCTAGAGGGCTGTGTGGTCTTCCATGGTGGGAGGTATATGATTCACCTATTAATCCAGACCCCTGTCGATGGGCATTTAGGTTATTTCCAGTTCCTTGTTTCCATATGTATCCTGCAGTGAACACCCTGCAGCTCTGTGGGTGCTATGACTGTAGGATAAGTCCTTGGGAAATGAATCAGGTTAAAGGTTATGTTCATTTTGAAAGTTGGTAATTTGTGCCAATTTATACCAGTGGTGTGAGGAGTTTTACTTTGTGGGCTTAAAAGTACTCTGTTCACCTAGAGACGGAAAGGACTTAAAAAAAAAAAAAAAAAGCCAAGGAAGGTGGTTTGGAAAGTCATACAGAGAGTGGAGTAGAGCTGTGGTTTAATATCACGGTATCACCAGCTATGCACTTTATCTTATTTACTTATTTTTGGCCCTGCTGTGCAGCATGAGGGATTTTAGTTCCCCTACCAGGGATTGAACCCTTGCCCCCTGCAGTGGAAGCGTGGACTCTTAACCACTGGACCGCCAGGGAAGTCCCACTATCAACCCACCTTAGCTGCCAATCTCGATGGGATTTTGTTGTCGTTGTTTTCTTCAGCGATGATGTCATCTCATTTCCTATGTTTACATAACACTTTGAATCAAAGAGCTTCACTCTTACAGTCATCAAAGTGGAGCTGGTAACACAGAGGAAAATCATTTCTGGCCCCCGTGTCCTTCGATGAGGCTGCGTAGAGCAGCTCCCTGAGTAGTTTGGAATACTCGAAGCATCTCCTTCGTGTGCGTGGCTTGTTCACAGTTTCAAAGTGCATTTATGTTATTTATTCCTCATGACTTTCTGATAAAGGAACAGGAATAGCATTATATGGAGAAATCAATTCAGATTCAGAAATATGGATCCTGAATTTTTCTATTTAAAGCTGCCTTTAGCTAGTTAGGTCACTATTGAGAAGGGGGCCTTCTAAATGGAAAAAAATCAATCTTGTTAATTTTAACTGACTGGACTATAAATGTAAGAATCAGTTGTTTGAGGCTTAAAAGTTGTTTTTTTTAAAAAAGGAGGTTATTCATGAAAGAGCTGGGCATGAAGTGAGAATTCTTCAGTCAGTTTAGGTATTGAATAATCAGAAGTTCTGTAATTCAGAATAGTGATCTTTAAACGATTCTGAAAAGCTCTAGATCCATGATCTCATGTGGAAAACAAACCGTTTATGACTAAAATATTTATAAACAACTGACTTAGGAGCATATGTTTCTCTATGCTCACAAATATCTATGCCATTGTATTAACAATCTGCTGCCAGTGATACGTTCTTAAATAAAACCTAATTCCTAATAACCAGATAATGGTGATTTTAATTTGGTTCATATAAATCTAGACACATCTATTAGTGTTAAAGTAATTTTACAATCCGTCACTAACGTGCTCTAATTAACAGCTTTATTGAGATATAATTCACATACTATGCAATTTATTTGTTTGAAATGTATAATTCATTGTTTTTTAGTAAGTTCACAAGGCTGTGCAACTATCACATTCTAATTTTTAAACATTTTTGGTCCAACCCCCCCCCAAAAAAAAACCCCAAAAACAAAACAACCCTATACCCATTGGCAGTTGCTTCCCATTTCCCCCTTCATGGAGCCTCTGACAACCACCAGTCTGCTTTCTGTCTCCATGGATTTGCTATCCTGGACGTTTCCTATAAATGAATCATACCACGTATGACTTTTTGTGTCTAGCTTCTTTCATAGAGCATAATGTTTTTGAGATTCATTCATCTTGTAGTATTTATCAGTACTTCATTTTTTTAATTGCTGAATAATATTCTATTGTGTGGTTATCACATCTTGTTTCTGTATTAATCCATCAATGGACATTTAGATTGTTTCCATTTTTTGGCTATCATAAATAATGCTGCTGTGAACATCTGTGCACAAATGTTGTGGCTACATAATGTTTTCATTTCTCTTGGGTGTGTAGACCTAGGAGTGGAATTGCTGGGTCATCTGGTAACTCTGTGTTTAACTTTATGGGGAAGGACCAAACTGGATTCCAGAGTGGCTGCACCATTTGCTTTCCCACCAGCAGCGTATGAGGACCTTCATTTCTCCACATCTTTACCAACATGCATTTTCCATATTTTTGAGTCTGGATAACCCAGCGAGCGTCAACTAGTATCTCACTGTGGTGTTTATTTGCATTTCCCTAATGATGAATGACGTTGAGCATGTTTTCCTGTGCTTCTCGGCCATTTATTTATCTTCTTTGGAGAGATGTCTTTTCAGATCTTTTGCCCATTTTTTAATTGGGTTGTCTTTTTCCTATTGCTTCGTAAGAGTTCTTCCTATATTCTTGTTCTTTCTATATTCTGTTCTTCCTATAGTTCTTCCTATATTCTCTAAACTCCTTGGCAGAGGGATGATTTGCGAACAATTTTCCTATTCTGTGGGGCGTCTTTTCACCTTCTTGGTGGTATAATTTGCAGCACTTTAATGATATTTTTGAAAAAATTTTCCTCCAGAATTCAGCCGACGTCTTAAGGAGCGCATGCACCACAACATTCCTCACCGGTTCAATGTAGGACTGAACATGCGAGCCACGCAGTGCGCTGTGTGTCTGGATACCGTGCACTTTGGGCGCCAGGCATCCAAGTGTCTTGGTAAGAGCAGCTGCTGTGCGTGGGGGGAGGGTGCCTGTGCATCTCCACCTAAGATTCTGTCCGATGGGGGCGGGGTTTTTTTTCCTTTTTAAATTCCTCATCATGTAGTGCATTCATTTTCAAGCTTTTAGTCTTAGTGGGAGGACGCTATTTTTCCCCTGTTCAAGAGGGAGTTTATACGTGTTGTCAGCTCACGTCTCCAATTCCCTGTGCAAAATGCCTTGGGCTTTGTGAACTTCCAGCCCCCTTTCCGTCAGGCTGGTCTCTCCCTGCCTTTAGGCTGTGTGCTGGCTCCAAAGGAAACGTGCAGATGTGTTTTACACACCTGTCTGTGGCAGCCTGGGAGAAGCCAGGAAAACTGGGTCGAGAGTGCCTGGCTGTCTCGTTTCCTCTTCTCCGTAGGGGCCTGGCTCCTGGGAAAGGTTAGGGATGCCCTGGATGGCGGGGCCAGATGGACGGGCCAGGCGGGGGGTTGGCTGGCAGAAGCAGGGAATGGTCCAGCATCAGCCGAGTGTGTGTTCAGGTTGTTCACTGCTTTTCCCTAGAATGTCAGGTCATGTGTCATCCCAAGTGCTCCACGTGCTTGCCGGCCACCTGTGGCCTGCCAGCCGAATATGCCACGCACTTCACTGAGGCCTTCTGCCGTGACAAAATGAACTCCCCGGGTCTCCAGACCAAGGAGCCCAGCAGCGGCTTGCACCTGGAAGGGTGGATGAAGGTGCCCAGGTATTGCTGCAAGGCCGTTCGGGCTGGGGTGGGGTCTGGTGAAGGGTGGCAGAATGTGCCGGCCCAGAACGGGCCGCTTTGGGGTAAGGATACTTCTGAGCTAAAGGCATTTGGAAAACAGCAGATGCAAGAGCGACACTCTGACCTCCCCTTTCTCTCCTGGAAAGTAGGAGATAAAACTCCCATGTAAAAGCTGCTCTTCCTGTACCAGGAGGAAAGAAGCATTCTCCTCCCCGGAGCAGGGCGGGGCAGGGCCAGCTGAGAGAAGTCTGTGCACACAGACCCTGTTACCTTTCCTCAGTTGCTGCTCTTTGTTCAACTTAGTATATAAGCACTTGGGCCCATCTGCTTTTGGGGCTTTATTTTCTTGTGGAGACTCCCATGTACGCATAAAATAAAATGTGTATGCTTTTCTCCTGTTCATGTGTCTTACATCAGTTGAATTCCGAGGCCAGCCTACGTCCCAGAAGGGTAGAAGGAAGCTTTTTTTTTCCCCTGCCCCTGTACTTCATTCCCGATGTTTTCGAGGGAAGCATCTTCACTGGGATTCCCTCGCCTCCCCACCCCTTCCCCCTGCCTGACTCTTCTGAGTTCAAACAGGTCTTTCCCATCTCTGTTTTCCCAGGAATAACAAACGAGGACAGCAAGGCTGGGACAGGAAGTACATCGTCCTGGAGGGCTCGAAAGTCCTCATTTACGACAGTGAAGCCAGAGAAGGTAAATTAATAGCTCAGGGGATCTCATTGCACGCGGTTGGCCCAGCTGTCCTAGTCTTGGTGTGAAGGCTCTGTTTTCCGGACTGCGTTGCAAGCCTTCTACAAGTTTCCATTTTTGAAAATTAAAACCCAAATGACTGCGCTGAAGGTTATTGGTACGATACTCACGTCTATAGGTCTCCCCACTGAAGACCCTGCAGGGTGCTGCCCTGAAGATTCCACCTGCTAATACACCTTCCGAGAACTTCCGCCTCAGCCAACTAACCCATAAATCCGCATCGTCATCCGCAATTTGACTGTGCCACTCATCTGACGCACTTTACTTTTGTTTTTATCTTCCCTCTCCGCCTTCTCCGCACATCTCTTCCCTCCTCTGTTCTCGTGCGCCTGTCTGTCCACCGCATACTCCGTCTCTCTCTCTTTTCCTCTTGTCTCCTCTTGTTCTTGTTCCTGTTCTTTTGTTTTCCTTTCTGCCCTTCCTCTTTGCACCAAGCTGGACAGAGGCCGGCGGAAGAATTTGAGCTGTGCCTTCCCGACGGGGACGTGTCTATTCATGGCGCCGTTGGTGCTTCTGAACTCGCAAACACAGCCAAAGCAGGTGGGGAGCAGCGGGGCCCCCGGAGGTGGGCTGGTCTGGGCTTGGCTGGGCTGGATCCGTCAGCAAGGGCAGGAGGGGCACGTGGCGGATCAGCCTGCGAAGGAGGCTCCCCGGCCCCGCCTTCTGCTAAGTAACTGGGACTCAGGTGTGGCTTGGCCATTGTTCCCAGCGGGGGTGGGCGAACCCCACCCTGTGCTCTGTCGAATCTCCTAGATGTCCCCTACGTGCTGAAGATGGAATCTCACCCGCACACCACCTGCTGGCCCGGGAGAACCCTCTACTTGCTGGCTCCCAGCTTTCCCGACAAGCAGCGCTGGGTCACCGCCTTAGAGTCAGTTGTCGCAGGTGGGAGAGTGTCTAGGGAAAAGGCAGAAGCCGATGCTGTGAGTATGCACACGGGCGCCGGAGCTTGTCTCTGTAAAGCGGGCAGACTTGGTGGGAGTCCCGTCGGCTGCCGTGTTTCCCCTTGGCCTCCCTCTCTGAGGGGTGATGGCTTGAGACTGTCACGACCGGGATTCTGTGCCGACAGAGATCCAGGCTTCGAGGCGGCTTGGCCGGCATCGTGGGTCCCCCTCCAAACCCCAGAGCCTTCTAGAATGGGGGAGTCGACCCCCTTAGCCAGCTCTCAGGGCGCACTGCATCTCGGTTCTGGCTGCACAGGGCAAATGTACTTACAAGGAAATCCTCTCTCTCGTTTACCCGGAAGTGTGTATGTTGTTTGAAGGCCTGCGTTACGAGCACGCTGTCCGTGAAGCGGCACGAAAGGCTGCCGACAGCCGTGTCTCCTTCAGGAAGGCTTTTCATAACCTGCTCAATTGCTTTTATGTGATTTGCTCTTCTGAAGGCAGGTCTGAAATCCTACTTCTCCTGAAGACGTTAGAGATGTGGGTGGGCCTTGATTGGCATCACTCCTGCTGGAACATTCCAGGATACAAACAGCGCTCATCACTCACTGGTGTTTGCTCCACCAAAGACCCAACAGCTCTTTTCAAACACTTAGCTCCTAATAAACACTTCAAGTGTTAGCAATCGGAAAATCCTCAGTCACGAGTCTCCTGCTCGTGGGGTGAACCTGTTTCAATGACCCATCTCCCTGTCCCACGTGTGAGCCTTTTACCGAACGCCCCATCCATGTGTGTACAATAGGGCCCTGACTGTACCTCCTACGAGCTTCTGCCCGCGTGGGTTCAGGTAAAGAGACTCAGAAGTGGGTTGGTTTGCTGCTGACACTGGGCTTTGCCCTTGTGCCACCACCTGGAGGGGCAGGAGCGTCCATGTGGCTTATTAAGCCTTGGCAGGGACATCCTTCAGCTTCGGTTGGTTTCGTATCACAGACTCTCTCTCTGCGTCTCCTGCACTCATTTAGTTCTGCATCTGAACTGAGTTACAACTCCGGCACTAATTAACAGCCACCCCAGAGATACCGATAACATTCACGTCCTGCCTTTTGAGCTCAGATCAAAATACGGGCAAGCCACGAGTAGACGTGTGCTTCTGAGCGTCTTCGGGAGGAACTTGCCCTTCTTCCTGGCATTAAACTTTTCTCCGTTCTTGCTTTTGTCTGTCTGGACGGTCCGGTCATGAACAGTTCAGCTCACTGTGGCCTCTTTTTTCTCTCTCTTTTTTTTCTTTCTCGTGTGAAAAGAAATTGCTTGGAAACTCCCTGCTGAAACTGGAAGGCGATGACCGGCTCGACATGAACTGCACGCTGCCCTTCAGCGACCAGGTGACCATGTTTTTTTGGGCACCGTCGGCTGTGTTGGGGCTGGTTATGGGGACGTGACCCCCCTCACGCTCTGCCTGGGGACTTGCACCCCGGCAGGTGGTGCTGGTGGGCACCGAGGAAGGGCTGTACGCGCTGAATGTCTTGAAGAACTCCCTCACCCACGTCCCAGGGATCGGAGCGGTCTTCCAGATTTACATCATCAAGGACCTGGAGAAGCTCCTCATGATTGCAGGTGGGAGGCCAAGGACACGGCGCTTTTCCTTCACTTGTAAGGGAGATGATTCGCCATATGCTTGTCGAACGCAGAGACAGGCCCTCCTGGGGGCAGACTGGAGCGAATGCGGCTCTTCCCTCTGCGTCCTGTAGGTGCCCGCGCCCCCGGCGCTCTGCTCGCACGCAGCCCCTTTCTGAGCGCCTGCCCGCCCTGCTGCCCGCCTCCCATTTCTCCCTGCTCTCACACACCCTTCACTGCGTGCACGACTCATTAGCAGTTTGCCACATTTCCCCCGCCCTTCCCTCTCTCTCTCTCTCTCTCTCTCTCTCTCACTCTCTCACTCACACACGCACACACACACTCTCTCTCTCTCTCTCTCTCTCTCTCTCTCTCTCACACACACACACACACACACACACACACTCTCTCTCTCCTCTCTCTCTCACTTATTTTGAACCACCTGAGAGTCAGTGGCAGCTGTGACTGGATCCTTCAGCCAGTCACCTAAGAACAAGGGGCTTTCTCTCACATACCCATGCCAGGAAGGTTCTTTTTCCCTCTCTTTATCGGTAGTACTATATATATGTCTCTGTGTGTGTGTGTGTGTGTGTGTGTGTGTGTGTATATGTATGTGTGTGTATTTTTTTTTTTTAAGGGGAAAACAATAATGCATTTGCTCCATGTTCAAAACATCCACAGTCAGGTCTCATTCAGGCCTGGCCGGCTGGATCCAGGGGCCGAATCCTGACGTAATATGGTCAGGAACTGGCTTTCTTTGGTCTCTCAGCTCTTTTCCGCTGCTGGCTTGTTTTGTTGGTTTCTTTTTTTTTTTTTTTTTTTGCGGTATGGTACAGCCCAAGTCCCTGCTCTCAAGGCCTTATTTTTTTGTTTTGTTTTTTTTGCGGTACGCGGGCCTCTCACTGTTGTGGCCTCTCCCGTTGCGGAGCACAGGCTCTGGACGCGCAGGCTCAGCGGCCATGGCTCACGGGCCCAGCCGCTCCGCGGCATGTGGAATCCTCCCGGACCGCGGCATGAAGCCGTGTCCCCTGCACCGGCAGGCGGACTCTCAACCACTGCGCCACCAGGGAAGCCCCTGGTTTCTTTTTTCTTGCTTTCCTTCCTTTCCTTTCTTTCCTCCCTTCCTTCTTGACATTATTCTTGGGAGCAGTTTTAGGTTCACAGCAAAACTGAGCAGAAGGTAGGGAGAATTCCCCTATATTTCTGCCCCGCACGCGCACGCGCAGGCCGCCCCCTCCATCAGCGTCCCCCACCGGAGTGCACCTACATGGACTCGTCATTATCACCCCAGGTCCACAGTTTACATTCAGGCTCACTCTTATACATTCTGCGGGTTTGGACAAATGGGTGACAATGTATCCGCCATTATAGCATCCTACAGAATAGTTTCACTTTTTAATTTGGGGAATTTAATCGTTGCTTCTCCCATTTTCTCATGTACTGCCCATAGCTGGCTTTTACCTGTGGCTCCAGTAATGTCCTTTATTTTTTTCCCGGCTTGTGATCCAGCCCAGGACCACGCACTGCACTCACACAGGTCTCCCTCGTCTCCTTGAATGTGGAACCATCCTCAGCCTTTCTGTGGTCCCTCGTGACACCGTGACACATACTGGATTAGTCCGCGTTTACTGTTTTGTTGTCCCCTACCCATTCCTTGACTTTGGTGGGGAGCACGTTTGAATATTCAGTTCATGTTCTCCAATTTTGTGTCTGCAGAATTTTTTGTTTTCCTTCCAAAGTCTTGACCAAGAGGCCAGATATTTTCCTTTTAGATCTAAAAGTTGGACCTAAACTGTGTTTATGGGAATTTGTGGAAAGCAGTGCCTCCGCATGGCCTCGTGTGGCTTTTATTTGGGGGAGGACGAGAACCGCCACTGTGGCTCTGCTGTCCCGTCCCCTCAGGAGAAGAGCGGGCCCTGTGTCTCGTGGACGTGAAGAAAGTGAAACAGTCCCTCGCACAGTCTCACCTTCCCGCCCAGCCGGACATCTCACCCAACATCTTCGAAGCCGTCAAGGGCTGCCACTTGTTTGCTGCCGGCAAGGTAAGCGCCCCTGCGGGCCTCAGCCGGCAAGGGCTCTTGAAATTGTGGGCTGATTGATTTGACCTTGAAAATTGTGTGTCCTCAAACTGGGTTAAGTTTCTGTTGCTTTTCGACACAAGTGGTGGTTGCACTGTTGGCATCTAGTGGGCAGGGCCTGGGGTTTCTCCTAAACATCCTACAGTGCCCAGAATGGCCCCTCACCAGAGAATGACCTGGTCCAAAGTGTCCATAGTGCCGGGCTTGAGAGACCCTGCTCTCAACTGATGTTCCTTTCCTAGTTTTGCCACGGAGCCAGTGTACACACTGGTGACGCGCTGTTTCCTTCTTTCTCCGTCCCCCCTCCCCCATCAACTGCTTTTCAGATTGAGAGCGGGCTCTGCATCTGTGCGGCCATGCCCAACAAAGTTGTCATTCTCCGCTACAACGAAAACCTCAGCAAGTACTGCATTCGGAAAGTAAGTCCCGGGCCTGGCCGGGCCTGCTCTCCCAGCGAGCAGGTGGGGAAGGTGCTGTCTCGGGGCGTAGTGTGTGCCTGGGCCCTTCGGCCTGGGTGACTTAGAGAGAGTGGGAGGGTGTCTTGCTCCCTGGAGAAAGCTCCAGAGCGGCCCATCCTTACACTTTTCGCTCTCGCTCTCCTCCCCTGCATGTGTGAGCTGCCTCTCTGGCCAGCCCAGTGAATTCAGCCTTTTGTGAAGGGAGAAAGGAAGGTGGCTGATGGAGGAGACACCTCTTTTGAACCAGTAGAAGAAAGGAAGATCTCTCTGAGGAGCTAGAAGCCCTGGTGGCACCTACCAGAATCCTTCTCAGATTGTAAAAGTTTCTATTAATGACCTTCAAAAAAACCAGTGCTGGCTGTGTTTTGATACACAGTGCGGGAGCTGGCTCTCCTCGGAGCACAGTGGGTTGTGATGTTGCCTGCAGTGTGGACGGCTATCCGTGAGATCACTGCACTTGCCTCGCTTCTGGAGAAGTCTGTCTCTTGTCCCTAGACTAGGCATGTTCCACCCATCCTAAGCCTGATGTATTTCAGGTGCTTTCGTGATTAGTCTTAAAAGTAAAAGGAGGGATGAATATATAAGGGTTGTCACCTGTTAGAGAAACTGTTTCATCTGGGGCGGGCTCTTGTTTAGTTTGCATTTTTATTGAGCACCTACTACTACCAGAGACTGAGCTGGCTGTTTCACACACTTTTCACAACAGTTGTGAGAAACAGGGGTGATCATCCCTAATTTTCAGGTAAGATGACTGAGGCTGGCCAAGATCCTAGGTTACAAAGTTGAGACCCAAACTGAAGTTTGACTTTCCCTAACGTTTCACTGTGTTATACTAGTTTCCTCATACTTAGTAGGTGATCAATAAATATTTAGTGGTGATGATAATGCTGATTAGAGTTTGAACTGTTAACTTCAGGAAAATTCCCAGAAATCACTTCTTCTTTATAATTCCTGGCCATCATTTGGAATAAGCATGCCTAGGTTTTTGAAGCCATTAGGATTGACCTGAAAACAAGTGTAAATAATTAGGAAGCAGATAATTCAGATAGATGAGATAACTCAGTAATGATAACAATGATATAGGTAATATAGGTTCAGAATAGAAACCTAGAAGCTTGGAAAAGGAAACTAAAACCACTCCCTCTAACCACCACTGTTTGTGTATTCCTCCAGGCTTTTTCTTCTGATTAGGATGTCGTAGTTTTAAAGCTCTCTTTTTGAATGCTACCTTTTCATTGAAGTGGCGTTTCTGACCCTTTTTTGGGGTGCAACTTGACCTTCTTAGTCTCAGGTTGCATAGAACCCAGAGGTAGCAAAAGGATGGGGGGGGGTCCTTGTGAGGGATGTGAAGAGACTGAATGTGCTTGGTGTGAAGACAGAAGGAAGAAGTTGTGCGGCAACGCCTGCACGGCTTGGTTAGATGCCCGAGGAGAGCGGGGGCCACCCCAAGTCTACGCTCACATCCTCCTTTCTGCCCCGTCTCAGGAGATCGAGACCTCGGAGCCCTGCAGCTGTGTCCACTTCACCAACTACAGTATCCTCATCGGAACCAATAAATTCTACGAGATTGACATGAAACAGTACACGCTGGAGGGTAGGGCCCGGGCGCGCCCCCTGCCCATGCTCCGCTGCCACCTCGGGCTCCTTCTGGGTCCTGAGGCTCCGCCTCTTGCCTGCCTTTACAGAATTCCTGGATAAGAACGACCATTCCTTGGCGCCTGCCGTGTTTGCCTCCTCTTCCCACAGTTTCCCCGTGTCCATCATGCAGGTGAACGGCGCGGGGCAGCGGGAGGAGTTCCTGCTCTGCTTCCATGGTGAGTGCGGCAGCTGCCCACTGCTGATGGGGGCGCTCACGGCACCACAGCCCCGGGGCAGGGTCCTCTGGGCCGGGCGTGGCCCGTGTACCTGGGGCGGGGCCGGTCCTGCTGCGGGGAGTACACGGTCCTGGGGAGTACGCGGTCCTGCACCGCCAGGGCCCCCGGGGTGCCCCCGCCCCACCCCCAGGCTCCAGCCAGGTCCGGCGCTGTCGGTCTCTCCAAGAGCGGCCTGCTCTGTCCTCCTCTGCCCCTCACTCCCTTCTCTCCCTCTCCTCTCTCCCTTTCCTTCTTTTCCCCCCTCAGATCTCTGGGCCTGTTTCTCCCCCTTCCTCACTCCCTGACTCTTCTTCCTTCCGTCTCCCCCTTCTTTTCCTATCTCCCCCCTTTCACTCGAACCCTCTTTCTTTAATAAATCCCCGAGAGACGTGGCTCAGCAGAGCTCCTGAGGTTTTTCACAATCCAAGCCCGCTGGGCTGGATTCCTTACTCTTCCATCAAAGTGTGTGTCATTGATACCCCTGCCTCCGGCCGTGCTCATGCCCTGGGCTCTACCTCCTTGCAGAGTTTGGGGTGTTCGTGGATTCTTACGGAAGACGCAGCCGCACAGATGATCTCAAGTGGAGTCGCTTACCTTTGGCCTTCGGTAGGTGAGGCAAGGTGTGGGGCTCTTTTCTGCCAGTAGTTGGTGTCCCGGGAAAAAACCTCAGGTGGAATTCCTTTAGGCTTAAGCACTGTGCTTGGGGCCCCCTTAGGCGCCAGGCGCCACGTGAAGCACCACCCGCGTTAAGCATCTAGGGCAGAGACCCCGAGGCCTGACGCCGAACCACGGAAGGCAAACCCAGCGGCCTCTCATGCCAGAAAGGGAGACCATTCCCTGTGAGTTCATTTAAATCATGTCAAAGACCGCACAGCATCCCATAGCACCGCTGAACACCTGTCAATTTAGCCAATTCTAATTAGGCCCATTCTTTTTGTAAGTGTGAACAATGCTGTGATGAAAAACTTACCCTAAAATGTGCACACTTGTTAAATATCCCCAGCTCAGAAATTCTAAAAGTGGAGCTACTGGGTCAAAGGGTGAACACACACACACACACACACACACACACACACACAACGTACATATGTGACTGTGTGAATGTTCTGAAATACCCTCCAAGGCTATTTCGTTTATCTGTTGCTTCATGACAAGTTCCAAAACCTAGTGACTTAAAACAACTACTTATCATTGCCTGAGCCTCTGTTGCCTGACTGGACAGTTTTGCTTCTTACGGTGTCAGCAGGGGCACCGGGACACCTAGAAAGTCGGAAATGGCTTCACAAAGTGGCTGGCAATTGGAGCTGGCCATCAGGTGGGAGCTTAGCAGGGGCCGGTGGCTGGAGGCCTCATTTCTCTCCACGTGGGCTTCTCCTAAGAGTGCAAAAGTGGGGGCTGGCAGGCCTTCTCACTTCCACCACATTCTGCTGGTTCAGCCCGATGCCAGGCAAGGAGAGGCCACAAGGGCCTGAGTACTAGGAGGCACGACTGATGCCGAAGTAACAGTTCACCGCAAGGAGTAATAGTGATAATCTTCTTTTTCCCTTTAAGACCCAAAACAGCTCTCATTATATCCTAGAGTTTGAGTGACACTGTGATATAGAAATATAGTACTAAGACCAGAAATATTTAATCTATGAACCTAGTCTTTTTTAATTAAATTTTTTAGAAAAATGTATTCAATTAAACAGTTTAAAAAGGTCTACAATGAAGTCTCACCCGTATCACTTGTCTCCCAAATCCTCCCTCCCCACTCCCCGAATGGAAAACATTTTTTTGAGTTTCTTATCCTTCCAGTGCTTTATGCAAATAACGGGCACATTAAAAAATATATTCTCACCCCCCTCCCTTTTTAAAAAGTCAGTGTGGTAGCACACTTTACACAGTATTCTGAACCCTACTTTACAAACTAAGTAAAACTACACCTTGGGTTTTTTCCCCATCAGTGCAGAGAGCTGCCTTACGCATTTTTACGCCTGTGCGGAATTCCAGGGATGCGCCATGATTTACGTAACTGATCCCGACCGTGTAGCCTTTAGTCAGTTCCCATCTTCCACTCTAACAGCGTGGCAGGGGGTACACTTGAACATGTCTCATTATGCAGGCATGTGGGTGCACGTGTAGGGTAAATTGCTTCAGGGATGGCATGGCAGCCAGGTTTTGATTTTCTGTCTCTTAATCCTCCCTTGCCCCACGCTCTTGCTCGGTGGTGGCCACGCAGCCTACAGAGAACCTTATCTGTTTGTGACCCACTTCAACTCACTCGAAGTAATTGAGATCCAGGCCCGCTCCTCTCTAGGGTAAGCACTGCCCCCCAGGCTTTGAAAAGCTCGCAGTTGGGTGTGGGTGTCGGGCGGGGCCGTGCTCCCTCTCATCCTGCCTAGCAGTGGAGGTTGGCGGGCCATGCAGACTCTCCTGGAACTCCACAGGACCCCTGCCCGAGCGTACTTGGAAATCCCGAACCCACGCTACCTGGGCCCTGCAATTTCCTCGGGAGCGATTTACCTGGCGTCCTCGTATCAGGATAAATTAAGGGTCATCTGCTGCAAAGGAAACCTCGTGAAGGAGACCGGCACTGACCAGCACCGGGGCCCGTCCACCTCCCGCAGGTAACGCCCCTCTCTTCCTCATCACAGGGGGAAAAGTGCTTTCCTGCAAAGCAGAAGGGTATCTTGCCAAACTGGCTGAAAGTTTCCCAATCGTCAAAGCTCAAGCCACTCATTTCTTTGGGATCTGCGGCACTGAAATGAGTCCTTTATAAGCATCAGGAAAATTTTTACTGCCCCCCTTGGTAAAAGAAGAAATGAGGCCTTGAGTATGGGCTATATACTTTATTTATTTACTCTTGCTTGGAATGTCTTGTACGTTTTTTCTTGTTGAAGACTGAACATTTCAAATAATACAACGTGGCAAATCAGCTCCCCCTTCCCCTCCCTGGGTGTGTTGTTGTCGCTATTGGTTTAGTGTCTCTTGTACTAAATCTGTAGTGTGTGTCCTTTGTTATGTGCAGCCATTGAAGTTTCTGCTTGGTTAAGGGTGGTCAGCTGAATGACTGGAAAGAGATTTCCTTAAATCACTGAACCCACCCTTTGCTGAGCGACTGTGTGTATTTGTGCTGGGGCACGCCTGCAGCACTGAGTCAGCTGTGGCTGACAGACGAGGCCTTGGAAGGTTTTTCCTGGGTATGTGACAGGCTTACCTGTGTGTGTCTGGCCTTACAGATCCCCAGGGATATGCAGGACTTCCTTTTGAGTGTTGTAGCTGGCCTCTTGTTTTTCCCAACTGGTCTTACTACCTCAGGCATTTGCCATGTTAAACAGTAGCCATTGTTTTTTTTTTTTTTTTTTTTTTTTTTTTTGGTAAACGTCTAGAGATAGGGCATTTCTAGAGAGGAAGACCTGAATCAGCTCCATTAAAAACAAGCCCTGAGGATGGTCTTTTTCCAGGGAGGAGCCAGATAGGTCAGATAGTGACAGTTTTCCAAGGCTGGGGCTTTTGGGAAGCTCCAGTCCTAATGTACTCCCTCCAGTGGTTACCAGGGTGCTGGTTTTCACAGCTGGTTACAAGGCTGTTGCTTTCAAAACTACTGCAGATCTGGGGAGACAGGGTGCTGAATATCGCACATTTTCTTGCATAAACACTCTCTGAATTGTTGCAAGACTTTGGTTAATTTCCAGAGTTCCAGAAAGTTGATTTTGACAATTTTGCCAGTGCTCTTGTTGTTTCTATGGAGAAACAGGTTTTCGGAAGTCCTACAGGCGATAGCATACTGTGCACACTCTTCTGTGTCTTAGAGATTGCTCCACGTCAGTATCCGAAGTATTTCTTCATTCTTTTTTGTTTTTTTTTTTTTACACCTGCATAGCATTCGTTCACCTGCCTGTACCTTATTTAACTGCTCCTTTATCACTGGATGTTTGGGTTGTTTCCAGTCTGTTGCTGTAGTAAATGACTTTGTACATTCATTTTGCATGCTTAGGAATCTACCTGGAGGATGAATTCCTAGAAAAGAAATTGATGGGCGTTGGTAGTTTTGATAGATGTTGGTGAGTTTTCCTCCTTAGGGGCTGTACCCTTTAGTTATCCCACCAGCAGTGTGTGGAAGTGGAACTGGCTTTGTCTTGACACCCAGGGCTCGGAGCCAGATTCGGTTCGATGTGTAGGTTTGAGATGTGTAATTTTAAGATCCTGGTCCACAAAGGAGATAAGCTTATTTAACCCAGGGGAGTATTTAATTGACCTAGGGTTTTAATTTTGTGGACTGGTTTACAAACCCCACGTGTCTACCCTATTATAGAGAGTTATGTGGACCCCCTACCATGTGCCAGACACAATGTCTGGGGCTACACAGCTGAAGACAAGATGGTTTTTATTCTCAAGGGACTCAGTTTGGTGGAGGAACCACCTTTAATGTTATGAAATGCTGCTTAGATCTTAGAAAAGAGAGTCGTCAATTTAATGTTCTGAGACTATGTCCTGACGACTAGTGTCTGTTTCTTTTGTTGAAATGTAAGTGTTGGTCAGAAGTGTTTGGTCAGTGTGATTTTAGTCCCAGGAACTTGCTGGAAAACCAGAAGTGCTGAATAACCAGCTGCTTCTCACTCTTTTTGGCTTGATCGTGCCTCAGGAGAGACTGCTCAAAGGGCTGTAGTCCTCTCCTGACAATGTCTAGATTTTATTTAGTTTCCAAGTCAGTCATGCCAAGAGCCAACCCAAGTACTGTAATTAGATTTCTCTTCTTTTCTCCACTGCCTCACTAGTTAGTTAGTTAGATGGCCAGGCACCTTCCTTTTGAGATGATATGGTGTCTCTGTAAGGAGTTAACTTCCTCTGTCGTGGAAAATGGTTCTAGTTCCTGTGAACAAGGGGCAGAAATAATGCTGCTGCTGTTCCTGCTGCTGCCGGGCATGTCTGGAGAACCAGCAGTTTCCTTTAGTTGCCTCTCGGCTTATAAAACCGTCTTTTTGCTGCTGTCTGCTTTGGGCAGGTCCAGAATGGAGAAGGCCAGCTTGGGAGAATGTGATTCACTGCAGGCTGCACTGCCCCCGGGTCTGTTTAGCAGAGCAGGAAATGTAACTCTTTGCAAGTAGAGCATTGGTTATTAAGGGATTTGGAGATGGAAAATGGCCTGCTCCGCCCAGAATGACGAGTGTTTTCCTTTATCCCATCAACCTAGGCTGACTTCTCGAATGGCCTTCCTTGAGCCACTTTTCTTCCTCTGGGCAGTAAGCTTGCTTTACGATGGGCCCCTGACACGCTTTATAATTTCTCTTCCATTACAAATCAGATACTCTTACTGGAAATTTCTTTTTTTGTCTTCTATATCACAAAGCCACAGGACAAGAGATGAAGATAGCTCAGATTTCGACATCTTGAAATCAAGGTTTATCTCAAATTTTACTGCTGCACACACAAGACAGTTCTGGCTTCTGAGCGTGGGTTGTTGGAATTTCCACATTTTGAGCTGCATAGGGAAGCAAGAGAATGAAATTATTTATAATGGACTGACCATTTAAGACAGTTATTCTGCTCTGTCCACCAATCTATTTTACCGTAGAGAAGGAACTGGCACACTTTTCCTGTAAAGGTCCAGATAGTAAATATTTTCACATTTGCTGGCCATGCTCCAGTAAAACTTAACTAAAAGCAGGCGTCTGTCTGGATTTGGCCCTCAAACTTGCTCTAGAGTCTCCCCTCCCCCACTGGGTCAGTGTCTTCGCTGCTCAGTTGCTTTCCATTATGGGCATTGACAAAAGATTCCTTACAGTTAGACCAATAATTTAAAAAACAAGTTTGGTCCCTTCCAAAGGCGAAGGATTTAAATATCAAGGATTAAGAGAGGCCTCTGGGAAAACCAGTGGCACTAATATTTAACAAACGACTTTACGATTTTGCTGCAAAAATTACAACACTGCTGGTGAAGGATGTCACCCAGCATGTTAGCACAGAATTTTGTTGAGAAAATTAGAGCAGAATAAATCAGTGTGGGATTCATCCTTGGTTCATTCTTAGCATGTAACTGCAGTTGTAATTTAGATTTAAAAATATCTAGGTTAAAATATATTTCCCTGATTTCTACTTCTACTTTTCCAAGATAAAGCCCCAATCAATCAGATGTCTTCAAGCAACCTTCTCTGTGAAATAATAGTCTGCCTTTTCCCCGCACTAATTATGCTCAGATAACAAGGGCCTGAGTACCTTGGCTGCTCGTCAGGGGTGGGAAGGAACCGACGCCAAAGGCTGTGTCAGTCCTGTCTGCCTGTGTTTCTTGATCTTGCTGCTTCAGAGAGGTGGTTAGGGCCGTGTCTGGTCAGATCTTCATCTGACATACCCAGGGCTGGGTGGAGGGTTAGAGTGGTCATACGAATTGTTCAGACATTTTCTGAGCCAGCTCTACTGTTTTCGTCTGCCCTCCTCAGTCTCCTAATTATATCAGGCCCGATCCCTACACCTCTGGTGTCGGATGCCCCAAAGACTCCTGGAAAGCTTGACAGCGATGAGTACAGGCTTAACCCCTCACGGAAGACTTCCTTCTGCGCCCTCTAGGCTCTGGAAAATACTAGGGTCAGCGGGGTTAGAACATGGGGAGTACGACGTCGCACTGACCTGCACTGGGATCGCAGCCTCTCTGTGTCTCCAGCTGCTTGTCTGTACGACGGGGGTCACGGCCGTTCCTAGCTTGCAGAGCTGCTGTTAGGGTGATCTGGCGAGTTAAGGTACCTGAAGAGCTTAGCACAGGGCCCGACACGCTGTGGGCGCTCAGCAGAAAGCCTGTGTCGAGACCGGGAAGCCTGATTCCCCTCTGCTGTCACCGCTGCCTTCTTTCCCTGGCCTCACTGTCGATATAAGCGTCTCGAAGAATTCCCGGTGGGGTCTTTTTCTAATAACGCGTGGTGAGATGGGGGCACAGGGTGGCTCAGAGGAGGAGGAAGCTGCCCCGTTGGGTTGTGACGGCTCAGCTCCCCACCTTCCTCTCCCATTATCGCAGCCCCAACAAGCGAGGCCCGCCGACGTACAACGAGCACATCACTAAGCGCGTGGCCTCCAGCCCGGCGCCCCCTGAAGGCCCCAGCCACCCGCGAGAGCCCGGCACACCCCACCGCTACCGCGAGGGGCGGACGGAGCTGCGCAGGGACAAGTCTCCGGGCCGCCCCCTGGAGCGAGAGAAGTCCCCCGGCCGGATGCTCAGCACGCGCAGGGAGCGCTCCCCCGGGAGGCTGTTTGAGGACGGCAGCAGGGGCCGGCTGCCCGTGGGAGCCGTGAGGACCCCGCTGTCCCAGGTCAACAAGGTGAGTGAGGTGCCCTCCTCATCCCCGAGGGGCCACTGTTGTAGGGAAGGGGCGCCGCTACTGTACTTCGGAGTCTGCGGGACTTAAGCTTAGGAAGAGAACGTCTTAAGAAGGGGCTTCCTGCTGCACAGATGGATAATGTGTGCGCCTCAAACCGTAACAGCTGCCAGGGCTATGGCGTTCCCTTTCCGGAGGCAGCCAGCGCGCAGTTTCTAGAGAGCCTCTCTGCATACAAACAAATACAGATGTGTAGTCACCCTTAAACACAGGTGATAACATGCTATTCAAAAGGTTTGATGCCTTACTTTTTCAAACACATATACATCAACAGTTTCTCTGGAAGGCTACACCGAACTGGTAACAGTGGTTGCCTTCTAGAAGAACTCCAAACCTTTCAAAAATTTTAAAATCACGTGCATGTATTTATTACCTGTGTAATTTTTAGGTTAGCAACTGAGAAGATGGAGGGATGTGCCGAAGACTAGGGGCCCCCCAAGTGCACGGGGAGGCTCCAGAGCATGATGTCTCCTCAGCAGGCCAGCCGGTTCCAGGGGCCAGTTTTCTGGATTGCACTCTCCTGCTGCCATCCGCAGTTCACTGTTGGCACCCCTGCCGCTACAGGGAGGGGGGAAAAGCCGTTTAAATGCTTTTCCTTATCTCCTCTGATTTATGGATAAAATGGGGTGCGTAACAGTAGTCCTGCTGCCATCCGCAGTTCACTGTTGGCACCCCTGCTGCTACAAGGAGGGGGGAAAAGCCGTTTAAATGCTTTTCCTTATCTCCTCTGATTTATGGATAAAATGGGGTACATAACCGAAGTACTTACGTAGTGTTGGGGACTCTGCGCTGAGTTCCGCAAGCTTGGCTCACGGCGGGAAGGCGAGGCCTCGTGCTCCTGCACACCCCAGTCTGGGCTTCCTGTTTGCAAAGTGAGCACAGCGGTTTCTGACCTCTGATGGCAAAACCCCCTCCTCCTCCTAGGTCTGGGACCAGTCTTCAGTATAAATCTCAGCCAGAAAACCCAACTCCTCTTGAACTGCAGGAAAACACCAACCGCACTATGGAACGCTGCTGAAGGGGGGACCCCAGTGCCCACGGCGCAGCTGGACCCAGACCCGCCTCAGCACGGACACCCTGCAGCCAGGAGGGGCGTGGGGCTCCTGGGAGCTGCCGGCACCCTCCTGCAGTCTACCCTCTTTGCACTTTGTTACTCTTTCAAAGCATTCATAAACTTTTGTACCTAGCTCTAGCCTGTACCCGTTCATCACAGGAAACCAACCGGGGGCTAACTACGACGTGGTTAGAATCCTAATAGCTACTTTAAGATCCTAGGGTTGGTTGGGTTTTTGTTTTCCTGTTTTATTTTTATTTATTTATTTTTTAAAGACAACAGACTTCTTAATAGATTTGAATAGCACCGTATTTCCTGTTGTAGTCATTTGTAGCAGGTCACACAATCAGGTCTTTACTACCGACATGTATCGTAGAAGAGCCCCTGCCACTGGCTAACCTCCCACGCTCACCTAGGTCCACTCTCCTTCCAGTCCATCCTCACAGATGGCCCTGTCTTACCCAGGGTGACATCTTAGCCAAATGTTTACCGTTCTCATTGCCTTTGATGGCCTTGACGACTTCCCCTCCCACCAGCTGCGAATGTACGGAGGCCATCGGGCCCGGCTCACAGGCAGTGACTTGGGGCCAAGGGGCCACGAGGAGCTCTTCCCTCCCTGCCCCTCAGTGACACCCACCGGCCTGCTGTCTCCACTTTCCATGTAGCTCTGGCCAGGAAAGCATGCAACAGACTTGCTCTGAGCCCGGCACCAATGGGGGTCCAGAAGGGGGCCGGGGGCACTCACCTCCTGTCCTGATGGCGCACTCTCCCTGGCTCCCCGGGCTGGGAAGAGCGCCCCAGGAGTTCTGCATGGCGGTTCACTGCATGCGCTGCCCCCCGACCTGGCTGCCCCCTTGGGTTGCTCTGCCAATGCACTAGTTCCATCCCACAGCTCCCGCCGAACCGACACCCTCTGGGACTTGCCAACTCACCGGCCACAAGCTGCAGTCTGTAGCACTGAACAAACAAAAACCAAACGCTCAAGCCTTACGACCAGAGAAGGATTTCAGCAAACCACACCTCACACTTCCACACCTCCCTGCCGATGCCCGCGCGGACAACTCTGCTCACACACAATCCACCAGGTTCTACCCCATGAAAAACTGTGACTTCCCAAACGAGCCTCTCTCTAGGGCTAGACTAAGACCAGGAAGTTCGAGAAGGAAGCCGCAGCTCAACTCTCCCATCCCAGCCGGGCGGGGAAGCCCTCCTTAGGTGCCGTGCGGCTCACCCAGTTTCTCTCTCCCCTCCGGCGGTGCGAGGTTCCTGGCAACTGGTAAAGAACCAACTAGAGGCTTCGCAGTTGGCAAGCTAACTAGCGGCCTTATTTCTGCCTTTAATCTCCCACCAGGCCTCTCTTGCTTCTCCACACCTCAAACCACCAGGGCACATCCTAGGTAAGCTGACAGGTAGACCTGTTCCCACCGCAGCTGGAGAACGTGACCGCGTTTTAACCCCCGTGTCCACGGTTCAGCTCACTTTCCAGATTGCAACCTGGCCTGAGTCCCAGCTCCTTCCTGCTCGTCTCTTAACCGAAGTGCTTTCTTGTTTGAAACGCCCACGGCCCTTCCTCCACGTTGTCGCATCCTCGGCCAGTGTCATGCTGTCGTGTTCTATGTGTTGCTTCGTCTTTGGGGTCACACTGCATCCCCTCCCTTCTCCAGGGCAGATCTGACTGAATGTTTGCTGAAGTTTCTGTCTCTTGGTCCACAAGTATTTGGAGAGGTCACTGGAAATTGGTGTTTCAGTCTTGGCATCTCATTTAGGATCTCCACGAGAAATGGGCTTCTTAGCCCTCAAAGTGTATATCGTGTGTCTCATTTGTGAAATGCTTCCTGCTATAGAACTAGCTCAAAGACTGTACATATTTACAAGAAACTTTATATTCGTAAAAAAAAAAGGAAATTGAATTGGTTTCTACTTTTTTATTGTAAAAGGTGCATTTTTCAACTCTTACTTTTGGTTTCAACGGTCGTAGTTGTGGACAGCCATCTTCACTGGAGTGCGGGGAGCTCCGTGTCACTACGGAGATGCCAGCAGGAAATATCGTAACACGAAACCGCAGTCAAAGCTTACTAGCATAAATAAGATTCTAGGTCCAAAAGTACAGGCTTTTTCTTCATTACCTTTTTTATTCAGAACGAGGAAAAGATCACAAGGAACGGTTCAAGATCCACCTTGAGAGGAATGAACTCTGTTGAACAAATAGTCAAATAAAGCAATGATCTAAAATGTTTGCCTTAGTGCAAGACCTCTTCTTTTCTTGAGAGAGCCCATAAAAACCCAAAGTATCGCCACTGTCAGCCTAAGCTTGGGAGCGTGGCATTGGGACCGTCCTTCCCTTCAGGGGAGGCTTCTTCTGGGGGTGAGGGGTGGAGAGCCACACAGGGCTTAGAGCAAGCTGCTCTCCTGGAATCAAGAGACCAGCGACGTTCTCTTCCAGAAGTGCAATGTTGTCGAAGTTTGGTCATTCCTTCCAATGAACCGTGAACTGGCTGTAAAGGTCACTTTATAGGACTGCAGAACTGGAAGGCTCCTCACGGCAGTCAGGCCACTTTGAAAGTATTACTGGAGAATGGACTACCCAGCTCTCCTATATTGCAGTTCATAACAAACAAACCAAAAAAACAGGTCACATTTCAATTCCTCTCATCCATTAGGATAACGCCACCGGTTTTAATGATGTAGATTTCTGGAAGGAGGAATTCGGATCAAGGTAATTTAAAATGTAGACACTTGTCTTTTTAACTAAATGAATTTTTGTAGTCTGCAAGGTAAATTTTTCTAAGATGCTTTAGTTTTGTCAGTATAAACTTTATTGAGCTAGACAAACATTGGTTTTGGCAAATGGTAATTTTCTCATGGTTCCTGTTGCTTTCAATTTTTATTTTCCAATGAAGTGATCTGACCACAGTCAAATTCTGACTTGCAGGGTCACAGCAAACTTGCTCTGTGACAGGAGTCGTACTTGCGATTCTATTCTGTTCCTCCTTTCTCTTTTACCGCTGGGGATAAAAATCTGCCAACTCTAAGAAAGAAAATAATTTGGAAGATGAACAAGTCAAATGTTGGAACCTTTCTTTCCTTATAAAATTAGAAAAAGTCCACTGAATACCGCTTCAGTTATTGTCCTGAGGAATCCTGGCAGCCACGTAACACTTCAAAAGCATAAGTAAATGTGGTTTGGTTCCGAGAGGAATGTGCCAGAAAGGTTCTCTGGACCCTAAGCAAGGACCTCAAAGAAACAACAAATTACTCAGCCACACCATAAACTGAGGCCCAGCCGTCCATGCTGCTATCCCTACCTCTTAAGCACAAAATTAGCCATCACATTTTCTGCTCTTACAACTTAATTTTCACGAGACTGAAGCAGCAGCTTGCAAAGCAAATTCATAACTGAAATTAGGATTTGGAGACTTAGGCCAAAAAGGGATGATGTGCTTAACAGGACTGACCAGCTAGTTTGTCTTCAGAATTGGGCCTCTTGAACGTGATTTGCTTTAGAAAATATTCATGCAGGTTTAAGTCTAAAGCAATAATGCTAGGCCCAGAGGGGTGGGACCAGCTAAGCTTTTGGTCTCACAATACAACAGACTGGCCTGCTCCAGTGGTTCTAAACTAGGGGTGGCTTGGCTCCCTTCCCTTGAGGACACTTGACAATATCTGGAGACATTTTTGGTTGTCACAACTGATGGTACTACTGGCACCTCATGGGTAGAGGCCAGGGCTGCTGCTAAATCCCCTGCAAGGCACAGGGTGGCCCACGTGCCCACCCTCCACAAAAAGCTACCAGGCCCCAAGTGTCAATAGTGCTGAGGCTGAGGAAGCTCGGCCTGTTCCAGTCCGATTTCTTTCTTGGCAGTTTAAATACTGCTCATGATGCCAAAAGCATGGAGACTGTGGCTCCAGGCACAGTGTTTACATGAGAAAATGTTTCATCAGTCGCCTAGTCAAACGCTGAGGCTTTTATCTTCCGAAGCCGGGAGGGCAGGGCCGTGGACACCTGGAACTGCACAGATGGCCTGGCTTTCTCCCGAGTCTGTCAATGATTAACGGAACTCCTGTTTGCCCTGGAGGGGTCGTTAGAGGTAAAGAACTCTGGAAATGACTTTACTGCTATACACAACTCAGCCTGTCCTTTCAGAGAACCACAAAAAGGGAAAATAAAGTCGATCCAGGGTACACACAACTGGAGCTGTCTCTTGTTCTCACCTGCTGTTGAGTCTTGCAGATGAAATGGGTGAATGCACTCCTGGCAGGTAGAGAAGGCTGGCATCCTCACCCAGGCTCAGGCCCTCTGGCTGTCTTTAGGACAAAAAAAGACGAGGCAGTTGTGGGAGCTGAGCTCAGTGGCTGATCCCAGAGGCAGGGCACTGGTTCTCCAAGGGTCTGACTCACAGCAGTGGTCACTCTTAGGAAGGCCCTTGTCGATGTTTTTACAATTAGCTGGAATGACCTGTACATACGTTTGTAGCTTACTGTTTTCTCCTGAAGACAATTATAATTGGCATCCCAGGGTAGAAGGCTCTAGCTTCTTTTCTCCACTGATCTGCTGATCAGGCGAGGTGCTAAAAAGCTGGATGGAGGGTTGAGTGGCCCAGAGACTTGGGTCTTCATCAGTGCACTCAAACTGTTTGTAAACACTGGTGGAGGGTCATGTATCAGGAGAATTGAGTTCACGCTCAGAAATGAAATCATGCTCATCTAGAAGTAACTGAGTTAAGCAAAATGAAATGTTGCTTTTCCCTAAAATGGTTGAGTCTCTGACCGTAGCCATGCATGGCATCACTTTGGTGTTCTGTGTTTTCCCATCTTGGCCCTTGGCATCTTGGAGGTTTCCTAACTGAGCTTACAGTGGCACTTTTTCCTTTTCTGGCCCTTGACTTCCTGTCTGTGGCCATATCCCATTCATGGTGTAAAAGCTTTGTGGCTCCCAATGTGAAATGAAAGGAGCCCTAGGAATCATTTAGTGCTAATCCAACCCCTTCCATTTTTCAGGAGAGGAAACTGGGCTAAGAGAGGTCATGTGATTTGCCCAAGGTCACACAGCTAGTCAGGCACTGAACTGGATGACATCCCTAATCTCAGTCCAGTGTCCACACTCCGGGACAGCGGATGGCGGAGGGGGGAACGGCCAACTCTAACATGAAGCCAGGCTTTGACCAGAGGGAAGGAAAAGACCTTGCCTGGGTCCTTTGATCTCTGGTTTCAATATGCTGACATATGGTTGTGTACCTTGCAATACTACTTTACCCACTAGTAATTTAAAGACCTTACCTTTGGCTCCATAAATTCATTTGTATATACATTTCTGGAGGAAAAAAATATCTTCATTCAAAAGCAATTTCAGTTACACTTTAACCAACCATGTAACCAGTCCTCACCCATAATAGAGAAAGCATTACCTGGGTCATAGGACACCTCAGTGTGGCTTTGCTCCTGTGATTTGGACCAAACAGGGTCTCCTGTTCCATATCCATGAAATAATCTCCATTACTTTTAGCTTCTTGGGTATAGAGACTTTCACCTAGGTCTGTTAGCAGTCTTCTGGACCACGGGGGACTTCCTTTTGTGTTGCTTTTTAAAGAAAATGAAGCCTTTTAGACACACGAACAGCTGTGGAGAATGCTGACACCCACATCCCAGGGTTCTGTGGTTTTGGCTACATTTCCCCACCCTAGCAGTTACTGCCCTGGGAGTCCCCCGTGGCCCCAGGACTGCAGAGGACTCTTACTGGGTTTACTGGCTCCAAATTAGTTTTTACACTGGATTTTTGGCTTGGCTTTATCTGAACTTTGGGAGCAGAGCTGATCTGCAGGTGAGATTTTCCAACATGATGTTTCCCCCTGCAGCCTGGGGCTGATGACTCCCTCTGAGCCCTGACTCAGGCCAGCAGCCAGATTCTCTAACTCCTCTTACAGAAAAGGCAGTGCTTTTCTGGGCCAACTCATGAAGCGGGCTTCCTATCCAGGTGAGGGTGTCAAACCCTGGTCCTGGAGGCCTATGACTGGGTCCTACCCCCCTACCCCACCCTCTGAGTCTCCACCATGGGGCCAGGGGCCACGCTCACAGCTCACCGACACAGCAACGGTTTCTTCAATTCTGGTACTTCAATATATCCCTTTTATACTTTTGAGCTTAGCTATGTATTTTCAATTATACTTCAAAAATATTTGATCCACAAAAATAAACTCAAAATGGCTTAAAGACCCATGTAAGACATGACACCGTAAAACTCCTAGAAGAGAACACAGGCGGGACACTCTGACAGAAATCACAGCAGTATTTTCAGTCTCCCAAGGCAAAAGAAATAAAAGCAAAAATAAACAAATGGGACCTCATTAAACTTAAACTTTTTGCCCAGCAAAGGAAACCATCAACAAAATGAAAAGACAACCTACAAAATGGGAGAAAATATTTGCAAATGATGCAACCAACAAGGAGTTAATTTCCAAAATATACAAACAACTCATACAACCCAATACCAAAAAAACAACCCAATCAAAAACTAGGCAGAGGACTTGAACAGACATTTTTTTCAAAGATGACACAAGCAAAGATGCTCAACATCGCTAATTATCAGAGAAATGCAAATCCAAACCACAATGAGGTAATACCTCACACAGGTCAGACTGGCTATCATCAGAGTCTACACCTCCTGCACGGCTGGTGGGAAGGTAAGTTGGTACAGCCACTGTGGAGAACAGTATGGAGGCTCCTCAAAAACACCTAAGAATAGAACTCACATGATCCAGCAATTTCACTCCTGGGTATATATCCAGAAAAAAATGAAAACACTAATTTGAAAAGATACACGTACCCCATGTTCACAGCAGCCCTACTTACAATAGCCAAGACATGAAAGCAACCCAGGTGTCCATCAACAGACGACTGACTTAAGATGTGGTGTGTATACACATACACACACACACACACACACACTGGAATATTACTCAGCCATAAAAATAAATGTTGTCATTTGCAGCACCGTGGATGGACCTAGAAAATATTATGCTTAGTGAAATTAAGTCAGAGAACATAAATACTATACGCTATCACTCATCTGTGGAATCTAAAAATAATACAAATGTATACACAAAACAGAAACAGACAGATACAGAAAATAAAATTATGGTTACCAAAGGGGAAAGGGAGGGGAGGGGCAAATTAGGGGCACAGGATTAACAGATATAAACTACTACACATAAAATAGATAAGCAACAGGGATTTACTGCATAGTACAGGGAATCATACCCAGTATCTTATAATAACCTACAATGACACACAAGCTACAAAAAATAGTGACTCACTATGCTGTAGACCTGAACCTAACACAATACTGTAAAATCAACTATACTTCAATAATTTTTAAAAAATAGAAAAAAGTTTTGATTCAGTTTTGGATAGAGGATTTTTATGTATTTCCTTAGTCTACTTAAATAATCCCTCCAATCCCTACATCTAGGGTTCCCACATCACTTGGGTTTTCAGAGTGACACGGCTAATTACCCAGCTAGGAATGCCTTCTAAGCTTTCTCCACCTCAAGTGGACCAGATGACCTGAGGGGTTCCCCTTTCTCTCAAATTTATTTACGTTTCCTGATGCCTGGGAAGAAAAGGCTTATTACTAAAGGGACACTGTAACCTTCCATCTTTTTGGTAGAAGGGACAGAGGCCCTTTTAGCTGGTGAGAACAGCTGACTCCAGAACATCCTGGTGTCTTCCAAGAGGGCGTCATGATCCCAGGCTCCCCTGTGGTGCTTGTCAATGAGCAAGAAGCAGCAGGACCTCGGACCGGGGATGCTGCCAACTTGCGCAAGCCGGGGCCTTCACTGCTGCTTTTCCTCGGCTTCCCCTGTGGTCGAGCGGTTCCATGGGGCTCGATTTTACAGCCTCTTAACGGCCTTCTAATCTGCGTGGGAATAGGTGGGTCAGAGAAAGGCCCTCAGCCCGGGAGGGAGCCGAGCTGCCCCGTCCACTCACCCCAGAGTGCCACAAGGATGGTACCATTTTCAATGTGTGCCAAGGCGGGAAAAAGACGGAAAAGCACTGCACTGAATAAAGCTCGGGGAGAGCTCCAGTCTCTTCTCCAAATGACTGCACGAAATCAAACCTTCCTCCAAGTGCACATCTGTTATCTTTACAAAGCTTTATTGAAACCTGTACATCAAGGTGACAGTAATTCAGTGTTTTGGAAACAGTAACAAAAAAGGGTATCCCAGACCCAGGTTCGCCAAATAAATATGAGACACCAGGGATATGGTTCCTCCGTCTCCCAGCAGGAACAAAGCGCAGGACGACAGCTTCCACCGACCTGGGGACAGGAACCTTGCTAACGGGCATGTCTCCGGCATCTCCAAGCCGTGTGGAGAGGTTCGCTTTGGTCCAAAGGATGATTTCCTCACACAAATTCAGAAGGCTGCCGCAAGTTCTAATTTCCTTCCAGAAGAAGCAACAGCAATTGCTACAGCCTTCTTTGCTAAGGAGGGACCAGAGGTCCCAAGCAAGGTGGCACAGGCTAGGGTAGGGTGCCTCTCCAAAATTTGCGTGCTAACACTGTCACCTCATTACGAATCGAATAAAAAGCTGGACGACCTTCCAGCTAGCAGTGGTCAGTCCGCAGGATCCTCCAGCTTAACGGAGATATCTGGCCATGGTTTTCCAAGTCTGTTCTGAGAACAGATTATTGCTCAGCACAGGTCACATGATCTATAGTCTAGTTGGGGTGATTTAAAGATTGCCCTAAGGCTGTACAGTCAGCCACCTCTGGTTAAAAAAAATACTTAGTGCACATAAGTGTAAGAAAGAATTGTAAAACTTCATCTGGAAATTAGACAGGTTCTAATTTCTATAGAAATTATGCCTCCCTGGAGCAGGGAATGGAAGACGATCTATTGCTCTGAATTCAGAGGACAGGCAGAGACCAATACCATACTCGCCGTTAGGTCCACAGCCAGGCCTCAGCGGGGACAAGTCAAGACACACACACAAGATGAGCCTTGGTACCTGCTTCCCGGATTTCCACCAGCAAAGTGGCTCGGGTTCCTTTTTGGCTTAAGAAAAGTCTCCGTGACCAGTTCAGAGGATGTAAATTTAGACCTGCACCGTGGTGTGGGGTGCAGACCGTCTGCTCCCCCTCCCTCCTCAGCCTTTATGAGCCCCAGGGCTCACAGCCACCGGGTGCTAAGAGGACTGTTACAGACTGAGGCGCTCCAGGAGCTGCTGTGTCTGGAACAAACCTTCAAGTAGGAGTAGAGCGGGTACGAAATGTCTTCTAAAGAGCGTGAAATGGGAAATTTACAGTCCATCCTGTCTAGCGAAAAGCATGCACGCATGCAGCCCGGTGGTGCACACTGCCCCCTGGGGCCCACGGCTGGCCCCAGCTCTTCATATGGGCTTGTATAACAAGGTGGTGACGTATTTTTTCTTGTACCGGTGGGTCGCGCTGAGCACCATCACTCCGTCCTGAGGAAGAGGCGGAAATCACCAAAGGCAGGACTAAGTCAGGAGGCTCAAAGTTTAGGGAGCGTGAGAATCATCAGGAGGCCTGAGTAAAAGCAGGTTCCTGGGCCTCCCTTCGGAAGAGGAGCCTACGGGTCTGGGTCAGGTCCCGGAAGCCGCCCTTCAGGTAAGTATCGATACTGCAGGTAGTGCCGTCGCTAGGGGGCCTCAGAGCACACTTGGAGAAACACAGTAAGTAACAAACGCGTCCTTACCTTAATGGAAAGTGCATAGAGGTGGTTCAGCATGACGTGGTTGGGCTCAGGGAGCAAAGCTGGATCACACTGCGGGGGAGCAAAAGCAGACGTGTGCACTTCAGATTTGGAAATCAAGATTCTCCCGTGTTTCACGGCACTGGATTTCAGAGAGAAGGAGGCAGGCTCTCAGGTCCCTTTCTTCCTTGTCAGGCAGTGAAAGGGCTTGTGCACGATGACTGGGTGGGCGAGGGGTCATGCCTGATGCTCCAACTAAGGGGCGCTCTCGGGGTCTGCTGGGCGCACTGGTGTGCATCTCTGGCCAGGCTTCATCTAGATTGTGGGCCGTGGCTCTGTCCTCTCTTTGGAGGAGGAGCAGGAAGAAAGCCGTGCAGTGAAGGGGCTTTTAGAAAAAGCGGGAAGAAATGATCAATACTCAACGCTCCTGAGCAGTGTGTTGCAAACTCATGTCTCTGAGACTCAGACGGGGAGCCTGAAGAATGCACTGGATGACTGGGGGAGGGGAGAGGCGCTCTGACTCCGTAAGAGCTCACATACGAGGCAATGTTGCCACACCTTCCTATTTTTTCAGAGAAGCCAGAAATCCAGGTTTTTCTTTATTTTTCCCCCAACGTACACTCCCCAATTTTATAAATGCTAATTCAAAACAGAAAAAGCATCCAGTAAAAGCCGGCTCAGCTGTCAGATGTGTGCTTGGGGCGGGGCGGCCCCAAGAACAGCGAGTCCCTGGGGGACACACTGTGACTGCTGTGGGGATGCCTGCACGTGTACACCTCCAGCCCCCTGCTCAGCACACGTGCACCCACTTCTGTGTGGCGTCTAGAGCAGCAGCAGTTACCTGATCACCCTGGAGCGTCTGCCTGTTAGGTGGTGGCCTGGACAAGGCTGAAGAACACCTGGACTCCCAAGAATTATGGCTACGCTGCACAGTCCAGAGCCGGGGAACCAGGCAGCTCAGGTCAAACAGGATGGAAAATCAAACGCGGGGAATAATGGGGTGCTCTTCAGGATTCAGCAGGAAGCACACTTCTTTTTATAAGTAATATCAATTTCCCAGAGGCAATGCGTGTTACCCACATACCCCAAATTTTGATCCATGAGCCCTGAGGTTTCTGAAAGCAATTTGGGGATTAAAACTAGATTCTGGAACTTCCCTGGCAGTTCAGTGGTTAAGACTTCGCGCTTCCACTGCAGTGGGTGTGGGTTCGATCCCTGGTTGGGGAACTAAGATCCCACATTCCGAGCGCGGCAAAACAAACAAACAAGATTCTAAAATCTGGGGGCCAGAGGAGGAACTCCACCATGCAGCTTACTGAGAAGAGGCGGTTATGTATTTTGTCCTGAAATTTGAGGTGGGAGTGGAACACAAGAGGAAGGGCTCAGAAAGGCTTTGTGGGATGGGGACGCCCACTCTGGGAACATCTTGTGAGTAGCCCGTTCCCACGTCAGAGGGGGACCCCGGCAGTTAACACCGATGGGTGACATTGAACATTTTCACGAGCTGCCTTGCAAGATGTGCACCGAGGGGAGCAGCTGAATGTGACCGTGGAGGACGGTCTGGGCAGATGTCTGGTTACTCACAGAAATCCCTGTGTCCTTGTTCAGGATGACCTGGAGAAGATGTGGCGGGAGGATGGGTGGTGCTTTAAACCGCTCCTCTGGTTTCCAGACGTAAGGCTCCTGATGGTAGGGTCCTGGTGGGGAACTGGACAGCTCTGTTGGGAGATGGTGACAGGACATTTACTTGGAAAATTAGGAGTCCTGGGAATAGTCTCAATTTGTGGTGACATTTAGTTTTCCATGTCTCCTGTTCCCTCAGTACAGATTTATATTCTCTTGAAGGATATACTGGCCCCAAGGGGGAAGAGCAGAGGCAATGAGAAAACACTTCTGGAATTTGAGTGACAGGCATAAAACTCAAGTAGTGAATTCTGACGCTCTGGTGGCAGACAGCAGTCGTGGCAAAGCAGTGAGTCTGGGACCGAGTCGTGGGAAGCTGCTCACAGTGACCTGACCCTACAGCCACCGCAGGCCGATGCGGCCTCCTTGCTGCAGGCCGGGCTGGCAAGAACAGCACAGAAGCTCAAGGCTTCCAGTGAGGCTTATGCGGCTGGGCCCAAGTGAGGCGCGCCGGCAGCCAGAATAAAAGCGAAGATAAAGCAGCCTGTTCACACAGAGGCGCCGGCGCGTTTCAAAACTAAAACAACGAGAAGTTGAAGACCTGACCTCTAGAGGCTCTCTGCCTCCAGCGCTCTCCGGTTCCTCTTAAACTCATGCTGGAGTTTCCCCGTTATACAGATATAGTAAGAAGCTTCTAGAAGTGCAGTGCTCCGTAAGCTTCAAAGCTGCTCACTCAGTGACATCTGGCCAGCTGGCGGGGACTGAGCTGTGATCCAAAGGACACCTGGGATGTGTCTGGCCGCCGAGACTCGTGCTGTCCCCGTAAAGCTGAGATGGCTTGGCTCCGCCAATTCCTTCCACGTCATTCTCTAGGGGACAGACTCCCTTCACACAACCCAGCCCTACCACAGCAGGAAACTGAGAAAGGCATTCAGTGCAGAAAACTGAGCCTTTAGGAGTCAATATGTATTTTGAGAAAGGGAGTGTCTATGTATGAGAAGAGTATGGAGAGCCTGAAGTTGGTTTCCCAGCAGTGAGGGGTCAGCCTCCTTTCCCCAGGCAACCTCTGCTGCACAATCTTGACTAAAAGCTTTGGACTGTGGCGTAAAATTTCACTTATCAGCAAGTAAGGGCTATCTGGGCATTTCCCCCACCCCCCAATTCCCACCTGTCTGAATAAAACAGAAATGACTTCTCTAAAAGACCAGTTAGCTATCCAGAGCAGAGAATGCTATTTTTGGATTTCCAATTCCTGCTCAATAACATGACTTGCCAGCCACGTGGTCCACCTGCCAGTGTGAGTTCTGAGCTGATAAAGAGTTAAGAGATCCTGGGGGCAGGACCTCCAGGCCCAGGCAGGCGACAATGAAGAATCATCCTGTGAACTGAACCCGTTTTCCTAGACGGTCAGGCACAGTCCCGGGGAACCTTCACTGCTTCCCATAGGGGTCCTGGGACGGTTTGAGGCCCTGCAAGAAGGGGCAGTGCAGCTGGTGTGAACACTATCCATGCCAACGCATCCTTCTCCCTGCGTAGCACATACTGTTTCCAAGCAGTTTCTTCCTGTGGGTTGGATGCAAGGCAATTTACTGAAAGTTCGATGATCGGATGACTCTTGGAAGATGGGAGAGTTTTATTAGGACCATACTGAGCAGGTTGTGCTGTGTAGCCTGTTCTGTGGTGAGCCTTACCCCCGCCAAGAAGGGATTCTGACAAGGTGCTCATGGACCACGCAAATGATGCCAAGGTCACTGAGGGGTCAGTTTATCACCTGTCGGGCTGAAACTCTCCAGGTGCCCCGAGCAGGCCGGCTTCCCCAGTGCTGGCCCCTCACCGACCCGATGCAACTCTCTAGGGCCTCTTGGGCCTGCCTTGGCACAAGACCAAGCTCTGGTTCCGTTTCCAGTGTCTGCTCTCTGTGGCCAAGCAGACCTATGGAATCCTGGAGATGACCCAAAAAGTGACTTACAGGTCCCTCAGAGCTAGATTTTAGCAACCTGGCCTGACACAGAGTTAGGAATTAGTTTTGGCTCTTTGGGGAGATACGGACACCCACCGATTGGGCGGCTCCCACTCAAGAGCGAGAGGCAAGAGAAACAAGGTACTTCTAATCTATACAGCCCCCACCGGCACACACGTGGTAAAAATAACTGCTCATACCAGACACGTCGGAGCACTTTTGGGAATCCACCATTAAAGCATCAAATACTTCAAAGTCAGTTTTCTTCACTTGAATGATGTTGTTTACTGTGCCAAGCTGGCTGGTCACTATCGGCTGGGAAGAGACAGACAGGCAGAAATCACAATGTGGACGGTCTCTAGAGGTGTCTTTAGAGGATCCAGCAGCCCTGCTGGAAGGTCTCATCTCCTGGCTGGCCCACCTGCTCATCTCAGTCAAGGATGCCAGTAGGCCGACAAGGAGCGCTGCTATCTAGCTCGGCCACGCACAGGGACTTCGACCAGCAGGACAAAGGGACCTGGCAACTTGTCTGGATTGTGGGGGCGGCCAGAGGACCAAGGGCGGGAGGAAGGGTACCTCAGAAGGGTCGTGTGTCCACTGACCATCCACGAAGAACTTGTACTGATGCTCTCCTTCCGGCAGGTCCAGGATGGCTACAAAGTTATTGTGGCTGCAAGAAAAAGGGAAGCAGACGATGTTAGCGGGGTGGGCTGCCCTCTTAGCTGACCTGCAAGACCAGCCACGGAACAAAACAAAACTTCCACATAAAATCAAGGGTTCAGCTGCACGAGAAATAAACATTTTTCACCAATTTAGACAATTCAGTATAATGATCTCAATCTAGAAAGGCTACCAGGAAGCGGCATCGTAAGAGGTTTCCTGGAAAACTCGCTTTGCTCCAACACCAGGAGTCCACATTCCTACCATCAAAAGGTCAACGAACAGTCATTCGTCCTCAACTTGTGTGCAAAATAACACCTGGCAGCCTGGATGCCAAGGAGGATGGCAGCACAAGATAAACAGCAAGCCGCCCGCCAAGTTTTACCCTTTGCTAGCTTGCCTAGCTCAGGACAGGGGATCAATTTCACAGGATGTACCAACAGTTCCCTAAAGCAACTCGTATAACTACTAAAGAAAAGGGTTCCACGAAACCTCTCTCATTTGATTGTTTTGTTCTTCCGACTAGCATGCCTTGTAACTGGGCTGAGTGGCTCCCTCCTACACCAACTGGACCCCTGGAAAAGCAGGCAGCTCCTTGTCAAGAACCAGCCCTGGCCCAGCAGGGCACGATTTCTTCCTTTGTTTCATCAAGAGGACTTACTCGTGAAGATGCTTTTCCACTGACAATCTGAGACAGCCGTCCATGCTAGGGTGTCTGAGCAAGTGTTTGGCTATAGTCGTGCTAATGGCGCCTACATAATGTGTACCTTTCAAACAAAAGTGATACAGAGTCCAAGTTAGAAGGAAGCTCGGAGATCATCTGGTCCAACGTTCCCTTCTCACAGAGAGGAACACAGAGGCTCAGCTCAGCCAACAAGGACTCAAATCCCGCTCTGTCCACGGCGCTAGGAATAGAGTTCTCTTTCTGAAAACAGTCCTGCTGAACAGACGCAAAGCTAGAATATCTGAAGTGCAAGGTGTCTGTGAAACGGAAATGCTCATAACTGTGCAACGTTTTCTTCTAAGTGTGCTCTAAACCTAGCACGACTCCTTGGTGTGTGAGATTTGAACCCTGTGAATAATTAAGCACAACTATTTTTCCATTCAGCATCAACTTTATAAAAACATCCTCTTCTATTCACCCACAGGAGTAACCAGAGTAGCCCTGGGTTAAGACAAGTCGATGAACACACCCAGGCGATTACCTTCTCGTGAGGGGAAGTTTACTCCAATTGTTGAAGGACCCAGATAAGTAAACTTCCTTTCCGCCCCCCGTCCATCGAAACACAGTTGGCCGAGCCTGGGCAGGAGCTTTGTCGTTCACTTCCAGATCGTGCTGCCAGGCCAGGAACTCCTCCTTCTCCGGAGCCTGGAAGCAGAGCGCTTGACTCAGGAACAGGAAGCCATTAGTGAGCTCCCTGCAAGAGACAATTACCCTCATACTGACAATTCATTCTAAAGACGCAGCTGTCGCTACCCAGGTTCATATTCCAGCTCGTTAACTCACTTGCAAAATGGAGATGATAAAAGCACCTATTTCTTAAGGTTATTGTGCAGGCTGAGTGAGACAAGACAGCCCATGTAGAAAGCTCTGCATAGTGTCGGACCCAGAGTAGGCGCTTCGTAATTATTAGCTACTGTTACTGCTGTTATTTAGGAGGTCGTCGTCAAAATTCTAGAAGTTATAAAGCTCACTTGCAAGAAGGCAGTGAATGAATTTGAGATTAGCTTAATAAATGTCATTCTCCTCCCTTAATTAAGCAAGATTTGAAGTACATGAAAAATTACTAGGGACAATTCCAGAGCTGTCAACTTGAAAACTGGCAAGCCCAGGTGCTGAGGAAGGCAAAAGCTAATCACTGAGTGCTGTCCAGGCACCAGGGAGAAAAAGATAAGACAAAGACTGACGTTCATTACGGTAAACAGTAACTTCTTATGTGGGCAGCGCCGTATAAAGGAGGTGTTCCGGGACGAGAGACAAAAAACACATCTGACTCTGGGTGTGGTTTTGGATCTCTTACATTTTTCCTGGTCAGAAGCCAAAGAGCAGGAGTTCTAGGCTGTGATAGACTCTTAAAAGGTCTGGAGCAGGTTTCGAGCACCTTCAATTCAAATACTGACCTGAGCTCATTTAAAAGATACCTGCATTTCTGTGACCTTTAACAAAATTTACAGATTAAAGAACAACAGACTGCAATCTCTTTCCACTGAGGGTGTGATAACTAGCCACAGGCAAAATGGTGAGCAAGTGTAGTTAAAAGAATTCACGACTTGTTTTTTGTATCCGAGCATTCAATCCAGTGTGTCTGCTACATCATTTCAGTAACTTCTGTGGAAATGATAATGGAAATTATTTAAATCATTCTCTACAGATCATCTGTATGCTAAACATTTCTTATAAGAGTTTTAAAACAAAAGAATATTTCTTAAAGAAAGTAGCTTGATTCTTAGGGTATCTTAAATGGCTGCCCTTGGGCCAAAATTATTTCTAGGGGAAGAGATGTCAAATCATTGGATAAACAGGATTCCAAAGTTCACTTTGCACACAGCTTCAGGAATGCAACGAATTCAGAAAGCAAGATGAAATCACAGGCTGGAGGGCCAAGTAAAAGCAGACTCTTTAGGGGTTTCCCTGGTGGCGCAGTGGTTGAGGGTCCGCCTGCTGATGCAGGGGACGCGGGTTCGTGCCCCGGTCCGGGAAGATCCCACATGCCGCGGAGCGGCTGGGCCCGTGAGCGATGGCCGCTGAGCCTGCGGGTCCGGAGCCTGTGCTCCGCAACGGGAGAGGCCACAGCAGTGGGAGAGGCCACAGCAGTGAGAGGCCCGCGCACCACCCCAAAAAAAAAAAAAAGGCAGACTCTTTATAGGTTAGCCTCAAAGCCAAGATTCAGGTGAGGATATAAGATAATAATGGGATCACCCAAGCCAGCATCTGAGGGAAAATGAGTACAGCTGGGATGAGTTGCCAATTAGCCTAATGGGCAATGATGATTAATAGGCAACTAGATACTAACAGAATGTGTGTCGGAGGGGGAAGAGGTGCTTGTCATCTTTCCTAAACCTACTTGTTGCAGTGCCCTTTAAGTATTTAGTTGTTCATTTCTTTAGGATATACCACATACGTATCAGCTGGCAGAATCACTAAGTATTCTTGGACCGGGCTCTGCCCCTAGAAACTGACCACAGCAGGTGGTTAGCAGGAAAAGTGGCTGAAGCAGGAATGGAGAACCTGTCTTTAGAGTTTTTAATGAGTTAAAGCAGACCGCAGCAGGACGGCCAAATCTGGCCTGCAAAAATGTTTGCTTTGGCCTGTTTAAAATATTAAGTCATATATAAACAATAGGAGAGAGAAGCCGAGCAGCTGGCTGCCTCCTTCAGACTGATGTTTCACTTACTCACTGACCTCCGGAAGTCAAATTACTTTTCTATGCTTGCTCTAAAGGGTGAACCACAACTTTTCAGCAGAACTGAAGACCTCTGGCAGCTGCAGTCAGCTGTTCGACTCTACGTTCACCTTACACATGTTCTGGTTTATCTCCAAAACTGAAAGTTAACTGCAAAACTATTACAAAAAGCGCCAGTCTGCGTAAAGGTGGTGGAAGATTTCTCAGAGCTGTGAAATTAATCATACCTAAGAGAAAAGCAGAGACTGGGACTCAATTACTGCTAGAGCCACGATCTTAATTAATTAAGAATTTGAACCTGTCTCAGAGCTGCCTCTTCCTTAATGATGTTAAACGAAGTGAATTCCTCCTCCCTCAGGGTGACTTTCTCATATCGGTAATTAGACACAGGTTCCTGAGCTGCTAAGAGGATTCTCCCACTTCTGATGATTAGAGGGGACACGAGGGGAAGGCTCTAGGAGATTTCAACATTAGTCAAGGGGAATCAGATTCCCACACCCCCATTACCTTGATTTCCTCGGAGTGGAAGAGGTCAGCGTCCTCGGGGCTGTCCATCAGGATCTTGGGCCTGTCCCCATCCTTGGAGCCCCCCGAGCTGTCCCCTCGGGGCGTCTTGTGGCCGCCCTGCCGGTCCAGCGCAGCGCGCTCGCTGCTCGTGTTGCCCATGGCGGAGGTAGCCGGACAGGGGGCCTCACTCCAAGGGAGGAACAAGTGACTCCCGGTACCTCCACCAGGACCCTAGGAAGGAGTCGGAGCACCGGGCACCACACCCCTCAGGCTAGGATACGGGGTCGGGATCCGGCTTGGGCCGGGTAGCAGGGCTGCCGAGGTCTCACAAATGCGCTTTACCTGCTGCTCAGGCCGCCGCAGACCGAACACACCGAGCGCTAGGAAAACTCGACTCTCTCCCAAGAACTCCCCCACGTCTTAACAACTTCCGCTTCCGACGCTTGCGCAAAGCGACCCAACCCACAGGGTTGGGAGTGGTTGCGGCGGGAGAAGCGCGCGAGGCGAACTTGACCTCACTTCCGCTTCCGGTCCAGGTCAGCGCGTTGGCAAGCACCCAGATGGTCCCGGCGGGCTCCGGAGGGCGCAGTCGCAGTTGGCCGCTCCGGCCGGTCCAGGACGTGGCTGCTGAGGGCCAGCAGGGGACGCAGAAGCGCGCAGGCCATCTGGGCCGCCCTCCTCGCTCTGGGATGAGCTATGGTGTTAGTTATCTCGGTTACTTTTGCCCACTTCCAGTTGATTCTACACTTTACAGCCAAAGGGGTCGTTCTAAAGGGCAAATCTAATTAAGACTCCTTAAAGCCCTTTAATGCGCTAGCTTTCACGCCTTTGAGTGCCTTAGAATCACGTGGAGTGCCTGTTTAAAATGCAGATTCACCTGCCCCTAATCCCCTGAAATTATGATTCCAAAGCTCTGGCGTGGGGTCTGCATCTTAATAAGCACTCCAGGTGATTCTTATGCAGACAGTCTTGCAGGTGTTTGAGAAAATGACAGACCATTAAACTCTCTGGAAACTTCTCACGTCTAGTAGCTTGGGGGTTGTAAAACGCTGGAATTATTCGTGTATTTTCAAAAAATTAAGTGCACAGCCTTTTGACAGGTAATTTTGCAAGCTATTTTAAAATCACTTCGAACACATAATTCTGCATAAAATGCATTTATTAGCGTTTGTCATTTACTGTGGCCAGTGCTTCAGCAAGAAGTGTGTACACATGTGGTGCTAAAATATTCTAATCTCCTTGTTGGTCACTGTTAGGATTTTTGTTGGTGGTGGTGGTGTGTGTGGTAGTGGCGTGTGTGTTTGCATGCGAGTATGCCAAAATGCTTTGCATTTGCTGGGCCTGGTCATGCATTTTGTCCACTGAACAAACATTTATTTAGTACCTACATAATGCCAGACATTGTGTGACGTAAATGGGAGACACAGATGATTAAGATATGGGGAATTTGGCAGTATCTATAAAATTTTTAAAAATGCACCTTCATTTTGGTGCACAAATTTACTTCTAGAAAATGTCTACAGAAATACACATGTGAAAATTATATGCAATGTTCATTTGCAGCATTGTTTCTAATGCCATAATACATTAATTGTAAGATGCACATTTTATTTCACATTTTAATCTCTGAAACAGGGTGCATCTTACAATCAATGGAATCTTAGATTTGATGAAATAAGGAAATGGAAAACTGCAGAATCCTAAAAAGTTTGTCAGTAGGAGAATGGCTAAATGAATTAAATACATTCATTTTATAGAATAATGAGCAACTTTTAAAAAGGAGGAAATAGAATTATGTGGGCAACTATAGAGAAATGTCTATGGCATTCCAAATCCCCAAAGCAAGTGGCAGAACAATAGAGGTTTTAACAGCATGAGCTCTGAAGTCAGCCTGCCTCGGTTCAAATTCTGGCTTTACCACTTAGTAGTATCACCTGGTTTCCTCTTTTGTGAAATGGGGAATAAAAAAACACCGACCTCATAGGCTTGTTTTGTGAATTAATTGAGAACACACAGGAAAAGTGCTTAGCATAGCACCTGACACTTAGTAAGCATCCAATAAACACTAGCACTTTTATGAGCATCATTATGCTTACAAATGGAAAGTTCTGGGAAGATGTACAACACGCTGTTAACAGTGGTCCCCTCTTGGGAGAGGACTCAAATTGGAAACAGGAACAGATAGGGGATTTTCACTTTTTAGTTTACTGTTTTAAAATATTTCTACTGCAAGGATGTACTACTTTTGTAATTTAAAAACATTTTTTTAAAAGACAAAAGTAAGTAAGACGTGGTTCCAGCCCTAAAGGAATCTATAGAATAGAGGTGGAAACACACTCACAGAAAGGCAGCAATACAGGAGGCAAGGGGTTCTAGAGAAGCCCTGAAAGCACTAAAGCCAGGCCAACGGATAACCCAGAACACATTCCTTGACCTGTTTTTATTGCTCACAATAGGCAATGAAGAAGCCATGGATATAAAGATGTTGATCTTTGGTTCTTCCCCAAACAACTTGAGAGATAAGGAAAAACACATGAGTTATGGACCCCTAATCCAGATACTTCTATGCATGAAGAAAGTTTCAAGACTTCTGCTCTGGCTCGGATAAGATAAGTGATATCCTGAAGTTTTCAACTGCTGAGACAGCCCGGTACCTGGGATTGTACAGGTGCACCCTGCACAGGGGTGCCTACCCGAGGACACAAGTAGGTCCCAAGGTTCCACCTGCCTGGAGGAACGGGTGCCTTTTTCTAATTTGTACAAATACAGCCATATGGACTAGCCGTGGTCCTGGCCTCTCTCCAACAGAAACATTTGACCATGAGAACCAGAAGTAGTTGTGTAAAGTCTTTTCTTACTTACAGAGTGTCCGCCACACAACACAATAGGGATGTACAATTAAATTCTAGGACACACTGACATTTCAGAAAGGACCACTTTTGCCTTCATTGAGCTCATTTTCTTTTTTAAGTTTGTGTCTATTTGTAATTGTATCAGGTGAAAGCAGGTAGATAGATTTACACCAAATTTGGAGGATATGTTTGGGACAGTCTGACTTACAATGCTACGTTGTATTCCCAAAACTGGGCATTCCCTGGTGGTCCACTGGTTAGGACTCCGTGCTTCCACTGCAGGGGGCATGGGTTTGATCGCTGGTTGGGGTTCCGGTGTGGCCAAATAAAAAATTTTTTAAAACTGACTTTGGGACACATTCAGGGAGATCTCAAAGAGATAAAGATGAGTACAACAAGGGGTCTGTGTAACTGCTGATGAGGGAGTCTTGCCATATTGTGTTAAGACTTCATGGACAGAGAAACTAACATTGGTATCAGCTTTTGGCCCCATATTGAACATCACAGATAGGGTAGACTCTCCAATTACAAGTGTCAACTTGGATTTCAGCTGCATCTCTCACGGGTTACTCTGTGTTATTTATCTTCACTCAACAATAGTTCATGATTCTCCCAAGCATCAGAAATGCCTCTTCTTTCCCTGACCCTCTGCTGGTATGGGTGTCAGACTACTCTGTTGCAGGGGCAGGGGGCGGGGAGGGGGGAAGGCAGGGGTGTCCCAGGAGGTATAAATGGTAGGGCATCATGTGTCAGAGGCATCATCTGCTCACTGGTCTCAGTCTGGAGTCAGGGTAAAGATGGATGATTTCATAAATTACCCCCAAACAAACCAGGGCCATTGCCAGGATCCCAGCTCAACCAGATTTAAGCCCAGAGAGAAACAGGTGTTCAAGTCCATAGAAGTCTCATCTAGAGTCAGAAAAATCTCATTTATCCTTTTATCCGTGACTAAAAAGGCTGAGGTTAATATTTTGGGGCCTCCTTCCTGAGAACAGATTGGAATCAGCAAGGCACTTATGGACCCACCAACCTGTTGGTTTTATATAAGGGAGGGTGGTCTGAGGCCCAGAGGTCAAACCATGTGCAGAGGCCACTCAGATGGTCGCAGGTTGTGCTGGGATAGCTGGATGCTGGATAGCCTGGCTCATGGTCCCCCAATCACTCATGCTCCTTCCACATGATGCCACATCTCAGGCTGAATTAGAATCCTACAATGACTCTCATCCAGGGCTGCTGGGAGTGTATTTGGTCGAAAGATAATGAAGGGAAGTTTGACAATTTCTAGCAAAATTTAAAAGGTCCATGACATTTAATTCAAACACTTCTAGGAATTTATCCTATAGATATACTCATGCACATGCGAAACGATGGACAAAGTCATCCACTGCAATATTTGCATGTTTGCAAGAGGAAAACTACGCATCCATCAGTAGAGGACTGGTTAAATAAATCATGACATAGGAAACAAGAGAAGCCACTGCACTGAGAAGCCCGCGCACTGCAATGAAGAGCAGTCCCTGCTCGCCGCAGCTAGAGAAAGCCCACACGCAGCAACGAAGATCCAACACAGCCATAAATAAATAAATAAATAGACAGATAGACAGATAGATGGATAGAGAGCCCTGAACCAAGATGGCAGAGTAGAAGGACGTGCGCTCACTCCTCCTGTGAGAACACCAGAATCACAACTAGCCGCTGGACAATCGTCGACAGGAAGACACTGGAACTCACCAAAAAAGATACCCCACATCCAAAGACAAAGGAGAAGCCACAATGAGACAGTAGGAGGGGCGCAATCACAGCAAAATCAAATCCCATAACCGCTGGGTGAGTGACTCACAAACTGGAGAACAATTATACCACAGAAGCAGACCCACTGGAGTGAAGGTTCTGAGCCCCACGTCAGGCTTCCCAACCTGGGTGTCCGGCAATGGGAAGAGGAATTCCTAGAGAATCAGACTTTGAAGGTTAGTGGGATTTGATTGCAGGACTTGGACAGGACTGGGGGAAACAGAGACTCCGCTCTTGGAGGGCACATACAAAGTAGTGTGCGCCTCAGGACCCAGGGGAAGGAGCAGTGACCCCAGGGGAGACTGAACCAGACCTACCTGCTAGGGATGGAGGGTCTCCTGCAGAGGCGGGGGGTGGCTGTGGCTCACCCTGAGGACAAGGACACAGGTGGCGGAGGTTCTGGGGGGTACTCCTTGGCATGAGCCTTCCCAGAGTCTGCCATTAGCCCCACCAAAGAGCCCAGGTAGGCTTCCAGTGTTGGGTTGCCTCAGGCCAAACAACCAACAGGGAGGGAACCCAGCCCCACCCATCAGCAGTCAAACTGTCACTGTTTGCAGATGACATGATACTATACATAGAGAATCCTAAAGATGCCACCAGAAAACTACTAGAGCTAATCAATGAATTTGGTAAAGTTGCAGGATACAAAATTAATGCACAGAAATCCCTTGCATTCCTATACACTAATGATGAAAAATCTGAAAGAGAAATTAAGGAAACATTCCCATTTACCATTGCAACAAAAATAATAAAATACCTAGGAATAAACCTACCTAGGGAGACAAAAG